AAAATTTTATTTAAAATTACCCCTACATATAAACCCTACACAATTTTTCTACAAAAAATTCAATTAAAATTTAAATCGATTACAATTCATTTTTTACATATTAAAATATAAGTCAATTAAATTTTATTTTTTATGTATTAAAATTCGAACTTGTTAATTTTTTTTTTTTACATATTAGAATTCAAGTCGGTTTGAGTTCAACATGATGTGTTAGCACCAATTAAACTTTGATTGAAGTTCATTACAATTTATTTTTAACTTATTAAAATTTATATTCTTTATATATCAAAATTTGTTTCGATTAAAATTCAATGCGAGTTGATTAAAATTTGATTTGAATAGTTTAAAAATGAAATTTAATGGGTTGAATCGAATTTTAATACGTAAAAAAAATTATAAACCACAGAGAAGCTCATTGAAGATATGTCTATCTATAGTGGGTCTAGATAAAGTTTTTCTTAAAATATATTAAGGGTAATTTAATAAAATTATATTTTAATTAAGATATTTAATCTCACAAGGAGCGTTAGTGTAGATTAAAAAATAAAGAATTTATTTTTAAAAATATAGTAAAGTGAAAGATATGTGACTGAAATGTTTTCAAAAAATAATAATTATTGTTCTCTACAAACTAGGACCACTAGTCCAGTACTATGGGGACAAGAGGTTAAGTTATGGTGATCACCTATAAAGATATGGGCTAGGCTCCTTAAAAGGGAATAGGTGTACTTACCAAACAAACTAGGAAAATAGAACCACAGGTTGACTAAATAGAGTGTAAGAAAAAGCTTTAGGACTTAAAAAACACATTGGCTGAAAATTTTAATTTAAGAGAAAAAAAGGACTTTCCGTTTGAATCCGGGTTTATTAAATAGATTTTTTAGATAAAAATAACTGTTATTAACATTAAAAAAAATATTGAAAAATGAGACTTAACCAATGACTTTTAAGAAAAATTAATTTTTTTAAAAATAATTTAAACGATTTCAAGAATTTTTCGTGATTAATTATGGATGTCTGTAATTGATCATGATATTTTTCGAACAATTGTAAATTATTTTTTTAAAGTTATAATTACCGTTTAGAATTGTAACCGATAAACCAATTCTGAATTTTTTTTTTTTCGATACGGTAGAGTTTTCCCAAGGGGACTGTCCTCACATTTGCCATTCTACATTAGGTGCGACATCGTCTTAGCCTACTCCTAATTAATCCGACGCCGTTTTCAGTGCATTAATCCACGATAAACTATGGACCACTGTTCACGTAATGAAAAGAACTGAAGAAAAGAGACGTTGACCGTACAAATCTACAGGATACATGGTCTCTATACGTCGTTTTCTCGAGGAAATCCCTGTGAGCTCTTTACCTCCCCCATCTCTCTCTCTCTCTCACTCACACACACGCGCACACGTACTTACAGATTTCGCCGCAAAGGAGATCGCACGGAGCTCCCTTTCTCTCTCTCGCACACGCCAAGCACAACACACACGAAGGAGCTGGGTAATGGCTGAATCTACCAGGCAACGATGAAAATCACCGGTGGCAAAGTGGACCTTCATGCAATTCTCTCTTCCAAAACCCTAAACCCTTCACCAGATTCAGATCTTGTACAAAAACCCCTCTCTCGTAAACCACCTCGCCGGAAGACTAAGAGCCCCAGGGTTTCGGGCGCCGGAGTCCGGTTGAAGAGAGACGTCGGAGCTCCAACAGGTAGACGGAGCAGACCCGAAACTCCTTTGCTTCGTTGGAAGCTTGATGATGAGAGAGAGACAGATAAGAGTGCTAGGGAGGAAAAGTTGTCCCCTGAGAGTGGTCGAAAAAATGGGCGGAAAGCGAGTGCTGTGGTCTCTTCGAGGAAGCTCGCCGCCGGACTTTGGCGATTGCAGTTGCCGGAGGAGCCGAACAATGGTAGTGGTCAACGATTAGGGTTTTCTCAGGTAAAAGTGTATCATTGAAGATTTTCATTTTCCGGGTTTTTCTTCAAATTAAAACTGGGGAGTGTGATTAAATGTGTGATCTTTTGAAGTAATGTGGTTGATAGTCCTCATTATGCATCTAATCTGATTGCAATTATTTTGATTTGGGCTGATGATCTATTGGCATTGCATGTTAAGATTAGTAAGAACAGTAACTCTTTAAACCACAACTAAGTCAAACTCTGTTGGTCCTGTCCGAATTGGAGTAAAGTGTGAGAAGGCTCTCATGGATCATTGATCTTTCAGTATTTTTATGTAACAGTATCTATATTCCAAACTGGTCACAGTTCATCAATACATATTCCTCTTTCTCATTCACTTTTCGACCGGGTAGTATGAAACCTTGATCAATTTTACTTTCAAAAGTTCTGCATCAACGATATGCTATGTTCTATTTGTCATGAACTTCTTGCGAACGTAGAGGTTGTGTAAGTAGCAGATATTGATTCTGAGGCCTTTAATGTATTACGTAGACAATACTGGACAGTTAGGATTTTAACTCATTGTTTTACTTCTCTTACAGACTGGAGTTGGTCATGCTGCTGTCCCCATTCATGGTCATCGAAAAGGTAAAGCGCTTGATTCTCAGGCGAATGTTCCAATACAGAGTCCTCATTCAATCTCTTGTCCCAGAAATGGTTTTTTGTGCAAGGTACAAATCTTTCTCAAGGTTCTCAATTGATGTAGCTGTTCAATACCGGTTGAATTGATAGAATTCTGTAGTTAGGACCTTATTGGAACTTTAGGAAACTTACACCTATTAATTCTTGAACATGGGACACAAATGGGGCCATTGGGTACCACTTTTCCTATGCTTCATTTGGGTGCTTGCATATCCTTCTTTACTAGAGTGATCTTATGAGGTCATATTCATTTTGTGATCTATCAAATTATTACAAGCATTTGGATACTGATTCAAATTGGCTGGTGTATTTTGAATTGTTAGTTATAACTTATAAGCATTTAGAGTGGCACAGCTTCCTCCTCATTTAGGACTTTATGATACTTTCTGGCTTCCTGTTATCTTTTCATTTGTGTTTCAGTTTTTGATCCTCTAAACTTGGGAGTTAATTTGTAGGTTGAACCTTCAAATCAGTTTTCTAACCCCATAATGGAGGGTGCAACAAAGTGGGACCCTATGGGCTGGAAAATAGCAGAGCAAGCAGAACTGAATCATGGTCACCCAAGGCTTCTTGACCAACAGGTGACTTCTGTCTCGGCGATATCTGCACTTCAGGCAGAACTGCAGCAGGCTCGAGCCTGTATTCATGATCTTGAAACTGAACGACGGACATCAAAGAAGAAGATTGAGCATTTCTTGAAAAAACTCAGTGAGGAAAGGACTGCATGGCGGAGCAAAGAACACGAGAAAATCCGTGCAATTATTGATGACATCAAAGCTGACTTGAGCAGAGAGAGGAAGAATCGGCAAAGGATGGAAATAGTTAATTCCAAGTTGGTCAATGAGTTGGCAGATGCCAAGTTATCTGCAAAGCGATATCTGCAGGATTATGAAAATGAGAGGAAAGCCAGAGAGGTGATAGAGGAAGTGTGCCATGAGCTTGCTAAGGAAATTGGGGAGGGCAAGGCTGAAGTTGAAGCACTGAATAGGGAATCTAGGAAACTCCTGGAGGAAGTGGAAGATGAGAGGAAGATGTTGCAAATGGCTGAGGTTTGGCGAGAAGAACGGGTTCAGATGAAACTAGTTGATGCAAAGGTGACACTTGAGGAAACGTATTCTCAGATGAACAGGCTAGTAGCAGAGCTTGAGACTTTTCTAAGTTCAAGAAGAGCAACTCCCGATGTAGAGGAGATGAAGAAAGCGGAGCTCCTTCGAGAGGCTGTCACTTCATTGAATATTCAAGATATCAAGGAATTTACTTATGATCCCCCTAATCCAGATGATATTTTCGCTGTTTTTGAAGATGTTAATTTTGGTGAACCCAATAATAGGGAGATTGAGCCATACGTGGCATTCTGTCCTGCCAGCCATGCCTCCAAAACTCTTACTGAAGGAAGCATTCAGAGGCATTCTAATGCATATGTTGATCAGAATGGGGATATAGAAGAAGATGAGAGTGGCTGGGAAACAGTGAGCCATGGTGAGGATCAGGGCTCAAGTTATTCACCCGATGGGAGTGACTCATCTGTCAACAATATTCACCAGGACAGTAATGTGTCAGGGACTGGAACAGAATGGGAAGAACATGCAGGTGAGGAAACACCAATTACCGAAATCAGTGAAGTATGCTCAGTACCAACTAGGCAATTGAAGAAGGTGTCATCCATATCTCGGCTTTGGAGATCATGCCCAAGCAACGGTGAAAACTACAAGATCATCTCGTCAGAGGGAAAGAATGGAAGGCTCTCACATGAAAGACTTTCTAATGGGGCCATCATTTCTCCAGATAGGGGTTCATTTAATGGTGAACTTAGTCACCAAGATTTAGTAGGAGAATGGAGCTCACCTGACTTGGGGAATCCACACATAACGCGAGGGATGAAAGGGTGCATTGAATGGCCGCGTGGCATGCAGAGGAATAGTCTGAAAGCCAAGCTTTTGGAGGCAAGGGTGGAAAGTCAAAAGGTACAGTTACGCCAAGTTTTAAAGCAGAAGATTTAGATTCAGTAAGATATCCATGGCCAGGCTTGCTCTGCAATGGTTCTAATAAACCCAGACAGAAATGAGCAGGTTCTTTCCCAACCTTCTAAGGTATTCATATCCGGTCTATTGTATGATTAGTTTCTTGGAATTAATGGTAGCCGGTTCTCCATTTTATTTCCACTAATCATATGCTCTAACAAGAGCATCGTATTTGTATCATAACTTTTGTCCACCTCGTAGAAATAATGCCTTCAAACAATCAGCTGGGTTATTCTCTGTCACCATCGACCATGGTTTTGGTTGTTCAGAGTATGTAGCACCCTGTTTACAAGGGATATAGACAGCCCTGTGTATGACATGTCTTTACAACACAATATCTTCAGTTCTAATTGGGCTGTAATGTTGAGATAAGGATGTAGAGAGGAACCATGGTTTCTCATTTATGGCAGGTGTAAACTGGTCATTTGGTACAACACAATACAACATTACACAACAGTTAACCCAAAAAAAATAGATAAGTTTATTGGTCGAACTTCAACAAATTAATAAAAACTTATTTCCTAAACCATACAATCTAGGTACGTAGCACATCAAAAGCCAATAGGTTTGATTTCTGTCTCCTCTCTCTTGGTTTCTCTTATCTATATTCTTGAAAGTTGACATGGCCTGTCGCTTGTGCATGCTTCATTGCCTCCTGCAAGTTCATACACCAAATATTGTCAACGAGGAAAAGTAAAGAGTACAGAATTCAAGCAAAGTTGGAAAAGATGTGGAAAGATGAAGGGAGCATATTAATTTATCGGTGAGGATAACCTTCTGGCCAATGACTCCAATGTAGCAAACCCCACATCGCAAACTGAAGTTGGCAGTGTCTGTGTAACTCCTTTTCCTACATGCACCAGAATGAGTAAAATGATCATGCATTAGTCACAAACCAACCATTACTCGTCATTTTGTAGATGCTTTTCTTTTAGAGTAATACTACAAAACCCAGAAAATTGTTACCTAAATGCATATCATCCATTGGATGAGTTGATGAAATCTACTCATCATCTAAGGAATGATATGCATTTGAGTTGTCCTTTTTGGGTTTCATTTGGATTGTTTAGCATTTTCCTTTCTTTGAAGAACATCAGGCTGATTATTATTAGATGCGGAGAAAAATGATGAAAAGCAAAGAGGAAACCAGCAAAGCAAAGCAGGGTCGAAGAAGAAGAAAAGAGTTAGGTTGCCCACAAACATTGCCTAGTTAGTTCATTCCATAATGTGCATAGTTCAAAGTATCAGATGATATGGATACGAGTCGGCCAAGTCGGATACAACCTAGCATTTTCCGAGACGATACCGTTATAGATTCGTATAAATCTCGAGTTTCACATGGCTCAGTCGAGTTGTATTTAAATTAATTCCGAGTTGTCAAGTTATTGTCATTGAATCAGTCAATATAGTTTTGTGACACCGTGATATGACTTGAATTTCTCATCAAATTCAACATTTTTCTCATATCGCCTAATACCACGATATGTCGCTGCGACCAATGTGTCTCAGAATTCTTTAAATTGATGATCAATAATGCAACCTTGAACCATATGATAATGAGTGATAGCCTTCACTAGTATTTTTATTAGTTAATTATACTCTCTTTCCAGCCAAGAACTGCAACAAACTGGATCAATACTCTACGGAGGTATCTGAAAGAGTAGTGGGTTACCGAATCTGACATGGTACCTTTGTTGTTCCTTGACAAGGTTGAGAGCAAGCCTCTCAACAGGCCCAACGGTCCTGTCCTTTGCAGCAAATATTGTCTGATCAAATTCTTCTGGAGCTCCTTCCGAGGGAGATATCTACAGATGCAAGACATGAAATGAAGTCTGAAAAAAAGGCAATAATTTCTGAAGACACTGGAAATAAACTTGCGGATTAGCGATGACAACATCATCACCGAGCCCATTGATTGGGGGGCACATCCATGCAAAAATCCTCATTGACGATGATTTTTGCAAGACAGACCAAAAAATGGTAGTTTATGTGTGTGTGTGTGTGAAGGAAGAGAGAGAACAACATACAGCCAAAGCATCATAGTGGAGCCCATCATAAATCAGCATAACTCTTTCCTGATAGTTCTTCCCCTGTTCAACAGTATCCCAAAGAAAGAAGATAGAAAACTTCAGTGAAAAATTGAGTCATGTCACTTCAAAAAACAGATAAATTCACAGCACAGGGCACACGCCAACCTGTCCATACAAATCACATCTTGTGGTTTGAATATCGTATGCTGCAATTTCACGACCATAATAATCTGCCAATATTGAAAGCTCGATGGCACCTTCAAAAGAGCAAACAAAGGTAAATTATAGGAGAATATATCTAAGAACTCACCTAAACAAATATCTAAAGAGCCGCCAAACAACAAACCATGAGAAGCCACAAGCCCAACAATTTAATCAAACCGCCTAAGGACTTCACTTTTTCATTTTGTAACAACAAAATCACCATATCAATTGCAGTTCATACAAAACTGCAAACTAGAAAAGCAGAAAAAGAAGACCAAGCATGCTATGACTAGCATGGTGACATATAAAGCCCGTGAGCTACCTCTTACTGATTTAAGTCGTCTTTCTTTATTTCTAGTGAGCTACAGTAAAGCAATAGATGAGACGGGAGATAGAAAACAAAACAATTCCAATATACATACTTGCTCAAGTACATACAAGCCCTTATAGAGATAGGACTTCATACAGATGCATTCATAATTCTTTCCAAGCATATATGACATTTGCTCCAACAATATTGTCAACCACCGGAGGATAGGAGCATATTAGCATAAGCATTCCGTAAGCATCAAATAAAACTTAGGGTGCAATTATGGAATAGCACTCATTAAGTATAGAACTCTATATTGCTGACCCTTGAAATGAGGTATACCAACATTTACATCACTGCGGACCTCAAAATAGTGAAGAGCGGGTACTTGGTAATTGACATTTGTGGAAGGCCAAAAATTTGAGAAACAAGCTAGAATAACTCAAAGAGCAAGGCTGAAGAAATAGCACGGCAAAATTCTGTGAAAAGAAATACCATTTTTCAATGTTATGCGTAAAGTTTTGGCAATCCTTGATCTGCCATTTTCATGACAGGGAATGTCAAGAAAAGTGCAGGTCCAAAAAGGCCAGTGATTGTAAGATAACAAGCTTGGACCCATGTCCTGATCGATAAGTTATCTTGTGAATACCAGATCATACCATATTTAGAAAAGAAAGAAGTGCAAAACAAACCTCCCCACTTCTCTGGGTTAAGAATCCAAGCACAATATTTTCCATTTGGCTTTCCAAGGAATGCTTCAGAATACTTTATTGGATTGCTGGCAACCGTTGCAGCTATAACCTTCACAGAAAAAGGTCAAAAAGAGTTGAGAGTTTTAATAAATTTATCTGTATGAGCTATAACAAAGGAATATCATGATACCAAACTAGTGATAAATCACCAGCTGCTCCAAGAGTTTAAGATGTTAGAGAGAGGTGTAACATAAACATTTATCAAATACTTCCCCTCACATGTACCCTCTTGGGTAGCCTGTCCACGTGGTTGTTTTCTTATTTTGTGTCATAAGGGCGGAGGCGTTGGTGTGATTTGAACTCAATACCTCTCGGCTCTCATATCATGTTAAACCATCAAAGCATGTTGAAAGTGCAAATACAAGAAGGTGCAGATATCAACTCTCAAGGAAATATTTTATTACAAGAGATGCAAGTAAGTGTTAAAGGATAACAAACATGCTTATAGGGGTAAAAGGTGCCAGAGATAGAAATTGTGACCTGTCTCAACACAGGAGCTTTGTGTCTGTCATGGTCCATGACATACCTGTGTAAAGAATCAACCACAGAATGGTAATCTAAGACACTCACAATGTCACTCCAACTAGGTTTAAAAGATTGAAAAAAAGGTGGTGTAAGAATTGGAGCTTTACCCAACAGCATTAAAGAGGCAACTGTTGTCTGAAGGAATGACCCTCCTGACGATTTTACCTTCCATGACAAATAAAAGTGCACCTGCAAGCATCAAAATTTAACAAATTGCTTCCAATTATTCTTTTACAAATGTAAATGAAACTTTCACAATCTGCACGATTAAACCAAGAATCAAAATTTCATTTCGGTACATAATTTTGGTACACTTAAAAACAGAAACATTTCGGTAATGTTTCACAAACAAGACAAAAAAAAAAAATTGAAAAATTTATTTCCGCAACATTGGTTAAAACATACCAAAACATAAGTCAAAACATGCCGAAACACTTTGAAACATCTCAAAATATAAGAATTTTGATATTCAATTAATAATTGTTTCGATTTTCATAGAAACAAAAATATTTGAGACGTTTCAAAACGATCCAACTTCCAAACGAAATTTAGTTCCTTCGATTAAACCCACGAAACAATTCTTGAACTAAAACATTAGCAAGGAAATTACAGTTACAGGGCAAATCGCACCCAATAACACATGACAGAAGAAGAATTAGACGAGGATAGTGTAATAGACACAGAAAAATCCAGGTAGTTAATAGGCAATGCAAGATGAAAAATCCCAGACTTAAGCCGTCAAAAGTAATGATAGACAGAGTGGCTCAATCCTCGGCAAGAACACAACTTTGCAGATGAAAAAGATACACAAAAACCAACTACAGGTACCAGGACATGGACTCAAATACGTTCAACATGAAAAATAAAAGCAGAACACAAGAGGAGAAAGTCGATTCTAACCAAAACCCACTTGAAATATCATGTAATACTATCTATCAAAAACAAAAAAAAAAACAAAAACAAAATTACCTGAATCAACAAGACAGCACAGGCCTGTGCAAGGAAGAAGCAACCCAGATTCAGGAACCAATAGAAATAAATAATTGTAAAAACTGACTTTGATAACAGATGATGGGATGAACGGATTGAAAAGATCAAAACTATTTCTGGACCAGGAATTTGCTTTAGAGTGAAGCAAAAGAAATTCGGGAAGATAAGAAAAGAATCTGTGAAAGCACAAGTGAATTTGTGCATATAAATAACGATGTAAAAAGCAGAAAGATACGGTGAGGTTTGAAATCCCACGGCGGGTAGGTGTCTGTGTCCTGATAGATAACTACTACAAGAGGGCCAAAAAAGGCATCTTTGAGTACGAGGAGTTGATGATTGATGTCCTAAATTAAATCAAACCAAGATCGATACTAAATACTAGTCATTGTCGTGCCCGAAGACAATACGATATAAAATTTTAACAAACAATGATATCATATTTGAATAATTTCGGCACACGATTAAATTAGTTTTGAATATTTTTTATTGGTATAATTGATATCTTACTTTTTTTATAGTAGTCACCAATTTTTTTTTAATTGTTGATTAGTTTGGGCTTTGGATTTTTTTTATGTTCTGAGAACTATAAATTTTTGTACAGTAGTGATTTATTTTTAGTATAATTAATAAATTGATGATTTTATTTATAAATTATAAAGATAATTTAAACTTTATTGATTGATAAGAAATAAGAAGTAAACATCAACCACCGGTATTAAGATGCGTGATAAGAAAATCTATTTACGGTGTACTCTAAGTATAAATCAGTTTATAATAAGAAGGATGAAAAATTATATAGCAAGTGTATAATGATTTTTAATAAAATATTATACCAAAGGTTTTGAAAAAATCAATATACCAATTATCTTACATGTCAAAAAATGGTGACATTGTCCATTTGAGTATTATTTTTGTGTTGTAATGATAGCGTGTATGAAGTTATTGGAGTCAAATGTAAACTAACAAATTTTGAAAAAAGAAGCACTAAATTTAGAGATATTATGTATTTTATGTGTGTTTAATAGAAATATTTTTAATTTTATGTAAAATTTTATTGTAAAATTAAAAATTAAACAAATCAACCTAAATCAATGTACAAACAATACACTTTTAACATATAACATTTAACAACAATCAGGTAATGAGAATATATTTACAACTAAACCACACGAACATGAAAAATTAAAAACAACAAACTGTTGTCAAAGCATACATTACTAAACTAACACGAAAAAATCATCAATATTCATAAACACGCATAAATGTTAAACATTTGCTAACTGCACATATATAAAAATTAAACATAAAATATTTGATAACTACCGGTTATAAAAATTGAACAAAAAAAAATCAACATGAAATAATGAGATATTTTGTCATTAGCAAAATTTGTAATAGATATTCTTTTAACTAATTATTTATGACAATTATCAATATGTTTTGTTCACTTTCAATAAAAAATTAAATTTTGAGAACTATAAGTTTTTATGTAATTTTGAGCAAATTGGTGATTATGTATGAATAATAGTTCGAAGGTTTTACTTATGGATTGAATATTTGTATTTTTTGTTTCTGTGAAAGTGGTGATGACGATTAGATTGATTTTGATTTTTTTTTTGTGCAATTGCTAATACTTGTTATTTTTTATTGACCACTTATTTTTTTTATTGGTGATTAGATTAGGCTTTGTTTTTTTGAGAACTACAAGTTTTCATATAATAGTAATTTATTTTTGGTATAAATAATAACTTTATAATTTTATTTATGGATTGTATATTTATACTTTTTATTTGCGTGGAAGTGGTGATGACGATTAGATTGATTTTGAATCTAGTTACTTTATTATATATAAATATATGTAGATAGAGAGAGAGAGTTATATGAGATATAGGAGCGTTAGAGTTAAGTCAATTATGATCGCCAGATCAGTATTTATGAGATGATTTGAACTGTCTTTTATATTGAGATTATGTTATCCGTTAGATGTGTTTATATTTTGTGTTAAAACGATCTGAACCTCTATTTGTCTTCAAAATTCAAACTCAGCTCTACTTTATTATATAGATTTAAATTCAAATTCGTTTAGTTTGATATGCATTAACATTTTTTACTAATTATCAAAATATGAATTCTTTATACCCTATTTTATCAATTTGAATTTAGAAATATCAATACTCAATTTGATTATAATCTAATTCCATTTATGTATGCATCTGTATATAATTACATGACAAAATTAAGTGATTATTTGATTAAATTGTATTAAAAATTGGATGTAATTTAGTAAAATACAATTTAATATATTTAATCAGATATTTTGATCAAGTATTCGAGTCTTAATAGATTCAGATATGGACTCCAAAAATAAAGATGGGTAACATTAATGTTATTCAGATATAATTTAAGGACTTAATAAAACATTGTAACCAATGATATTCGAAAAATTACACCATTAAATAGGGGCAATTTAGTCAAACAGATTGAATTATATTGATGTAGTATGGTGAAGATTGCCCAAAGAAGGAAGCCTAGGTTGGTCTAAAGCGACCTCACGAAGGATTGTTCACGTCTACCCATCAAAATCCTCAAGAGAGTTAACGTTACAAGATTAGGATTACCAATCAAATTAATTTCCTTATGTGCGAGCTTGTCTCAATGGGGGAATTTCGCTCTGAAGCGCATTCAATAAATGAAAAACCCCGTTAGAGGAGTATGAGGTCATCACATATCCAAGTTAAAAGACAAGTCATTATGCCATTATAGCATATTCTAGAAAGTCGTGTCACATTTAATGAATATAATCTCTAATGACCTGGGGAATATAAATTCAAATGACCTAAATATTCCCTTAACAAACTCTTAATAAACTAAGGGACCACTCGACGGCGATAGGACCATCGTATATACATACCAAAAACCCTTATTCGAATAAAGAGAGAACTCTATAATTGATTCTTTTTCTTAAAGAAATATACAAGATCGTCGAGAGTAAAAGACTCTATTAGAGTAGACTAACTATACTCCACAACTAGTGAACCATTATACTTCCTTTGTAATTCAAATATCCCTAGTTCATACCTTCTTCCCATCTCACTAGCAATCCAGTTAAGGGCCTCCATCGCCAATCAATCCTTCACATTCATTCACACCCTAGTACAAAATTGCTAAGGAGCAATGTTATTGTGACTTAATTCATTGATTTAATTTGTCGACTTAATTCATTATGAAATTTAATTGACTGTGAGTTTCAGACTTGATGTTAATCTAATAGTTCTAATTAATTCACATCATTAGGTCAACAAATTATGTCAGATTTCTAAATCTAAATAGCGCTCCTCATTGCTAAGCCTTAAACTCCTTAGTTAAAGTACTTGGCTCGTATTTCAAATCACAACGTTATCGAGAATTATTAAATTGATTGTGGAGTATATTAAATGGTAAGTTTCATTGATAATTCAATCTAATCCGTTCATAAAAGTACGTGCAATTGAATCCCTGGATGAAAACTGTCAAAGGTATGATCATAATCATTTGTTTGAGTTAAATCCCAATTTGTTCTTGTGTGGATTAGATTTAGCTTTGTACCTATGCATATAGGATTAGCACCGAGGTGTGACGCATGATTGGTGGTGCAAGTGATGGAAAGGGCAATGGTGGTGCAAGCAAAGGCTTGGGGTGCAGCTGCCACAACAAGACCGGTGGCTGCACGTCCTTGCGAGCTCAGATCAATACGGGAGACCATAAGCATTTGGCCTGAGCTCCTGTCTCAACTCGCGTCGGTCCGGAAAGAACTTAAGGTTGTTAATAAAGTTAAGTTTGATGAGTTTGAGGTCGAGTTTGATGAGTTTATTTTTTTAAATGAATTTAAAAAATTGTTCAATCTCGATTCATTTAGAACTCGAGTCAAGTCCGAATGACTCGACTATTTTATATATATAAGTCGAACTTTTTAGAAACGAGCCTAAAAAATTATTCAAGTTCAACTCGTTTAAAACTTGAATTTAATTCGAACCGAATTTTATCTAAATTGAGCTTGAATAGCTCGTCTCGTTTAACACTCTTAGCCCTAAAAACAAATTAAAAAAATTATTTAAACTCAACTCGTTTAGCTTTATCGAGCCTAACACGAGCTGAGCTCAAGTCGAATTTTATTTAAACAGAGCCCGAGAAGCTCATCCCATTTAACACCCCTAACACTAAATGTGAAAAATCGAGATAAATTTTGTTATTAATAAAGTAAGTATAGAATGTAATTAGTTATTAGTATGGTGGGTTTAAGAAATGTAAACCTAATAATTTATAATTTAATAGAAAAAATAAAAAATTATCGGGTGGGAATAATTTCACATATTTTATATTTGTATCGTATCGGCATTTGTCTCACGGGTCCTTAGTCGTTGAACCAGGCCGCGGCCCAAACAAAACCCTGTGCAGCCAGCCACGTGTACCACACGAGTTTCACGTGTCAACCTAATCTACAGCGACAGTATGGACTTGAAAAAACTATACAATCCTACTTCTTATCTAACAGAGATCCGAAAAACAGCAACATTTTTCTTCTTTATTTTTTTTTCCACTTTTTTTATTAATTACTATTTTTTTTCCGCCATTAACGACCTCTGAGCATTCATACAAAACATAAAAAAAATTGCAGAAAACAGGTGATCCTTTCTTTATTTCTCTATTTTCTGACCTTTTTTTTTTATGATTATAATAGTTTTTTGAGAGCTTATTGTTGATCTTGTCCTCCATCTGTTCAATTTACTTTTTATTTTTGTTGAGTTCTGCATTTTGCATGCTTGATTCATCTCTCAATTCGTTTCGTTAATGAGTGAATGCAATAAATAAAACTCACAGTCAGGGTAATATTAATGGATAAATATTAGTTTTTAACATTGATTTTTCTGTATATTGTCACAATAATTAATAAAAGATTCATAGTGCAATGTGATCATCGATAATGACTGTGTATTGGAATCTCAATAAAACTCATAGGGAACTGTTTGACTGGTAGGAACTGGGAATTGAGTGCAAGGCGCCCTATGTGTTGAGGAATTTGAAAACTAGGTTTTTTTGGCACCTTGGATGTAATCGAACATTTTGAACTTTTTTCCTGAATTGGGTTGAAGTAGAATCGCAACTTTGTGAAATTTTTATTGGTGTTGAATAAAGAAATTCAGGGTTTTTTTTAATGCTGCATCAAATTGAGTTTTTGCGGCTATGTTTGCCTTTGAAAGCAGATAAGTGATGTGATGTCCTATTGGTAGTGATTTGTGTATAACTTGCAAGAAACCTTTTGAGCTGATAAAATGGGATTATCTTATTAAACAAAGTAGTATTTCTTTCATGTTCTTCAAAGGTCGGGTTGGATTTTGGGTGATAATTACTTTGAGACTGAACTCCCAATATTACAAATCGAGTTGTTTTATAGTCAGGCTTTTCACTCCCAATGTGGAATGCACTCCTACCTTCTCCGGTTCTCTCTCTGATAAAAACTAAAGTGCAGAAGACATATATGGCCACTTCCATGCTCGGACTTAGTGCACTCTCTAGTTTGAGAGTGTTTGAATGACGCTGGGAGTTAAAACTTTGGTGATAAGAGGCAGCGTCTGTATCAATAAAATTTGAACTCATTACTGAATCTGTTTTTAGGCTGTTTCATATTAGTGCAAGGAGATATATTAATGCATAGACATATGTAGTGCAAATCTATTGGGTTTGAGCACATTTACGTGGCCCTCTGGATGTGATGAATTCTCCAAGTGGATGTACTCCATAAACTTGGGTATGTTACTGCTTTTCAAAATATGTTGAGGTTGATGTGGTGAAAAACTAGAAACCTCTATCTTGATTCTCTATCTTTGCCTGAATGTATTGCAGCAAGCTTATACTGAAAGCATCTTTGAGTTTTATCAAAAGTATTGTGTATGCCTGGAATTTGGCAATTGAATTTTGTGATTTTGTGGGAGCACCTTTTTAGGAGGGCCAATTGTTCGAGCATGACATTAATATTGTTTCATTCCCAGTAGAATGCTTCACTGCTATTTTTTGGGGGATCTGACTGCAAAAGGTGTTTCGTAGAAATATTGACTATAAAGCATTGCGCTATATTCATAGGTTTGATTCTCATGCCATAATCAGTTTCAAAAAAATATTTTTTGAAGGTATGGAGATGAAAAAAAAAGCAATAAATTTGCATTGCTTTAACACTTTTGGGTTATGTAGTGTCCTTGATGTAGATGCCAATTATACTTTGTGCAAGAGAAGGTGTAACTTTGTTTGTTAGACTTGTTTTTAGTTGCTGGAGTTTTGCAATGCGGAAGATGACAATTCAATAGGTAGATTATTTTTTTCTTGTCATTTTGGTCAAAAAATAGTGCAGGAATGGATGTGGATTCTCCTGAGGATGGATTTGAAGAAATAAGTGATCTTTTGAATGAAGATAGCTCCATTTTGGCTGGTGAAGTAGAGTTAAATTTTGTAGCAAATAAGGAAGAAAAAGCTGAAGATTATGTTTTTGACAACTTAGCAAGCAGTAATGAATTTCATCTAGATATGACTGAGCAAGGGCAGCAGGAGCCCCCATTACTCCCTTCTGATTTCAGATGTTATGAGATTTCTGGATGTCATCCTCAAAATTTTCGTTCTCCTCTGCAAAGAGGATTTGATCATGACATAGATTTGAATGAAACAAAACCTGTTTGTGATCCAGAGAGGTTGCAATTTCCATCCAGCGATAACCATCACCAAGACGTGACTGAGGAGTTATGTGGCAGTTATCTTTGTACATCTTCCTTCAGTGTTCAGGTAGAAACTGTCCTCCACGATAATGAAACAGGAGTTTCTGCACATCCACTGGAGTTTCTGTTAATGGAGGACACAAATCAGGAAGAAGTGAAGGATAGGCCAGCCTCTCTGTCACATGATGAAAAGTTACATGAGGCTTTATCAGAGACATCGCAAAATGAGTTGAAAAAATATGACTTTGAAAACAAGGAAGTAGAAGAGGATGTTCCAGATCTGCAAATGGAAGAATTGTATTCTTCTCCTATATCCCAAGGGGTTAATAATGAAACCATGAGTGGAGACACTTACTATTCAAAAAACAAACCAGCTGAGGGCACAAAGCTTGAAATGTCCCATTCTCGAATGCACAACCATGAGAAAAATACACAGCTATCAAAATCACAACAGACAGAGAGACAACTCTCAGTTTCACCTGACACATCTCATTGTGTATACCAGTCTCCAAGGAATAAAAAGACATTGACTTCAAAACAAGACCTTCAAGACGTTTCAAATTCTTCTAGACCACAACGGCAGAAACATTTCTCTTCACCTGAAACTTCTGATCTGGGCAAAGAAGTCCCGTCCAAGGATCATGCATTGCGTGATGGTAGGCAAAATCCTGCTTCTCCACGAGGGTCTCGACAAAGACAAACATCCTACCATACGAATGGTTCTTCTGTGAAACGCGTGTCTTCATCACCAAAAAATCATACCTTGCACTTAAATCGTCGAGGACAGGACAGGTCAGTGTCACGGTCACCTGTCAGGCGAAGGGATTCCTCTTCTGTATACAAGAGTGATCACCGTAATAGATCTCGATCAAGGTCCCCAGATAGAAGAGATTACCATAGAAGGTCCCCAAGGTTCTTTCTTATCTTTATTGCTATTATCTCTCTATATTAGTGTTTGATCTCAAGTAGTAGCTACCCATCAAGATTTATTTGTTACCTGTAGATCACCGTAATGGGTTTGCCTTAGATGATGTTTTTTGGTAATCTGCCGTTGTATTCTTTTAACTCATAAGTTGAGACTTGTCACCTCTTTTAAAATATTCACAAAGAAAAGCCCCTCACTATAATTGTTGTGTTACTGTAAGAAGAATAAGACTGGGAATGGATTCATGGAACCCTATTCCTATCTAGAGCATATAGAAATTGCTGAAGACACAACAAATAATCCAGAAGTTTATTAAATTTGGTGAATGTCAAGGCATTACAGTTTTTGCAATGAACTTACGTAATTTCTGAAATTTTCCTCTCTTTGTGCCAATTTTGAGTTTTAAATATTGAAATCAACTGACTAAATAGAAGTAGACTGAAAGGTCTTGTCCAGATCTAATATCTGACTTTCAGACACTGATTTCTAAGATCTATTATGCACCGAAGATGTGTGTGCCCAGAGGAACTTTTTTCTTCAACCTTTCAGCCTTGAAATTCACTGATATTTTTCTCTTCACCAAAGAGCACAATCTCATCTAAACCTCTCCATTTCTAAAGTGGCAAAAAAGACCACTATGAATTGCAAACCCGCAGACTCTTTCTCTCAGTTAACATTGGTGATTTCTAAGGTAGTTAGGTGTAGAGAGCCCTCTTTTAGTTTGAAGTACCTTGCAGTGAATTCAAAAAGCATAGGGTAACTAAAAATAATCTCATTCGTCTACTTGTATGTGACAGGATACTTTGTTGCTTTCTACTTCTTTCCCCTCTTTGTTCTTTTGAAATTATGTTATTAGAAGACAAAAAAAAAAAGGAGTTTATGTGGATTATACATCAATCATGCTTTTCGTTTTCTTGGCCGATGTTTAGAAGTAATCACCATCTGCTTCTTTTCCTCTTTGCTTTCAGAAACATACTAATTTCCTATTTTGACTTTAGGAGGTACTCTCCAAGGCACAGATCTCCTCCTTCAGGCTATCATTCTCGCCGTGGATCTCCCAGGAGGCGGCCTTGGTCACCACCTCATAACAGGAGCACTGGAGTTGGGAAACCTGGAAGAAATCTATTTGTTGCAGGCTTTGGTTTTATGACCACAGAAAGGGATCTAGAAAGGAAATTTTCTAGATTTGGCCAAGTCCGAGATGTTCGTATTGTTCGTGATAAGAGGTAACTGTGTTCTGCACTCTTTTTAGTCAATAGTGTGTTGCTTGTTAAAAGACCAAACACATAATTTGCTATCTACTCCATTGTATTATTTCCAGATGCATTTGTGATGTTAACATATTTGAAGGACGTGATCAGATATATCTAGCCCTTTGTCAAGCTTACAGACTAAGTGCTATAAGGAATAACTTATTGGCACAATGTTTGGCAGTAATCCAACACTTAAAACCTGGTACAAATAGTGGAGTTTGACCTTAAATTTTCACCATCCACATTAGTTGCAGCTGCACCAAAACAAATGGAAGGCTTGCATGCAAGGATCGAAATATCGTTTTGAAACGGTCAAAACATCCGAAACGTTTTCGTTTCCAAAGAGATCGAAACGATTCAGTGTTGGAATCGAAATTTTAATTCTTCGAAGTGTTCCATAATGTTTCAAAATATTTTATTATATTTTAATATATTTGTACAATAATTTCATAATATTTCAAGGTATTTCAAGATATTTTGTGTTATATTTTGACCAATGTTTTGAAAATATAATACTTAATTTTTTTTTTTTCCATTCTGTTTTCGAAACAAGTCAAAACATTTCCGAAACACGTCGAAACAGTTTTGTTTTCTAGATGATCGAAACAATGCACTGAAATGAATTTTTGATCTTTGCTTGCATGTATATGCTTTTTTATAGCCATGAGCAAGCTATTTTTCCAGATCTGTATGAATGAGCTGTTTAATGCTCTTGCCCAAGTTTGTAGCATAAGCATGAAAATTTCTTCTTCGAGGTGCACATTTTGATACCAGTGGGGGAGAAGGGGAAGAAAAGTCTACACCCCAATAAATTTGCATACAAATAGGATCAGCGACAATGTTCATTATCAGATGGCTGTGAAATACTAATGCAAGATGATACCTATCAAGTAGTTTTGGTTATGTAAAATTGGCCTGTCAGAAGTTGGTGATTCCAATAAAGTGATGCCACGTTTTTGTAGGTGTGTTTTTGTTTGCCTTAATTGTAGTCACACATTGTTATCTCTGCTGTTGTTTTGGTTGCTCTTTTGTGATTGGAGACTTGCAGAATGCAGAATAGAAATTTTAATAAAGCGTGTTAGTTTAATCAACTGCAGCATTCTTTTGATGGTTTAAAATTATGCATTCTTTGTGTATGCAAGGTCGGGGGATTCGCGAGGGTTTGGCTTTTTATCTTTGCAGAGGGATGAAGAAGCAGATGCAGCAATCAGAGCTCTTGATAAAACAGAGTGGAATGGTCGGATTGTCCTTGTGGAGAAATCAAAATCTCATTAAGGAATCATATCTGCAGTTACCCTTATCAGATGAAATGTTTGTCCGCTGCGCAATTTTGTATCCTATCAAAAGCAACTAAAATAGCATGGCAAAATTTTCCTGAGATGAACAGTATGGTACAACTTCAGGACACAGTATCTGACAATACTCAAAAATTTGTATTTATGGATGAGGTAACTGACTGCTGATCTTGTATACATCGTTATTAGTTTTTGATCGATTTCTGTTGAATCTTCATTATATGGATTACGTTTTATATGACTAATCATAAAAATTGAGAAAAAATGCAATGAAGGAGAGTTAAATCCACATTTAAGCACTGACATGCCATTTTGAAGTAGAGGAGGAGGAGGGTGGGGTGGTGGTGGTGGTGGTGGTGGTGGAGGTGGAGTTTAGTTTGATCTTTGTAGTTAGGACCTAAAAGGGAGTTTACTGGTCACCTTTGTGCACAATTAGTAATTATTGAGAGGAAGCTTCAGGCTTGCAGCTGTTGGTGTTTTTTTGTCAAATAAACGTGTTTTTCAAATTTAGGAAGGAACGTGTGTTTCACGAATGACAACTTTTTTGTACAGATAAACCCACCTCAAGTTGTGCACTCAACGATTTCACGCGTTTCTTTTTGGGTTAATCTCATTTTGTACTCTAAAAGATATTTTAATTCATAATTTATACCCTTAAATATTAAAAATTTCAATTTACACTTCTAATATTATGAATTAGTAGTAATATGGGCTTGACCCAAACTGCCGTTCAATTTTTTGTCATAAATTGAAGAACATAAGTTTCAAGAGGAAGAAATATGTTCATCATCACTATAGATCTTCGTCTATAATTAATTTGACACCATTTTATATATTAAAAATATGGTTTTATTAATTAAATAGAGATTAACCTTATTATATACAACTCACGTGAGGTGTCAATAGTAAGTGAATTTACACATAAGTTCATGTCCGAAACACTTGTAACTCATGTGTTTCAATTGATGGCGAAAAATTAAACAATAGTTTGAGTCAGATTCACATTGTTATTAATTCATAATATTAAGGGTATAAATTAAAATTTTTAATATTTGAGGGTATAAATTAATAATTAAAATATTTTTTGATATATAAAGTGAAATTAGTCCTTTCTGTTTTTGTCCTCGTTTCTGCTCCAACTTTGACCATACCCACGTGGAAACGTGTCCCTTATCTGTCAAAAAATCTTATCTTTTGGTCTTGACCCAGGTTTAGCGTGATCATAGCAGCAACTCTTAATTAAATATTCAACAGTCTACTTCCCTTAAATCAAACTTGAACGTTCGTAATGGGGCGTTAATGGTGTGGTTGGTATGGTGGAAAAAAAAAATAGAAGGATGAATACATTTTTCGTTATTCGAGAGAGAGATTATTATTATTCTTCTTTGTGTTTGGTAGCAGAGATAAAATGTGGGAATTATTGATTTTTTTTTTTTTTTTGTGTTTAATAGAATGAAAAAGTGAAAGAATGAAAAAAAATATAGACATATATTTTAACATTATATCTATATTTAATATTAATGTATGCATAATATATAATAGATAAATAGAATACATTTCAAAATATATAATGAATTTTTTATCCATTTTTTCTCTCAATTTTGGAAAGATTGATTTTGGTGAGTTTGAAAAAAAATTAATCCAAATATATCGAAAATAATAAAAGTTTATATAACAAACATGAAATTAAATATAAAACTAAATTAATAAGTAATATTAACTTATAGAAAAAAATGATATTAAAAAAATATTTTTATGAGTAGATGAAATGAGATGGAGAATGAAATCTTAATTATGACAAAATATACAGTGAGTTTATCGTTTATTTGTTAAAAATGGTGTATATAATGTAATATGAAGTGAACGTAGTTATTAATAAGAAGAATATAAAAAATACACCCCAAAATTTTTATCTCATTCTCTTTGGATTTCTGGTGACAAATATGAAGGTCACAGGAAGTTGTCGGAAAGTGTTCTAGTTGGTCTCATTTTCTTGTTATAGACTCCTCTCAGTGGCTTTGGCTTTACTGTAGTCTTGATTAATTCGACAAGTCGACTCTTCAATCTCTCTCTCTCTCTCTCTCTCCTCATTAGACTTTTTCTGGAGGAATCCATAACTCAGATCGGTTTCCATATCTGGATCCTTCATTCAAAAAGTCCCAAAAATTTTCTTTGAATCTCAATCTGAGCTCCAGAAAACCGATCAGCTCTAGTTCATCACTGGTGTTCTGATCCAAAACTGAATTGGGTTTATCCTCTTCTCTATCCTTAATTCCTTGTTGTTGGTCCTCTGAAGTCAACGTTTTCGTCATCCCTATATTCAGTTTCGTGATTCCTAGTACTGCTTGGATCTTCTCTGTCCAAAAGTTGTACATTGGACAACAAAGTGAAATGGGTGTTTGTTGCAGCAAAGATAAACCTTCGAAGTCAAACGTTAATGTCCACAGATCAGGAGGTGGTGGTGGTGTTGATTTGCATCATCACCAAACCACCCAAGAACCTCAAATTCATTACACAAAGTCCCCTGCTCCGGCTGCCCAGTTGCCGGTAAGGCCACCACCGAGCCCCAAACCAGTTCACCGGCCAGATACAATTCTGGGTAAGGCGTATGAAGATGTTAAACTACACTATACCTTGGGGAGAGAATTGGGGAAGGGTCAATTTGGTGTTACACATCTTTGTACTGAAATCTCAACTGGTCGACAATATGCTTGTAAATCAATATCCAAAAAAAAGCTTGTCACCAAGAGTGATAGAGATGATATGAAGAGAGAGATTCAGATTATGCAGCATTTGAGTGGGCAACCCAATATTGTTGAATTCAAAGGTGCTTATGAGGATAAGCAATCAGTTCATCTTGTGATGGAGTTATGTGCAGGTGGAGAGCTCTTTGATCGGATTATTGCAAAGGGACATTATAGTGAGAGGGCTGCTGCTTCAATATGTAGGTCTATTGTGAATGTTGTGCATGTCTGCCATTTTATGGGTGTTATTCACAGGGACCTCAAGCCTGAGAATTTCTTATTGTCTGACAAGAGTGAAAATGCTCGTCTGAAGGCAACCGATTTCGGGTTGTCTGTTTTCATTGCAGAAGGTACTTTCCTGATCTTGTGTAACCTTCTGAAGATTTAAACAAGTTCCCAAGTTAATTTTGTATTGTTGTTTTTCTAGGTTGTTGGGACAATATTATTGATTGCTCAATTCATTTGAATAAGTAGTCTCATCCCAAGTTTCTCCAGCTTGAACATTTTTGATTGATCAGTTTATGTTTTATAGCGTAGTAATTTGTTTACTTTCAAAAAAACATCTGCCTAGAAGTTATTCTAATATTTGCAGTGCATCACGATTTGATTGTACCTGGTTGTAGCCCTCCAACTGTTTGTTTATAGCTGGTTTTGATCTTTCATATTCACTAGATATATATACTCATTTTTCACAATTGCATTGTTACTTCAATATACCATTTCATATCATCTAGTTGCAATGTTACATAGAATCTGGGGTTCTTCATAGCTCAAACAATTTGCTCAGTGGGAGGGCAAGGAGGAAGTATGCTGTGAATCATATAATTCTTCCTTGGGATATAATGCTTTCTTTGGCAATCTTCAGTCCTGTTATGGTTGAACCCTTATCCTTGTTCCCTATTGAAGTAATAAATTTGCATTCATTAAATCTTTTCCCACAATACTGCTCCTATTGTCACTGTTAGGGAGTTCTTTTGTTTTGGCTTTGGTAAACTGCCAAGACTTTAAATATCAGGAAAATCTTCTCGTCTTTCTTATGACATCACTGATCCTTTCTTGGGTTCAATCAAGCACCATCACTTGTTTTCACCATTTGGAATGCAAAGAGTTATGTATGGCATCTAGTGTAGATTAATATGATAAAATTCATGTGTTTACTCAACTTCATCAGTGCATAGCCACTGTGATTTTGTTGTATGATAAGGGGACATTTTTCAGGAAAGGTGTATCGGGATATAGTTGGGAGTGCTTACTATGTTTCTCCTGAAGTGTTGCGGCGCAGATATGGAAAAGAAATAGATATTTGGAGTGCAGGGGTTATGCTTTATATCTTACTCAGTGGCGTACCTCCCTTCTGGGCTGGTAAAGTTAGATTTATTGTATTTTTGCTTGAGAATATTGTCATTCTTTTTTTGATACTCAGGTCTCCGAATAGGTTGCTTTTAGGTAAAGCTTATGTCTTTTTACAAACTGCCTTACAGAAACAGAGAAGGGAATATTTGATGCCATTTTGAAAGGAGATATTGACTTTGACAGTCAACCCTGGCCATCCATATCAAAAAGTGCCAAGGACCTGGTTCAGAAGATGCTGACACAGGACCCGAAAAGACGGATTACTGCTGCTCAAGTTCTTGGTACATTCCTCACCACTTAGTTAATCATGATATAACAGTCATTTGAGAAATAGAACTAGTTATCTCTGGGGATTTTATATCCTGAAAAAAGAACTTGTATACACGTTTATCCTGAAATGACATTGCAGTAAACAGTAGAATTAAGTAAGCTAATTGAGATAAGTTAAAATAATAACTGTAATCAAACAGTTAAAACTTTTTGAGAGAGGCTATGCCATACCCCTAGTGAAATGCTATGAGGCACCATAAGAAAATGAAAGAATGTGCATGAACATCGTTTTGTTTGTTACTTTTACTTTGTCCAATCAGATGTGGATGAATAATTTCTGATGCAACCAAAATAATAAGTGATATCTATCACTTTGAAAAAAGTTAATAATAACCATTGGAAGGTGGTGGAAAGATATAATGATCACAAGCAAAAGACCACAAAGCTTAGTCATTGATGTAATCAGTGGAAAAGCTTGGAAAATAATGGAAACACACCTGAAAACGTTATAGTTCATCACTTTTGGGGAACTCGTATTGAGTTGATTATCCGTATTGCTGAAATCGGTGCACTTTGCTCTGGAATTTGTCCATGTGTGCGTGTTTTTTCTTTTAGTGTGCATCTTCCTTAATAAATCAAAAACTGCACACATCAACTCTTCCCAAACCCTGCATTGGCAGGAGTCTCTTGCACTAGATTTTATTTTATTTTTTCACGTGGTAGGATATCCTTGACACTATTGCACTTGTTTTATTAATTATCATATGAATGTCCTATATTCTTTTTTTTAAACCTGAAAATAGAAATTTTAATTGCTGATGTAGAGCACCCGTGGCTCAGAGAAGGTGGAGAAGCATCAGACAAGCCAATAGACAATGCAGTCCTCTCTAGGTTGAAGCAATTCAGAGCAATGAACAAACTGAAGAAGGTTGCGCTGAAGGTATCTTAAATATTTATCAATTCAGACTCCATTATTCTGCACGCCTCAGAAAGTTTGTATAATTCTATTCAAGCATTACATACACCATATATCCTCTCCGAGGGCATGAAAAGTTGAGCACGAACAGTCAGGACTCAGGATCTTTAGTTTTTATGGCTCCATAGAGCCCGTTAAGGACAACTTGGTTAAAAGTTAGCCAGACTGTTTTAAGCTATGACATCTAATCAGCTATCTGTTGCAATCATTGGAATGAGATTGATTTGGTGTGCTACAACTATTTACCTTTTCACATATTCATTTTGGTGGCACATGTTGTGACTGTTGAGACCCCGCACATAGAGTATGGCACTTTTATAATATGAGCAAGATGGCATGGATAAAAAAGAGTGTGTATGGGTCAAAATTGATTTTTTTTCAGGAGTGAACCATGATGCAGAATTTATGTAGCCAGATCATGGGTCTGAATATTATCTTTCTCTTCTAATGAAATTGGTGGATTCTGAAACCTATTCTAGGTCATCGCTGAAAATCTCTCTGCAGAGGAAATTCAAGGGCTGAAAACAATGTTTACAAATATGGACACCGACAAAAGTGGAACAATTACATATGAAGAACTAAAGACTGGTTTGGCTCGACTTGGGTCAAAGCTCACTGAGCCTGAAGTTAAGCAGCTCATGGAAGCTGTAAGATATTACTGGATGTGGAAGTATCTTCTTGTCATAATTTTTGGTACTTCTCCGTTATGGTCAATTTGCTAACAAACATAATCTGCCTTTTGCCTGTTGCAGGCTGATGTGGATGGAAATGGTACAATTGATTACATTGAATTTGTCACTGCTACCATGCATAAACACAAACTTGAGAAAGAGGAACACCTTTACAAAGCCTTTCAGTATTTTGATACAGATAATAGCGGGTTAGTGCCACATATGTGATAAATATCATAATTTGTATCTCCATATTGTCCTATCGTTGAATGCAATATTCTATGGAGCATTGAACTCGAAAAATCTTTTGGATGTCATTTCAGATATATCACAAGAGATGAATTAGAAACAGCAATGAAAGAACGTGGAATGGGCGATGCAGAGAGCATTAAGGAAATAATTGCTGAAGTGGACACAGATAATGTGAGTTCTTTTTCTACTTTGAAAACCTTACAGCCTTATTTGGTTTGCATCTTTGAAACTGTTTTTTTGTTTTCAAAAATTGTTTTGGGGAGAAAAGCTGTTTGACCAACTGTTTTATGTTTTTGTTTTTTGAAAACTGAGAACAAAAAGTGGTTAAATTTAGAGAATAAGTTAGGGTTGTTTTGTGTGTTTTGGAAAACAACTTTTCCAGAATTTAGAAAACACCTCCACCACACTTCCATCACCACCACGTCGATATACACTACCATCATATTTTTGTTTTTATTTTTTTTTGAGTTACTGTTTTCTATTCCGTAGAACTGTTTTTGGAATCATATAACCAAACAGATTTTGCGAGACAAAAAATATTAAAACACACTTTTTTAAAACTTTCAAAAAATAATTTTCAAATACTGTTTTTTGAGATGCAAACCAAATAGGATTTTCACAACACAATGATGCATCCATGCTTATTTGTATCAAATTTGCAGGATGGAAGAATTGACTACGAGGAGTTCTGTACAATGATGAGACGTGGAACCCAAACAACTGGCAAGCTTTTCTAGTGATATTGATGATTTGTGCACAAGTACAGCACTTCTGATATCATCACAAAATTACATTTGCTAATCGAAGGGAGCCTAAAGAATTGGTGGCGTAAAGATGTTGGAGCATTTGATCTCATCAGGAAATCGTTCCTTTTAGCTAGATGTATGTGTGACAGGCTTCTTATTTCATTTGTTTTGAGTAAATCATTGGTATATTCCTAATTTCATGTGTGGCCATACTGTTGTCCAAGTCTTCGACTCTCGTTAAGTTTCTTCTTCTCTTCTGTCTCAAGATACTGCTTCACATATGTATCAATAGCTGATGAGCATCTGAAACTTAAATTATGTTTGCAATCGAAAAAGTCTATTGTTTTGAAATGATCAGGCTGCATATAATGCTGATGGGAACATCACAACATCGTTTCTGCTAGATTTATGTTTGCAATATATTCAGCTTAAAGCCCTGCAGCCCTGCCTTTTATGACCTAAAAAGGCTTGATTCATTAGCTTTACAGGCTGGAGACCCACAGACCTCCCCACTATTTTCTCAGATAGGGCAAGATTGTTGGCCTTACCTGTGTCTTATAAGGAGTGTCTAAAGACTAAAAATAGTAGTTCTGTTCAGTCCAGCCAGATATAGAACGTTTTCATCCTCCTCCTTCCAATGTTGTAAAAGGGTATAAAGAAAAATACCTCCTTTTACTTTACTGCTTCTATACCTCAAGGTAGGAATGAGGGATGTTGAAGGTGCACATAATTATAATAGCTCCAGGACCAAGCTCCCTTATTAGTAGAATTGAGGATGGTGATCTCAAGGTGACACATGACAGGCACTAACCTCCTCATAGATATGCTCTTTGGTCTAGTTTTCTTCCTCTCCAACTATCATGCCGAGTCCAATGTCTGCTCTTTATTTTGGGGGTAAAATCTGCCCCCAAATCTTTCTTTCAGTTAATCATATGTCTCATTTCCTTCCACAGATGGCATGAAATCTTCGAACTTGCATTCCAAGAATTAAAATCTGTAAGTTCGGGCAAATCACCGGTAACCACATTCCACAGCAACATCTCAATCTCTAGCTTAACACGCTCATTGAGTAATAATCACAAAGCAAACCAGGCAGGCAGCACAAATTGCCAACTCGGAATTAGTCCATATGTCATGGTTTCATAGGGCTGGGGCTTGTCTTGATCTTGCATCACCGCGACTAACAACCAATTTGAATACCACCCCAAACCCTCCACCAATGCAAAACATACCATCAAGCTGTTCAACAGCATCAAACTGTAGATGCCACATACACACCCATCGTATACAAGCATCCCAAGAGCTAGTGAAGTTGGTGCATATACAATTGGGCCAATTCAGGCATATGATAGTTTCTCCCCAGAATCCATCATAACAACAATCCAACCACCTTACTATAAACCATCAAGACATTCACACCCAAAAAGTTGCTATAACGGGTGATGATTCAATGATGAACAAAGAATCAAATTCCCAATCCGCTTGCAGCACATATACAACACCAACAAATCGTCAGGAATTTTTCAATAGGCTCATGAATAAGCAAATAGAAAGCCTTCAGACGAAGAATGCTCTTAACAATCCCCAACAAAGCAAAACAGTACCACACTTTCATCATATCTAGCAGAAGACCCAAACAAAAAGAGGAGAGAATAGAGAGAAGCTCACACCATTGTAACTACAAAACTATGAACTTTATTACTGATATAGGAACTGAAGATCCGGGTACAATTCACTGAAGAACCCATGACACATATCAAAGCAGGAAATAAAAGGAAAGAAAAAAAACCCAAATTAGGTAAAACTGAGTCTAGATAACCAACCACACAGGGTGAACCTGGTGGTAATTACCTATCATCAACTGACACGACCACACAACACACAAAATACCAGAAACCTTAAAAACCATGTATTTTGATCTGATCCTTCTTCAATATGCCAGCCTGAACAAGGAAATTGGACACATTCTTGCGCTGATCTCCTTGAAGTTGGATCACCTTGCCAAGCTCTTTGTCCTGCACAACATTACCATTGCAGCAGAACTCTTTCTTGAGGTCCTTAAGGATTTTCTCGTAGCTGAATTCTTTCTTCAGCCCTTGAACCGTAGTCAGGCTTTTCTTTCCATTCCTTTGCTGTATACGGATATGCACATACTCTTTGGCCCCAGGGGCACCAGAGTCCTTGGCCTCAGCAAATGGATCGTAAGCAGTGGGGATCTCGACGTCGAGTTCAACCATGTAATTTGTTGAATGCAAATAGAAACAAATTGAAACCGGAAGCTAATTCAGCAGCCTGATAGATAATAAAAAAAAAAAAGGTGAGCTCCAAGCCTGCAACTATTGCGATATGATTAAAACATCTTACAAGGATCAAGACCACACTTCAACATTAATTATAACAATGTCTAAATGTCCCTATTTTGTCACGAACTGTTAATCAAGGATCATATTTCTTGAAATCAATATGAACAATTGATGAATTTTTAAAGATGAATCTCCCCATTTTATCACAGCTGCTAATCAAGGCACATAAATATCAAGAATTGGATATAAAAAATTGGCCGACAATAATATCTTGAATATTTGAATGACCCCTATGTTCATCACAACTGCTAATCAAGGCTCATATATGTCATGAAAACAATATAAACAACTGGTCGACAATAATATATCTTGAATGTTTGAAGGACCCCACCATGTTCATCACAACTGCTAATCAAGGCTCATATGTCATAAACCAATATAATTAAGTGATTGACACTAATATTGGAATGCTTGAATGACCCTTTTTCATCCAAACTGCTAATCAAGAATCATATGTTATGAAATTAATATAAACCAATTACAGACGATGAACCCGAACAGAAACTACAGATGATGATGTCCCCTAATCACCACAGAACAAGGAAAATCATACGAACATGAATGAATCAGGCATATAAAGACAATAACCCCACAATTTGAAGCAATCTCACTCCTAAATCCGACATACCAGAAAAAAAAAAAAAAAAATCTAAAACAAAAAAAGCAAATCACTCGTTCCAATACAACCCATCAAAGGCGATGGATTCATAAACCAATAGAGAGGGGAGACAAAGCAAAAAGAAAAAAGAAAAAGAGAGAGCGTAGATCTCTATCGCAATAACAATTTTCAACCAAGACAAAAGAACCGAAAGATCAAAACATCTGAGTCCTCCACCGTGGTTTAACAAAACCAAGAAACACAGAAACCCAAATCCAAAAAAAGATTCAGATGATAAAGAAAACAACCAAAAGGCCACAAATTGAAAGGAAAACTAATAATCAGAATGTTACCTAAAAAGTCTAAGCTTTGGAGAGGGAAACCACCGAGATTATTACTAGTGATATGGAAAAAAGAGGCATATGGCGTCCATATATATAGAGAGTTGAGGGGCGGTGGGTTTGAGATGTTAATCATGGTTAAGGTTATTCTGACCATGGTTAAGAATTCCTATTCTATGTCGGTAAGAAGAGTAAAATGAACGGTTACGATGAACCACCGGCTTTCATCTGAACTATGAATGACGGCATATGATTATTAATGCGTTGATTTAACGCACCCCAACCTAGATTCCCGGTCAAGGAATACTGTGGGTCCCAAAGCCTGAGAAGTATCTGGATACGTTTTTTTTTTTTTGGGAAGGTCAGCTTCGGGATACATTAAAGACAACGAATTTTTGAGTGTCTTAATATTTTATTTTATTTTATTTTTTAAATTATGTTTTTATAATAGCAATAAATTAGAAAATAAAAGAAAAAATTGACGAAAATAAAGTCAACTTTAATATTATGAATTAATAACAATGTGAACCTAACTTAGATTATCGTTTATTTTTTCTTCATAAACTGAAACACGTAAATTATAAGTGTTTTAAATATGAATTAATGTATAAATTCACAAATTATTGGTGCCTTGTGTGATTTGCACATGATAGAATTAACTTCTATCTGATTAATGAAATCTTATTTTCGATAGACAAAAATGTATTAAATTAATCACAAACAAATATCTATAGCGATGAATATATTTTATCCTCATTCCTAAATCATTTATACCTTACATATTTCAATTTATGACTAAATAAAAAAGGCAATTTGAGTCACATTCATATTATTATTAATTCAAAATATTGAAGGTATAAATTTAATTTTTTAATGTTTAAGGGTAAAATTAAGAATCCAAATATCTTGCAAAGTGAGATTAGCCTTTAAAAAGACAGTCATTGCCAGTTTTAGTAATGCTGACTCATAGGTCTGCATTACTGATTTGTTGATTTCGAATTCCAAGTTTGATGGACCCTCTAACCATAATGAAATGGAAGGTAAATTTTTACTAACCAAAAGGGCTTCTAGATGTAATTACCCCAAAATAAATAGAATAGTTTTAAATTAGTCAAAAATAAATGCCAAATGATGTGATACTGTACTAATACTTCTTTAGTCTCATTTCTATTCATTTAATATTCAAATTTACTTGAAAATTTTGGTGTCATATGATTTAGGATGTTCTTTTAAAGTGAGATTCTTTTTAATATAATTTTTTTCAATTTTTTTTCTTGACAAATTATATACCATACATTCAAAGGAGATTCATTGGACTTGTTTGAAGTTGACTAAAAACCTCAACTTTTTTTAGTTTTAAAGAAAAAGAAGACTAAACTATTTGGATTCGGGTTTATTGAGCAATTTTTCCATCGTCTTTATTGAATAGTTTAACACCAAGGAAAAACTAAAAAATAAAACTTATCCAAGGATTTTTATGAAAAAACCTACTTTTACAGAAACAATCTAAACGGTTTCAAGAACTTTGTTAACTTTAACTTTTTTATTTCATTTTTTCAAACCTCTATTTCACACACAAAAAAAAAACAATTCTAAATAGACTCGGTGTATACAAAAACATCCTTCACTCATTAATAATAAATGATCTATTAATACAAAAATTGAAGAAAATAATATTAAAAGAGATCTGAATCTCTACTTTTTGTCTATTTTTTTTAGCCAGTTTTGCATTACTAGGCTATTAGACTGGGTTTAAGTTGCATATGATATACCTTTTTAGCAATTGGATCATAAAAGGCCATTTACCCAGGTCTCGTTAATGGAGGGTACATATCTCGTGGACATTTATGCCTCTGTTTTTCTTACACCGAAAATAGAATTTCTTGGCAATCTCTTAGGGAGGTCACGAGATATTTATCCTTTATGAATAAACTAGTTCTAATGTGACTGACTTATCTTTACACCGATCACAGAGAGGATTAATCGAAATATGCATAAAATGGGCTGAACACCTTGACCGTTGAATCCCAAAAAAAAAAGAAAATAGAAAATAGAAATTCTGAAGCTATGGCAGCAGTGACACATGGTTCTCAACCTTAAACCTGTACAATATCTCAACCTTTACTTTAAAGTAACACATGGTTCTCGTGATCAAATGATAATATTGCATGAATGCAAGAAACGCAGGTGCAAACATGCACAGAATAATCAAGATCATCTCTTCTTTTTTTCTTTCCCAATATCATATGCACGATTCACAAAACAACTCCATGTTAATTTCAATGCAGTATGAAAGTACAATCTCAAAAATACAAAACCAAATGCAACAAGATACATTACGTGCTTGGGTGATCAGGTAAGCGATTCAGGTCCATTTCAACTTGGTGAATTGTCCATCGCATGTTTTCCAATTTCTGCGAGAAAAATGTTGGAATCAGAGTTAACCCCCAGAACCGAGGCAGCAGTATTAGTAGGGATGCTAAAATCTACCTTAACAATGTCTTGGTACTGCCTTGCAATTGTGTCGAAGTGAGGATCAACACCTTGGTACTCCCGAAGACGTGTAACCTGGTAACAATTTTAACCATTAGAACTTTTGTGAGGCTAACACGACCAAAAAAGAGAAGACAGCAACTCACAAAACACACACACATAGTCACAAATACTATTATAATCCCTATGAAAGGAGATAAATAAAGGGTCATATCCTTTGGCCTTTTGATAGAAAATTGTCAGACATAGCAAAATAGTTATTTATTTTTTTTCTTTTGTTTATCTGGGTTTCCTCCCAGTTAAATCACATATATACGAATACACCTAAATACGTAATCTTCTAGGTAAATTGCAACCTGATTTACACCTTGGACTAGTATATTGAAAGATAAGGACAAAAATAAACATATAACTCTTCCAAGCATCCATAGAAATTGGCCTCACCAGCCAATGGATCCCTCATAGACTCAACCACGCGGAGATTAGAGAAGTGTGTGATAACTAAGTTACTATCATACATCTCTAAAATCTTCTGTTGCTTAAAAAAAGGAGTATGCTCAGTACCCAGAAAAAAAAGAAGATGCACACTCATGAACAAACTATCTGGCAATATAGTAAAGAACTAAATACTAAAGAAGCATACAGCTTTATTGTATGCCAGGGAAGCTTCTTCGGTAGCTTCAACCAGATATTTCCTGAAAAACAAGAAAAACTAGTAACAATTTCTCACTGAATCATAAACTCAATACAATTTGGGTAAGTCATATCCTTCACCTTATTTTGTGGAGTGCTGGAATTGATTCCTGAGTATAAGTCTCAAGCAGGAGAATATGCTCCAGAACACTAAGTCACAATGGGATTAAAAAAGGCTGTTAATGACAATAATTCCCAATCATTGAAATCATGGAATCAACAATGGCTCAAACATGTCATATCGATATTTGTATTAGAATTAGGACGATTTACAGAACATAAATATCATGCGACAACCGTTAACAAAAAAAATGTGCCCTTTATCAGTCCAAGGAGTTACCATGTCACTGGTATCATCTAAAATTGAAGAGTGGAACAGAAGTTTCTTACTATGCGATTGCAGTTTTGAGTCAAGTGGATATTAAAAACTCATACTGGAGTGACACACTTAAAGATCAGAGAGATTTATTCATATTCCTACAATGGACTCTTCAAAAAGTTAAAAATCTCAAATGTCTAGAATGATCTGTAAGTTTTGCTGCTGCTTCATGCATTGAACCGGCTGCCATCATGCTTGTTTTTTATATACTACCCAGTAAAAGTAGCTGTGTTATTCCTAGCATTTTCTAATCTGAGCATCAATAACAAAAGGAGGGCAATATAAATGCTATTGTAAAAAAGAACCAAAAAAGGCTGGAGAGACAAACCTCAATTTTGCGCTCATGGTCTCACACCTTTTGCAAAGCCAAGTTTTTTGCAACTCATCCTATCAAATATATTCAGATGCTATCAGTCCGAAACTCCCTCCAGGCCAGAAAGTGCATATAATATTAAGGGTGAATTTTCCTAATACCATGCCTTGCATATTTTCCTAGATAAATGCTTAAATCACATACTTAATCAGGAGGGAACATCGAAACTAGCAAGCTTACGTATTTATGTTGGTGTTCCAACTTCAAATCTTTGACAAGCTTGATAAGCACACCAAGTATCTGCTCTAAAACCTTCAGGTCACATACATAAAAAGAAAAAAAGAGGTCTCATCATCATAAGGAAATTACTCGATACAATGCAAAAGATAAACCAGAAGATATCGACAGAGAGAGGTCCAATGATAGTAGGTTGAAGTTCGGTTTATAACTACTGACACATACATTGTAATACTCCACGAATTTTCTATCCACAGAATATAGATCCTCTTGCAGAGCTGTTTCTTCCCTCTCAATATCCTCAATAATTAACTTTACTCTGTTAACATGATCAGTGGAAGAGTGCAAGCTAAAGGTTAATCATCAGAAATCTGAAACTCCTTGTGGACTCCACACGCACATGCACATGCATACATAAATCTATCTATATAAGTGTGAATATATATTAAATAATGACAACACCAAAAATAATACAAACCTTTCTGGAAGTCGAGCACTTGTATTTGGATTACCAGTTGAGGAGACATCTGCAGCATGGAAGGAGTAATATTATGCACATAGTTTATCAGTTACAAATACAATCTCCAGTTAGACACATGGTCAACAATGTACTCCCCAGCGCCCAAAACATCAGTTGAAATTCCCAATCAAGCAGATTCTTCACAAGGGGCAAATTTAAGGGATGTTATTTTATGTCCCCCCTGAAGAAGTTAGTGCCTAATGCCACTGTGCACACACAGGTTTTTTTTTTAGGGGGTGGGTGGAGGGGGGGGATGTAAGATATAGGACTGACCAAACTCATCTAATATGCAGGCATCAGCTAACTTATCGCATTTTGCTTTTAAACGGCTCTCTATCTCATGGAAAAGTGACATCTGGTATTCTGCCATGTCCTACAATCACAAAGAAATGAATTATTCCTTTAACAACATAAAAGGATTCACTACAAAGCATGCATACATATGTATAAATATACAAATATAGATACACATGAATAGAATAGCATTTAATTTCACGTGACAATGAGAAGAACAAAATAGACCTCTTATTGATTGTTTAAAAGTCACGTGGATAGATAGAGTTGAAGTCTCTCAAAAATAGCCAATAAATTTCTTAAAGCACATTTTGCATCATCACTTGATGCATTACCATACCGTAGATAGTGGTGCATGCTGGAGTTGAGTTTGTCGCAAGTAAACAGCTGTTATTCCAAGGAATCGATTAGGAACACCACCAACTCCAGGATCTGCTGCATCAGTAGCACCACCAGAAAGAGCATTATTTGTCGTACCACCAGTCCCAATTGCAGAAATATTTGTGTAGTTCATTGAGTTTGAGTTTGAGCTTGAGCTTATAGTGACGCTGGTACTCGTACTATCAAGGGAGCTTCTTGACATTATACTACATTTCTCAATTTCTTCCTCCTGAATCTCACCATCTTTAGAAATAAGTGGAAGCCTTAACCTTTGATTGGCTTCTGCAACGACCAGCTTGTGCTCAAGAGCCTCATAAACCTGTAAGAACTTGGCTATTTTAATTCTAGTTCTTGTCTAGTTAGACCGACTCTACCTAAAAACAAATGCAAAATGCAGAGAAAATATAGCATTTAATTGAACATACAAATGCAGCTAAGTTGCCACATACTGACCACATAGTTTGTCATAAAGTGGGAATCCAAAAGTGCATTCATCTACTTTGGAAACCAAGTTTTATTGAAACCAAAGAATACATATAATATCTCTTACGTCAAGGCTACACAATGCAATAATTTATAAGCACACTTTGGATTCTAATGTCAAAAGGACTGAAACCTGAGGAGAGTTCTTCAAACCAAGCTGTGGATATAGGCCCTGAACCTCTCGAATTCCTCCAAAGTTGGCCGCTGAAACAGCCTGCTGAAACTCTTCCACCATCGCAACTGCCTCGCAATACAGTGCCTACATTAAGCCATCAAGCAGCAAAAGAATAGCTTAAACTAAGATAAAATACATAGTAAAACGACCAACAAATCCATCAAGTGTTCCAGAATCCTAATTCCCCTCCACTCCAGGCAAATACAAATCCCTATTTCATGGTATAATTGAAATAAACTTATCTGGCCATAACATTACCATGGCTTCTAAGTAACGTAGTCTCTCCCTCGACATTTCCTCTCTGGCCTGCAACACAACAACAACCACACAATCTTACAATACAAGAACTATATTCATGAAATTGAGACCATAAAATGAAGACATTTAAGACTAATCGATCCATGTGAAAAGAAAAAAGAACGATAAACTAGATTTTCTCGGCAGCCAAACGGAGTTCAATAGTGGATGTGGAATCGAAGAGAGAGGGAAGAAATGGAGTACTAGTTGGAGATCGTAGTAGGCGGATTTGGAGACGAGAGATCCATCGGGTGCCAAGCAGTGGCGCTCCAGCTGATCGATCACCTGAGTCACGTCGGCCGGTAGGTTTTGGGCACCGAGTCCCTTCGCCATGGTAGTATGCTTTCGATTAGAAATTCAGAACTGAGTGTCTGCAATTCAAAAACTGATCCACATTTCTCCGTCCATCTTGCACCAAAACAGACAAGCCGGCAACGATGCTTATCGTTTTACGCAAATGCCCTTCGTGTAGACGATGTCGTTTTAATTTGGGTTCTTTTCACTATTTCAAGGAATGATGACACTTTGTCCCCCCAACTGTCTTTTTTTCTCAAGTATTGTTGTATAATATTTGTATTTTAAATAATATATTTTTTTAATATTTATATTGAGATAGCGGGGTCAAATTGTTCTGTCTTCATCAACCTTCTCTGTATCGGGACTCATCGACTCTCTCGCTCTCATTGATGGACAAAGAGGAACCTGCTGTGGTCATAACGACGTCGTTGCAGAAGCTCGATTTGAATCTCAAGTCGTCCAGCAACGCCCGCAAGGCTTCTAAGATTTCCAGTCCCAACCTTCAATCCTCCTGTACTTCTCTATCTCTCATCTATCGATTATGTAGATTTACATGAATACACGCAAATCTATCGATGTATCTATGTGGGTGCTTCTTAATCTTTTTTTAAATTATGGTATGTTATACTAAAACTGGAGAACAAAGTTCCTATTTGAAATATTTCATTCGTGGAGACACATGCGAATTTTTTCATTATTTATAGACATACAATTTATATTTTTGATCACCTGATGTGGTAGTAGGGCGGTCAGTTTGATCGCATGGACCAACTTGTCGAGCTTGTTGTATTTCAGTACTAGATCCTCTGGAGAAGCCAAAGCCTCCCAAATTGGTCAGCTTATGTCTAGGAGTTGTGGGTAAGCATTTTGAAGATATAATTGAGGACTTGGCTGAGGTTGCAGCCAATTTCCCATCTGATATCAAGGTGAAAATTATTACCCTTGAGTAGATACTATTTGTTTTGCCTTTTGAAGTTGTACAGACAAGCAAAGGTATATATTTAGCTTGATATATGGTCTTATGTCATGCAATTATCCCTCATTATGTCTTAGTGTGAGGAAAAATTGTTAAGGTGGACAGCAAAATATTAGAGAGGACTTCTGTTACTCAAAATAAGCATACTTTTGTACCCCATTATGACACGCGAAGGTTCGCATAAACAGATGAACAACTAAAACATTTCTAAAACTCAAGTTGCTTGTGGGGTGTGTTGTTCTACTTGAATGATGGTATATGAGTTTTTCTTAAATGAAAATATCAAAAATATCTAATACCAGATTATGTGCTTAGTTAAGATCGGATGACTGTTTAAAACAGGGCAATGTTATCCTTACCGATGGTGTGGGTTGGTAACGGCATGTGGAAACGGGCATCTTGATTTGCTGCCCTAAAGATGATGTAAAGTGTTGTTAGCTATGTGAATTGGGGGGAATAACCGCACGCACAGAAATACAAACTACATTCCATTCCTACAGTAAAAGAAATATAAGCTCAAAATATCCAAAATTCTGGTATGCTGGAGTACAGCTGTTTTCCAGTTATCATTCTTACCTATCTGAGCTTACTTTTAGAGTGTATATGCAGACATTTCATCCATCTTTTTCAAGAGATTTTGTGGTGTTTTATTTTGACACGTCTAACTTATCTCATCAACCAACCAGATGTCCATGGCAGCTATAGCGAGAAGAAGAAAGTTACTTAATGATGATGTCATCATTGCATTGGCTGAAAGTTCATGGGAAAATCTTGATATATCTGGTTCTGATGTTTCTGATTTTGGCTTATCGAAAGTGGCAGAAATATGCAAATATCTTCGGTCCGTGGATATAAGGTATAAGTTTGGATTTTATATCGATTCAGCATCAAAGAAGTGAGTTAATGTTTAATAGTCTATTAGAATGCAACAAGAGCTTGATTATATCAAGGGAAACAATTTCCTGTTGGGACTGGTTCCATTTATAGATTTGCTTCAAAACCAATATAACTCGTCGGGTGATGTCTGGCTAGTTAATAAGAAGCTGCTTTTGCAACTTTTGAGTTCCACCCTTGTTGACTTTTTGCACTGTCAAACTCCCACAAAGGTCTAATTGCTGATTACATTTGATTTCCCTAGTTGCATAATGTATTTTGTATCGGCCTTACTTTTGAGTAAGGCCAGCTATATGCCTTTGCTATTGCACTAATATCTGGTTTTTGGAACCTTCAATTTTATTGAGACGGTTTTTTTTGCAGTCGATGCAGCAAAATCACATCAGTTGCTGTATTTGAACTCATGGAACATTGCCGTTCACTGGAGATTCTGAGATGGGGGTACTTTCTCTTTCCTTTAATCAAGTACCTCTTGTAGAAGGGCAACAGCATGCAATAATGGGTTATAATTTTCACTCCTACTCGCATCCTGGATTGCCTATGATTCTCTGCTGCTTCTTTGTTTAGTGGGATAAACTTAGAGGTGAGAGTAACAGGACAATGATGGTTGGAGGGGTCAGAAACAGAAAAGGCCAAACTTTATGACACGATGGTCTTCACTGGACATAGTGTTAGGATGTGTCTCAGGTCTTTAAGTTGTTAAGCTAATGTACAAGCGTGGCAGAATTGATTTTATACTGTGTTCCAGTAAGAAGGGAGTCTATGCTCTACATAAACTTAAAACAATATGAATAATAATGAAGAGCACAGTATTATTAGTGAGATCTAAGTAATTTCTGGTCACTTCTGTTTTTCAGGCAAATATCATGACTACATACGTTCATGATTTTAAGACTTTGACATCCTTAATATAATGAAACTGAGTTCGTCAACAGAATTGTTACTGGCACTTTCCATTGGCTGACCCATAGAACTTTTGCTTTATATGTTTTACTATTGTTGTTACCTGGGATGGGTATGGCCCAGTATATTGGATTTTGACATGGGGTGTAAACCTCATAACAGGCAATGAACCAAAGTTAATGTTGCAGAGGGTGCCCAAGGAGTGACTACACTGCACGCAGATGCTTGAGCATCTTGAAACCAACACTAAATGAGGTCGAGGGAGATTCTTGGGAGGAACTTGATACCTCGGAGTTAGCTCGTGCACAATCACTGCGCTGGCTTGTTTGGGTTTGTTCTCTCTTTTCATTTAAATTCATTGTCGTCTGTCTATGGTTGCAACCCATACTTCTAAGCATCATTTGGTGAGGACAAGTTGGCCTTGGTTTCCATCTTTTCTTTTCCTGTCCTCAATCCTTGACTTCTTTCTCACCTTTCCTTTATCTTGCAGCCGAAAATTGACAAGGATTCATTAGAGAGCTTGTCCACTGAATGCCCACGCATTATAGTAAACCCAAAGCCATCACCATTTGGTTACCGGGGAATTGAGGTTCCTAGGGAAGCATTGCTAAATGTTGTACTGGATGAACATGTTGTTAATGATATTGATCCAAAAACATGGGCTGTTTCTGGATTTACACCCAGGATATCTCCTTCAGTTTCAAGCCCGAATGAATTACCCATTGCTGAGAAATTTAGACTTGCATTTGTAGAGAGAGACAATCGATTAGCCCCAAAGCGAGCAAAGAATGCAAGGCAACATCAGCGACGTGCAGAAAGGGAGTGGGTTGCGACGAGTGCCAGAGCAAAGGCCCTAGCGCTTGCCTTACAGGTGAACAAATCTCTGCAGAGTCGGAGCTAGCTGTGGTATTCATCTTTTCTCTGCAACGCTGGTGAACGAATCTCAATAGTAAAAATATATGGATTTTAGACGACACCATGGAGAATTCAGACAATGGGAATTGAGACTTTAGTGATTAGATAGCAGTTGCTATCTTATTTTATAAAATTTTGAAATCAACTATAAATTTGTCCATAAAAAACTCTTTCTTGTTCAGTTGTTTGTTCTTTATGCTGGACCAGCAGTCACAACCATTCACAAATGTTGGACACGGGGGTTGACATGACATGACTAATTTTGAGGTAGTAGCTCTTCGTCTTCCAAGACAGTGACCATCTTCTGCTATGCCCATTTGTATTCGTTCCTTCTAACTGGATTTTGAGTATCTTGTACAGGATAATTTTATGTGCACTAAATTTATGCAGAGTCATTGAGAATGTTAGGCACCTTTTAAAAGTCCTAAGTTTAAGGTTTACTCACAAGCCTAGAACATCTTATTGGGTTGCAGCAAATGTTTTGTCTAACTCTATTCCTGTGAATTGGGTCAGCTGCCTCCGCCCGAGCTTAAGGCTTACTGTTATCTGATTATGTTTAGCATTATCTTACTTGAATGAAGTTATGAATATATTAGTTTTCAAAAAAAAATTGCAGTTATTAGACAGTGATAGAACTCATTAATCCAATGGTTGCAAGTGATTTTGTGTAAATTTTGCTGCATATTTTTTATGCACATATAGCATTGCTCCCTCATAAAATACAAAACAAAACGACAAGAAATTTTTGCAAGTTGTCTTATAGTGTGTTTGGTTTGATGTAAAGTTGCATAGATGGAAAATAGAGGAAGAAAAATGGGATAGAAAGAAAGACCCACCAATTTTTTCCTCCCAAAGTGGGAGGAAATTTAGAGATAAACTACTTTTTTGAACAAATTGATATTTTTGTTCTTAAATATACTTCTAAATATCACAATTTCAAATCAAAATCTGCACATTTATCAAAAAATACTTCTAAATATTCTATTACATATATTTTTTCTATGTATGTCTTTTGGCTATTATTTTTGGTATAGATATCTCTATTTATTTTTATAACTAATTAGAGTGACCACAAATCTTTAAAAAAATTTTATTCACCCTTCTAAATAATCAATTTTTCAACAATATGGAGCTAGTTGACCTTAATTAGATTTTGTATTTACCCAAAAAAATTAGATTTTGTAACAAAATGAAGTGCAAATTTTTTTATTGTGTGCAATGAAAAAATATGATTGAAAACACGCTAGGGCGGAACTACATTTTATGGCGTTGAAACATGATTGGATGCAAACAACAAAATGTTCTAACCCAAGAACCTTTCTTTCTCTTTCAAATATCCAATTTTTGAACAAAATGGAGGATAATTTCGGTTAAGTTTCACTCCAAAAATGGACAATGATTTTTGTCATTGGCCCATTGGTTGTGTGTATGAAAGGAAGCGGCTCAAAAAAAAAAATTAGCACCAAAATTTTCAATATAAGTGGTTTTGGGACTTGAATAGAAATATATTCTAATGTTCTTGTTTAATATACGATTGAATTGAAACGTATAAAGTAAATATTTATCTCTACTCTTTTGGTTCATATTTTGTTAAAGCTTAATGGTATTAAGTTTTTTCTCATTTAATGATTTAGCATTGAGTCTTTATATATTTATCATTTTTGAATCTTAAAAAAGATTATCGGTGAAATTTGTTATTCATGTGTTTATCACGTGTGTGCAATAATTTTGGCACACTTGATGAACTGACAGATCTCTCACCTAATGACCTCGAGTTTACTTGAAAAATTGTAGGTTCTGTAGCAAATGGGTGTTGAGAAGTTGTAACGAATGGTAAGGAAACTCTTCTATAAATGATTTGCTCATTCGTAGGCTTTCGAATAGAATCCTATCACTCAAAAAAAAAGGTTAGAAGGGCGCTAAAGTATTTTTTGGCGTGATCCCTCCTACAATTAAGTCAGTATCTGAGAGAGAGTTGAAAAAGTATTGTTCTCTTGCTTGTGTAAGAGTTTGCGTACTTTATACTTGTGTTTGTGAGAGTTATTTATATCTTATTGGAGTCAATCATTATGGACTGTTAGGTCCATTGGAGAGAAGACTCCTCATTGACTTATTTGGAAGCCAGCAGGTGGTGCTCAATCATCTAGCAGGGAGCCTTCCTTTTCCCATGATTGAAGTTTCTACATCTAATGCTCAGATCTCCAGGCATTTAATGTTTGTCTTTCTGATATTACCAAGCAATAAATGCGTCTCATCCCACTGAGGGAGTCATTTAATGTCCTCTGGCTGTGGCTATGACTGCATATGCAAAAGGATATTTTCGTCCATTAACCTCAAATAGATTGACATTTCAAAGTTTTATACTTCTTGTACCCTTGTCATCGGTCAATGGACTATATTTCCTACCATTCTAACATTCTGGGAAAGATGAAATCGGTTGTTAACAGCCAACTCCACTTCCAAGTCATGATAAACGTATTAAAACATTATCCATTGCTTGCATGGGCGACTTAATGCCGAGGCAATGTGTTAGTTAGAGAGTCTCTCGTGGTGGACCGATGCCAAAGACACGTGTCGAACGACTAGAGCTTTGGAAGTACTTATATGTCGAGGACACGTGTTGACGCTCAATGTTTCGGGGGCCATGAAGGCCGAGGACACATGTCAATCTGAGAGAACTCCAAGGACATATATGTTGAAGACACATGTCACTCCAAGGTGGACCTTTAAACTGACACGTCGAGTACACATGTCAATCTAAGAGGACTCCGAAGACTTTAATATCGAAGATACATGTTCCTTCCATCAATCCCCAAATATGTCCCATTGCTCCACCGTTAAAAAAACGTCTTTTTATTTCACCATAATAAAGGGAATTCAAATGTACGAGGTGAATTTTTGGTCATATTTTATTATCAATGTGTGATGCTACTTTTATGTTTTATTTATTTATTAATTCAAATATTTCTTATGCTTGAATTTATTAGAAATTTATTTATGGTGGTGAATATTTTTATTTTTGTTTTGATTTTCCTTAGAATTGAAATATTGCTCCGCCCTTGTATAATGGGATTGCGGCCTGTTTGGCAGAAATTAGTCTATACAATTGCTGCCACCTCTGTTATAGGCAAGGTTTATTCTACATGAATTCAGACCCCATATAAGTTGTTTTTTAACATATTAAATAACGATTTCTCAGCAGAAAACACATGATAATAGAATTGTGTAAAAAAATAATAATAAATCTATTACCTTAAATAGTAAAAAGTCATCCATCTGACACAAGAAGTTGATGGGTTTGTTTGTTTATCTTCCCAACCTGTCTCCAATGCATTGCCCTTACCCGTCACTTCAATCCCACATCGATAGAAGAGAAGAACTTACGTTGGATTGATAAAGTCCTGAAACAGCTCAGCCAATCGCCGAGCTCAGTAACGTGGGCTTGTGATCCGAGTGGAGGCATTAAGGTGATGGAACATTGGGTCAAACCGGATGGTAAGATTCGGTGCTGCAATTGCTGGTCCGCCCGATCCAAGCATAGAGCTGAACCACGCTGCTCCGGCGAAGGCTGGAGCCTCATGGCTCCTAGAGAGGAGGGCAACGCGTCAGGCTGGCTTCACAGAGCAGCGAGAACCTCCCGCTCCATGCGGTGGATGGAAAACGGGTCAGAGCGCGCTTAATCCAACATTGCCTGACAGAACGACACCAATTGGACCATCACCTTTTGTAATTTTTTTCCCCCAATATCTTTCTATAAACAGCCATGGCCACCGGAGAGCTTGCTGGGTTCTCTCTCTCTCTCTCACAGTTTGTGGGTTTTCTCTGGTTTGTCAGGTGGATGGGTAATTTTTTGCTGCAAGTGAATAAGATTGACTATTAAGGGCAGAGAAATTGACTGTAGAGAGAGCAGCATTCCTGCCTAATTTGCAGTTTGGGCAAAGATCCAGTTCACGTTCTTGATGCATTTTTTTTGGGTCTCCACATTCTTGATGCATTGATACCCCATTATCTGAACAAAACTGATTTTGAGTATACCCACACGCACACCTTCACACGAATAACCGGTTCCATTGGCTTCCATAATTTAGTCCGTTTTTTCAGACAAATCCTAGTGTTTTGGAGGATCGAAGGAGAGAGTTTTCTCACAACAAAAGAAGTTCAGGCTAGTGGTGATCATGTTTTTCCAGTATTTGTAAGTGAAGAAATTGACAAAGTTGAACTTTTGCGTTACCAGGCTTTTTGTAAATTTGATGGAGTATAAATCTGGTGATTCATACATTGCTTCCATTGTTCTTGTCAGTAAAGGGAGAGGTTTGTAATGTGAATGGGATATGTGTTGATGAAAGTGGATTGAGTTCTTGAGATTGGCGACTATGGAAGCGAAATTGACTGTGGAGAAGGATGGTGGAGATTGGCCACTATAAAACTGTTTAGAGTAAAAAAAAAACTCAAATAAGAATATTCTTGTCTACTAGAACATCTTAACCAGAGACAAGAGCGTCCACGAATAGTCTGAAGAAGGGAGGGGGCGCTAGATGGGTTCTGCTAAAAAAAAAAAAGTTATGAGGGAGTCAAATGTGTATGCGACGTTTTCCCTCTGGTGATCAACTCAATCGTCCGAATGAGGGAGGTATGCAATATCTCGGTTGTGATAGAGTTGCGTACCCATGGTATTAGGCTAAGGGAGCATTATAGTCAAGGGTGTTTCACTTGTGTTCAAAACGAGACTGCCAGACAAGTTGGATATCCTATCAACGTGTTAGAGAGAAACTCTCTTAATTTGATCGTACATGGAGATGTCAGGGGTAGTCCTTATTGACTGTGGGTTAACAACTTTTGAGCCGTAACATTACTATGTCACGAGTTACACACTTATAGTTCCCTAGAGAACAAAAGCCAAGCCATTATTGTCTATTAATGCTTGGTGTGTGTTTTATTTATTTGTGGTCTAAATAATCGTCGACAGTTCTAGAACACTAGATAACTCGTGACATATTTTGACCAGTTTAGTCATTTTATTATTTGATGTGCACTTTAACATTAAATTTAAAACTTAACAGAAATTTGTAACCCTAAAATTTTAAGACAAGCAAATAAGTGATATATCTTTTAGCCTAACAAAAATCAAGTTCTATCATCCCCTTCTATCAAATGGGATAGTGGCCTGTTTGGCAGCAAGTAGTCTATACAATTGCTGCCATTTTTCTCATCATGTTTACAAGAAAGGTCTTATTTTCTACATGAATTCATATCCCATATAAGTTGTTTTTCAACTTAATAAAAAGCAATTTATAAACAGAAAACACATGATAATAGAACTGTCCAAAACAGTAATAAGAAATCTAATACCCCAAAAGCAAAAAAGTCTCCCATCTGACACAAGAAGTTGATGGGTTCGTTTTTCTATCTTCCCAAACAGTACCCGCGTCACTTCAATTCCACATCGATGAAAGAGAAGAACTTAGGTGGATTGATAAAGTCCTGAAACAGCTCAACCAACCGCCGAGCTCAGTAACGCGGGCTTGTGATCCGAGTGGAGGTACTAAGGTGATGGAACGTTGGGTCAAACCGGATGGTAGGATTCGGTGCTGCAATTGCTGACCCGCCCGATCCAAGCATAGAGGTGAACCACGCTGCCCCGGCGAAGGCCGGAGTGTCATGGCTCCTAGAGAGGAGGGCAACGCGTGAGGCTGGCTTCACAGAGCAGCGAGAACCTCCCGCTCCATGCGGTGGATGGATAACGGGTCGGAGCACACTTACTCCAACATTGCCTGACGGATCGACACCAATTGAACCATCACCTTTTGGCCTGTAATTTTTCGTTTTTGATCGATTTTACTAGTTTTCCTTATTTCTCAGACCCAATAATCTTCTGCAAAACCCTAGGGAACCTGTCAAAAACCATGTATTGCTCTGTGTAGTTGAAGTTCTTGACAAAAACCGAGAGGTGGATTGCGGAATTGAAGAATCTTGGGTTTAGATTTTATTAGACGGATCAAAAGAAGGTATGCTCATGATGTATTTACAGTATTTGTGAGTGATGAAATTGAAAAAAGTTGGGCGTTTTGTATACTGTGTTTGTGCGCAAAGCGAGAGGTTCGTGATGTTTAATGGGAAATGTATTTGCTGCAAGTGAAAACAAGTTGTTAAGGTCGACTACTAAAGGGGCACGAGGCTCCCGCCATTGTAGGATTTAGGGAGGATCTTGAACCCGTGACCTGCAGGTCATAGCTATGGTCACTGGTGAAATATTGGAGATTATTGTTGCAGAAGCGGAGGCACTTGTGTTTAAGCTCTTCATTTTTCTTGGTTTGTGCCTTTTTCCCATGCTTTTTGGTTAATCCTTTATAACACATTTAGTATGCATGTTTTTGGTCATTGGCTCACTGCTTAGAATGAAATGACACTTCTTGACTGCATTGTTTTTGTTGGATTTTCCGGAGAACTCTGAATTGTTTTGGTTGAATCTTCATTGTGAGGCAAACATTTAGATTTGAAATGAAAAGATGTTGGGCCTTTGTTTCAAGTATAATGAACATTCCTCCATGCAGCAACTATTATCCTCTTTGGTAGGTATTTGAATTCATACCAATCAGCATTCCATTTGTTGTACAGATTCAGGATGCTCTAGCTTACAGTTCTGCTATCCATTGGTCCGGCTGAAAATGCTTGAAGATGAAAGGAAACTACTTGATTAGGATGACTGTAGGTTTGGGGCTTATTCAATATGTCTACCAAGATAGCATCTTATTTGAAGTCAAGCTGTGACCAAGTGACCTAAATTTCCTCCTTTGAAGATCCAATCTCAGACCACCTTTTTGTCGTGAATCATTATCAATCCTCCCGTCAGGTGTGACATTGAGTTTAAGACTAAGTTAACATACTTCTTTTCACTTCAGAATAATTAGGAGTGAGGGGACTGTGCACTTTGACCGTGCTTCATATCTAGAAGCTTTGGGTTGGATTCCTTTGTTTAATCATCTGGAGCTTGGCTGTTGGAAAGGATTTAAAAGCATTTTCATTACGAGAATTGAAACTTCATGATGTTACTAATCGGGACATTGGGAACTAAAGGGACAGGGGCATATAGTTTTGTAGAAGAGTTGATGCAACTCTGGAGTACCCTTTTTTTCTATGTGCTCAGTGTTTGCCAATCTTGTCCTTGTTGATAACCTTATACAGAGGTCATCTCAAATTAGTAGTTTGAAGCATGGCAGTGTGGTAAGTTTCCCAGAAGGCCAGTGGCTACCGATCAGAGATTGAGCAGGATAGTCCACGGATGCAATCCGACTCTCTTCATTTTAGTCCTAGTGCTATCACAGTCAAATGACTCTAATGCAGTAAAAATATGGGAAAGCTAGATTGCTATATCGGAATAACATCCTCCAGAGACAAAAGGTGTACATACAGCTACCTTGATTGAGTTCGACTGATCACACCGCACAAACCTGACTGGTTGTTTTATCTGAAGATCATAATACTTCTCATGGTCAATAGAGATGGAGATCTTGATCATAACTTTTTTAAAAACTTCTACTGGAGGGTGGGGAAGATGATAAAATGAGCGGTATTCCTTATTAATTTATGAAAGTGAACTCTTTCTTCCACTTGCGAATGGCGTTTCGAATCATTTGCTGCCTGTATGAGCATCTTTTCTGAACTTGCATATTACTGATTGATATATGAATCTTAGTCTTCCCTTTGTGCTGGAACCTGCTGGTAATACTTTTACAACTTGGTGAGATCACTGTAATGTCTTTTGTCCATTGTCATCTGGTAACCTATGGACTAGTTCCACACACACACACACACAGGTGGCTGTAACATATTTAAGCCAATTAGATTTTTCCGGGTACTGGGCAATCGTCCCGACCATACATAGTTTGCGCTTGTAACTATAACAAACGATAGACATACACAATCATCAGCTAATTATGCACCTCATCAGTTATACTCGAGATCATTGTAATCATGAAAATTAGAATTCAAGACATAAATAACTAATCTTCTAAGATTGATTAACAGCATCAGAATATTTCAAGGGACGGCACAAGAGACATTTGTTGTACATCACTCCCAATCATCAAAGGTTGCAAGCTGGGCATAGACTGGCATATGCTTAAGAACAAATGAAACACGTGAAATATAGTGGCGGCGGTAAATTTGTGGGACCCTCATTGTACATTTTAACAGCCGCCCTTGACAAGATTGATAACTGGACCAGAGGAATCAAGTGGAGTTCATGAATCTGGCGGTCATACCCTCAATACAAAATTCCAAAGATTCCTTGTTACAAATCCTCTTCTTCTTCTTGAAGCAATCTGAGAGGTTGAAACGGCTTGAACTTGTTGAAATTTGATTGGATTGGATTTTGCTTGAATTTATCTCTGTATCTGTCTCCTTATTGAAGAGGTGGGTGTGGCCAAGTACATTGAATGACGGCCATGCTTCTTCACTGTGGATCACATTTGAGGGACAAAAGCAAAAGGTTACTTTCAACTTTGTTTGGAATGAATAGCTAAATGTCCTCCAAAGAGTCCAATAAACTTTGAAAGTTTTTCATTATTATTTTCACATTGTCGTTTTCACTCGTATTTTTTACTTTTTTTTAATCAAACACCATCCTAATCAATTTTTTTTTTCTTTTTAGATTTGTAGTTCTTAAGCAAACTCAAGGTGCTTGTCTAAATCTCGCATATCCTATCAACTAGAACGTACATTACATTACGAGACTTGAATTGAAAACATCATACTTATTGCATTATTTTTTTAAAAGAGTTTTGTCATTTATCAAACAGAAATTCTACATATAGATTATATGATTGTTGTCATGCATACTGCAGACATTCTTTTCTTTTTTTTACATTAACCTATTGATATGTTTATGCACCTATGTATTGGTATCATATAGCTAAGAAGGTTACTAGGCTATTGAGGTAATTGAAAACCTTAACAACATGCCATCACGATTAATTTGTGTTTTATATTATGTACGTACGTATAGAAATATTAAATGCTTTTTTGCTCTATTATATATGCAGACAGGGGCAATATTGAACATTTGGTGAGTATCTTTTCTTTCTTGATGGGTGGGACAATTTCATCAGTAAAGCCGTAAAGGCAAAAGAGAAAGATGAAAACAATATTGAATATTATGTCAAAATGCATTGTACTACCATTGGTGCAAGTGGGCTTTAATTAAATAATCCTGCTGATCAGAAAATTCTATTTCATGAAGAAGAAAAACCAAATCTAGGAAAGAACTGTGAAAGGTTATGAAAACTTGACTTGATTTTCTTTCTTTATTAAAGGAAAGTAAAAAAACCCAAGTTTGCTTGTGAGAATATAAATAAAGATAGATATGATTTCCCATTGTCCCATTCTAAAATCTAGGTGGACTCCATATCCCTCCCAGCACCATTTTCACCTTTTTCCTTGTCTTTTTAGATCAAAAAAATGGGGGACAGAGATATGAAAGTTTTGTTTCTGTATCTGTAGAACAATTAGTGAATCCAGGTTAGACAGGTCCTAAGCTTACTAGTGAATTAGTTATAGACAGGTATTACTGATCTTTCTCTATCAAAAATCAGGCATATCAGAGACAGGAGGGAGATAAATGGAGACCCTTTGGTTTAGAAAATCTGTAAGACAAAAGTCACTTCCTCGTCTTGCTGATTGCACTGTTGCCTTAGTTGTCTTTTTCTGTGGGCTCTTAAAGTTCTTCAAAACCCCACTACTGATATAAACTCTTCAAAAGCCAAGCTTAGGTAAGAAACAAAGTATTAGAATACAAAATATGAATATGCATCTGTAAAAGGCTCATCTTTCAACCCATCCCTTTCTCTCTCTCTAGATCTCTCTCAAAACTACCGTTTTCTTCTCATAATCTGCAGTGTCCATTTTCAGAAATCTCTATATAACCTGTAACTTTTCAATCTATTCAAGCCAGGGAAATTAATTCTTTTCAATCTTTCATCTCAATTAATTCTCCCTCTACCATTAACTTGTTTCATTTGTGGATTCTTAGTTCGCCATCCATGGAGGACAGGTATGGCCTGTACAGCCAAGGTAGCAGTGGATGGACAACCATGAGGAATGAAGAGTTTCAAGAAGAAGATGTTTGGTCTGTTCGCAGTGAAAGAAAAGCTTTTAATTCCAAGATTGGTACATCCAAGGAGTCCTCTTCCATTACTTCAAAGCGCCTCCCTGCTGCTACGAGAATGATCCCCAGAAATAACAATAATTCCACTGGTGACCCAAAATTAGCTCAACAGTCAGCTCCTGTACACATACCAGACTGGTCAAAGATTTATGGGAAGAGCTCAAAGGCCTCCAAGAATGCTTCATGGCTTCATGATGATGATGGGGATGGAGGCATAAGAGTTAGTAGCTGGGATAGTGATGAAGATGATGATGGTGGTGATGATGGAGATATGATGCCTCCACATGAATGGATTGCTAAGAAGCTTGCAAGGACACAGATATCTTCATTCTCTGTGTGTGAAGGTGTTGGGAGGACTCTCAAAGGGAGAGATCTCAGTAGGGTAAGGAATGCTGTGTTAACCAGAACAGGATTTCTTGAATAATAATGCACATCATTATCATTATCATGATGGTGATGACACATCACCAGTATGATTGGTAATGTGATGTGTTGGAATATGGGTCCCCATGCAACCATGGTGGTATTGTTTAATGCAGTATTGGGTATATTTGGTTTGTGATTGATCCTTTTGTCAGCTTAAATTGTAACTAAGCTATGCCAAATTGTATGTTGAAATCTGTGCTCTTAGAATCAGAAAAGAAACAAAAAAGAAGAAAAATTTCTGCGTAGGAATGTATGGATCCATTTGACTGTAAATAAGCAAGGATTAGGATGTTATCAATAGACAATGTCATGTTGAACAAATCTCCTTTCATCATCGCATAGCGTATGAGACAAGTACATGCAGTACAATTCAGGTCGTATTCTATGGTTATACCTCCCACAAAAATCATATTTTTTATAATATTTTGTTACGAATAAATAAAGATATTAGAGAATTGTAAGCGCATAAAATCATAATTATTCATATGGGTATTTTCCCTCTAGTAGCATAACTAAGACGAAAGACTGATTTTTTTAGCTGTGAAGATGGTGTGACAAAAGTTTCGACAATTGAAGGGATCTAAGAGAACATATAGCCTATAATTACTTTGATATCATCTGAAATATTCCCAAGGTTTCTTCCATAGTCATAGTGTTTTTTTTTTTTTTTCAGTTCAATGGCAAGAAGTGTTCAAGTCACCTGACGTTAAGGGCGGAGCCAGACTTTTTTAGTTGTGGGGACAACTTAATTATTTGTTAATTGTGTGTCATGTTTATAGACGATATTTAGAGTTAAAATTCAACTTTGATATCAAAGGGGCTACGGTGGTGGAGTTTATAAGCCTTGTTGATTGTTATATAAATTTTTGAGTTTTTTAACAAAAGAGAAAAAAAAATTCTATAAATTTTTAACTTTTATGAGTCATGTTACGACTTTTAAAATTAAAGTTACAATTTTTTTGGATCAAATTATAATTTTTGAGATACTTGAAATCAATTCTAAATATTAAAATCGATTATTTTAATTCAAGATCAACCGTAAAATTCAAAAAATAGCTTCTTTGATTTATCTAAATAAAAAATATTTTGTTGTTCTTGGAAATAAAAATTTGAATGTGGTCCGAACTCATTCCTGTTGGCGTATCCTCTAATCTAACAATCTATTCAAATTTGCTTATAATTAATCAAATTTTTATTTCATTTAAAACTATTAAATCTAAAAAATAAAGTATATGAACGGCCAAGATCGCTTCATATATATATATTTTTTTTGTAAGTTGGATCACTCATAATTTTCTATTGTTTTCGTAGAAAATTCCAATGTTATCCGGCGGGCCCACATCTAAAAGTCTATCAAAGACAAATGGTGCCAGAATTGTCTGTAAAATACAAACTTGCCCAGGAACTTTTATAATATTTCATTGGGGGCAATGTCTTAAATTTTTTGAAATTCTAAATATACCCACATGTTTTAAAAATTGCAATGGGGGCAGCTGCCCCCACTATAGATTCGCCCCCGGCTAACGCGTTACTCGACTAATTTTATCTTTAATTCGGTCAAAAATAAGTTATTCATGCTGTTCTAGAGTATTCACGACAAATAAATTTCTTATGACCTAACCTCAATGGATTGTCAACATTCGTTTATATTACCACTTAAACTACATGTTAGGTTCATAATTATAGTGTTTAGGAAGAGAGCTGTGGGTGGTTTCAAGCAGGAGTATTAGTCAAGACAAGTTACTCGGACATAGATCGGATAAGACTTAGACTCGAGTTTGAATTGACTTTTAAACGAATTGAGTTTGAATAATTTTTTATACTTGGTTAAAAACACTTAATAGCTCAACTCAAGCTCACAAAATTAGACTAATTTATATGTAAAATAGTCGAATTACTCGGGTTTATCTCATAATTTTTTAGATTCGTTTAAAAAAATAAACTCGATAAACTTAGGGTCAAACTCGACTCAATTAACGCTCCTAATTTCAAGAATTTTCTTCAAACCTTTGTTTTTTTGAAATTTCCTTAGTCAATAATTGCACCTAACGGATCAATGACTCAAATGTCACCTAACACATTGTTTGTTACACGACATTACTGTTTTTTTTTGGCATTTTTTTTTTGTAATTTATTGCAATTTTTCTAAATATAAAGGAAATAGTTGAAAATTGACTAAAATAAGAGCATAGAGCGTTGGATCTCTTAAATTACTTCAATGGTAAATCAATATTAAGGAGAAACTCACTTCAATATTTATTACACTTTTACTTACTTTTTATAAAACGATAAATCACTTAATCATGAATTCAAGTGAAACTTATTATACTATTTTATGAACGTACATGAACCCTTTTACAGTCGGTGTGCTCTCACCAAACCTTGAAGAATAATAATAAAACACAAAAACATTAATGGAATAACGCTGTTTGGCCAATGTAACAAATGGCAGGAACACTACAAGTAAACAATAATTTTAAATAATATTATTTAAATTTAATTTATTAATCTAATATTTTATTATCCTAGGATAACCTAGACTATGATATTTACTAGGAAATCCATAAGAGTTTCTTTTTTATCCAACAAAAAGAAAAAAGAGGGAGAGAAAAGAAAAAGGCTACTACGATACTGTGCGTGCTGGATTTTGCACAATATAAATACGAGAACAGATCTCTCCCTTGGTGAACTCGAGTGAGTCAGTCGAGTAATCAACCCCGCTGCTTGGAACAACCTGTGAGATCCGGTGGTAACCTGAAACGGTAATGGGAGACTCTCGTGAATTAATGAAACGATCCAGTAAAGCGGGAGAAGGTTCCTGGAACAAAGAAGAACAAATTAGAAGGGCGCCGGAGTGTTTTTCGGCTTATCCCCTCCGACGATCAAGTCAGTCTTTAAGAGAAAGGAAGAAGAAAACACTGAGTATGTATTGTAGTAAAGGTTTTTTGTTGCATACCGTCTTGCCTTTTGCGAGGAGTATTTATACCTCAAAAACTCATGATTGCTGTCAGTGTAGTTAGTAGGTGATCATTAGGTACAGGCAATGTGCCCACTGATTTCGACGAAGAATGTTTTCTCTTTTAACTGCTCGGGATCCCGAGCAATCAATGTTGTGTCATCGGGCTGCCGACTGTTCAATGAGCTCCTCTCGGGAAGGATGCAATAAATGTCTAGCCTTAGAGACATTTATTGCCTTTCACTTCCGAGCCTTATCGCATTGAATGCAGCCTCATCAAGGGAATGATGTAATTAAATGTTTGTTTTCCCAAGTCGTGTGTCAGCAAGGGCATGCGGTCTTTCTGTCTCTGATGTGACACAATATGCCACACGTCCATTCCCCGTTGGTTGTGGGCCCTGCCTTCTTGTGCTTTCTGACACCAAATGTGTAAAACGAGGTCATGATAGCTAACCTAGCCTAGCTTAGGCTAATGACCTGTACATTAATAGCCTCTGTAGGAGCAGAGAACGTCATCCTGGACGGAGGTACATTTCGAACCCGAGGGGGAAGTTCATCTCGGAGCCGAGGGGAGGTGTATATAGCGACCGATGTACCCATATCAGACCGAGTGATACGTGTCGGTTAGTAAACGTACTGAATGTCACTTGATCCCTATGACAAAGTACCTCGGGGGAGAGGGACTTGTGAACCGATGGTACGTGATCTCAGTAATAGAATTTAGTGACATCGAAGACACGTATCTTCATCTTGGAGTATTTTAAAAATATTTCATCAGATACTGTATTAAAAATTATAAATTTTTGAGGAGTAAATTATAATTTTTAAAGGATGTGATCCATCACGAGATATTGGTATTGGTATTTTAAAGAAAATTCATGATCGATCATAAATGTGTGATCAATTATGTAACTTTTCTTTTAAAATATATAATTTTATTATAAAAAATTATACCCGACCTTATAATACCAAATTTTTTTTGGACCTTAGAATATTCGGAAGACGAAAAGAGAGAACAACTCAATTGCTAGTGGGAATTGCTAATAACGTCATTACGAAAACGGAAAGAGATGTGCCACCCACTACAATTTTCCGATAGGACAACCTAATCTCTGGGGTCGTTCTGTAGGTCCCACAAAATAATCTATAATAATAATAAAAAAAACGTCATGTGGCGAGGAAGTATCAATTTGAGAGAGAGAGCTGTCAGAGTGGAGCAGCGTCCTTTTAGCCTTCCCCAGTTGTAGCTGTCTTCCATTTCAATCCACCAAAACGTGTAAGTTGAGACATTCGGACAGCGGGATAAGATGAGTTAACATCAATAAGAAGTGGTTGATAATGCAGTAGACCCCATAAATGCCAGATGAGTTAACACCAATAAGAAAAAAGAGATTAATAATGCAACAGAGCCCATAAATGCTACTTTGTATCTGTCATTTAAGATTTTTGTACAAAAATTATTAAATAATTTTAATATGATTAAAAAATAATTACACAAGATTAAAATACTCTTATTCAATGCGTATTGAGAAAGAAATAAATATGAAAGATACTTAGTCTATACTTATGGTCCGTTTGGTACAAAGGATGAAAAGAAAAGAAGGAAGGAAAAGTGAAAAGAATAAATTTTCCATCTATGAAAGAAATAAAAAAATTTTCCCTCCTTTTTGTTTGGTAGAAGAGATGGAAAATAGAAGAGAGATATTTTTAATCGTTTGGTATTGGATGAAAAATGAAAGGAACGGAAAAACATATATGCCCAATTTACAATTCTGCCCTTAAATATATTAAGTAAATTTTTTATTACAAATCAATCCAATTAATTTAAAAAAGATTTTAATCCCCTTATTTTTGTTACGAATTAATTTTGGAGGAATTAATTTTACTTTAAATAATTTGTAATTATTAATTAAAATGGTAATATATTTGATAGGATATTTAAAAGTATTTCTTGATAAATGTGTAAATTTTGAATTGAAATTGTGACAGTTTACAAGTATATTCAAGTATAAAAGATTAATTTGTCTAAAAAATAATTTGTTTGTTATAGTAAAAAGTAAAAAAAATGACAAAAACAAAATAATAAACAGTATTTATCTATTACATAAATTAGCCGTGTGGCGGCGTGGCCCGTGTGGGATGCTATAAGAAAACTCACCAGTTTTATCCGATGAAGGGCATAAAAGTAATTAACCAAACCTCATACCAGCTGTCCCACTTTCTGCCCACTTTTGGACGGAAAATAAATGGTGGCCGGGAACGACCAGCTGTCCACCGATTTTTCCATTCCATTCACTTTTCCTCTTATACAAAACAAGGGAAACTCTTTCGATCCTCTCCATTTTCCATCCTCTCTTTTTCGTCCATTTAATTTTCCTTCGTAGCAAACAATGGGTTAATTTATTAAGCACTTATTAAAAAATAGAGATAAAAATAAATTTGACAGAAAAATATTTATTATGCTTTGGTTTCATAAAATGACAGATATTATGGAATAAAAACAATTATATAAAACGACAGATATTTAAAAAAGAAAAAAATAGACGAGTTAACGCCAATAAAAAGAGATTAGTAATGCAGTAAAGCCGATAAATGCTTTGTTTGGGAAGGTAAAAGTGATATAAGAAATGAGCAATGCTATTGAGACCTAATTTATTAATCTAATTTGCTGACTTAATTCACTATGACCTTTAGATTAATTGTAAGACCCATTAAATATTAAAACTTGGTATTAATCCAATAATTACAATAAAATTACATTATTAGGTCAGCAAATTAACTCTATTTTTTAGGTTCAAATAGCATTAGTCAGAGGGTATAAATCTCGGATTCAAACTCGACTCAGATGCTACGGTAAATATTAACCTTCCTACGTGGGTTAAAATTAACCCACCTCCCTTTGGGTTTAAATCCCAGCTGATATGTTTTTTATGGGTAATGACATATTTATCCCTCTCCTTTCTCGTTTTACTCTCGTTTCAAGCCACCATGGGTTTGATCGCTCTCTGTGAAGGCGACAATGAAGGCGGATTGGGTCTCGCTTTCTCTCTCTCCCTATTACAACGAATGTCAGTGGTATATGTTTCGCTCAGACCTTTCTCTCTCTATCTCTAGTTCTCCAATTAGTACTCATGATATAGTTTTTTTGATCTCATCTAGTATCTTTGACAACCGTTTGTCTGGTTTCTCTGATTAGAACAAATCTAATTTTTTATGCTAGAGGTAGCAACGGGGTGGGATTGGGTTTTGGTGGTTCAGATGAAACAGGGGATAGGGTCTAAATTGGGTGTGTTTTTTTTTTTTTTTTTTATTGTGTATGGGGATGGGCTGAATTAACAAAAAAATAAGTATGTGTGCGTTTATAAATATATTAGTCATAACTCCAGCTTGAAGGTATTATAAAACATAATATTGTAGCGTTTAAAAAATTGATCATATTATACTAAATTTAAAGTTAATTTTTTTGTTTCCATCATTTAAAATTAATTTTTACCTATTACTTTATTAAAAATAAAATCAATTTTTTTTCAAAATACATAACTCGATATAATTTTTTAACATGTGTATATTATTGTATATGAATAATGTATGAAATAAAAGTTATGTAAAACTACAAATTAACTAAGTATTAAATGTTTGAACATGTGATAAGATTAGATGATGTGATATTTTTTGAGAGAAAAATATAAAGGAAATAAAATTTAACTTACTAGCTGATATATATATATGTGACTATTTGTGTATGTGAGTTTATACCCAACTGCTGTGCGAGAGAGAGAGAGAGAGAGAGAGAGAGGGGCTGGGGAAGTGGAAATGAATGGTTAAAAACATACACATAAATTTCCTGTGTGTGGTCTCTGTGCGTGTGTAAGGCTACTCAGAGAGAGAAAGAGAACGGTGTACTTGGGAGAAAGTTGTCCATGGCGATGAAAAGGTCGTGAGGGGCAAATGAGCAAACAAAGAGAGAGAGAAAGAGATAGGGGTGGCGTGTGTGGGGGTATAATTGCCTTTTTTATACTCAATATCCATTAACCCCCATCTGAAACCCTTCCCCCCCCCCCCCCCCCCAACCGGGTTTCATGAAACCCAAGAATATAAGTTTAAATTGCCTAAAACGGGCTAGGTTTGGTAATTTGGCTAGAAATATAGTTGTCAAACATGGGATTTGCTGAATTTTGTAGACATTTATTCCCAACCCATCTTCCAAATCTCCCCTTGTCCCACATATTAGTATTAAGTTGAGAATAGAGATAAATAGCCCTTGGGTCCCATTTATTTTTTGTTTCTTGTGTTTTTTAAATGAGAGATTATTCATAGGATTAAAATCTTAGCCCGCACTTAACCCGCATGCTATAGTGCCCCAAAACTCATGTTGAAGAGTTTATCTGATACCACCTAATAGACGATAGTGTAGAGTGGTATAAGGGGCGGGTTGCCAATAAGATAGGTAGTTAAATTATAATATTACCTCTCAACACACACTTCGATGGTATTATGTAATGAAATTCATGTCAATCCAACCCCATAATTTTTATATCTTGATATATATACTTTCTCCAATGTCATTTCATGCTTTGATGCATGCTAAGTGTTTGTAGTAGGCTCTATCAAAAAGGCATAATTGTAGTTTATAATGAGACATTAATTAACGAAAGTAATCTTGTTATGGGTACTATATTTATTGTCCGTTGACAAATTTTATGCAAAAATGATAATTTTAACTTTATTGCAATTCAATTTATGGCCTTATTTTTATTAGTTAATCTGGCTAGGGTCTCTCATTTGGTATTTAAACTAATTTTATTCTTATCGAATTTTTAATATTAAAAAAGGTCTTTCAAATTTTAAAAAAATTTGAATGTAGGTCTTTGTGTTGGTGAGAATGGTAAGCGAATGGTTAGTTCCTGATTTTTGTTACCTAGTTTACTCTCATCACATGAGTTCAACTTAAAATATAGTTAATTTCTGTTTTTTTTTTTTTTACGTTTGTTATTGAAATTTTTACAGTGTTGTCTATTAGTTTTGAAATTCAAACTTGTAAGTCAAGCTATTTGAATATTATGATAATGTCTAACGATTTGTAATTTAGTGTACTTGTCTGAATATTTATGTTTATGAAGAAAAAGATACATTAACAATATGTATTTTAGTGTACTTATCTGACGATTTGTGTTTTTAGTCTATTTGTCTAATGATCTGTATTTATGGAGAAAAATGAACATTAGCGATTTATATTTTAGTGTATCTATCTAAGGATCTGTGTTTATGGAGAAAAATGTATATTAACATATTAACGATCTGTGTTTATGGAGAAAAATGTTCATTAATATTCTGTCTTTTAGTGTACTTGTCTGACGATTGTTGAATACCTGTTATTTTTTAGCTAAAAAGTATATATATATTTTTAATTGTGTAACTGTTTTTTTTGGTGTACATGTCTTACGATTTGTGTTTATGAATAAAATTGTTTATTATGATGACGTAGTGTTAAAGAATAGACATTTAAATTAAGTAATGACATTGTCGTTATTTTTTACAATTATAAAATGCGTTAATAATGTCAATTGCTTTGACTCTTCAATAGAGACCTAATCCAAAAAAAAATTTGTGAGTGAATTTTTTTTGAAATCCTATTAGGCTTAGGAACCCACTTCACAATACCAACTCCGAAGTGGTATTAGATATAGTTAAATACATGGGTTTAGAGTAACTATAATTGCGGGTTAGAATTTAGATCTGAAAATTAGTATCGAGTTTAAATTACAAAATAAATATAAGGTATAAGTGAATCCCATGTACTAATTTCCTCTTTCTAACCTCTTAATACCCCAATTATACCAAACAAACACACCTTAATTGATTTATATTTCAACGTTTTGTTGCTATGCATTTTACTTATTTTAATTACACAAAATCATTGAAAATAAGTTTTTGAATTATAACAAAGTCCAAAATCATTCAACAATACTTCCAAAGCCCTTATTACACATCACATGCAACATTTCAATAGAGACAATAATTAAGAATTCAAAACTTATCAGCAGCAATATAACAAAAATAAAAACAAGAATTTATTGGGAAATTAAAATTTCATATTGCCAAACATCTTCCTATGATCTAGCTACTGTGTTTGTAGCCATATATTCTCTGATAATATAATTTAAAAAGACAATAAAATCACTTTCATGACCTGTCCCTTGTGTTTTTTTCTCCATACAAACCCTTCTCTCTCTTCCCTTGCTACCAAAAAAAAAAACTACTTTTTATTTTTATTTTTAACAAGCAATGATATTTTTCCACTGCAGGGAAGGGGAGGGCGAGAAAAACTCGAATCACCAACATGTCACTTCATCGTGGAGGGTTCCAACCATTTGATAGGACTTCGGCTCTATGCCTTTAAACACTGCAAAGACCAGCCTGAACAAGGCTACAAATTTTCTCAATTTTTCTACCATTAAAAATCTCCAATTCCTTCGTAGCCAATCCTCTCAATTTCTCAACTTCTCCTTCCATTCCCTTCTTATTTCTTCCCACTCCATACAACATCCCCTCTATCATTCCCACATACAGCCCATATTTTCTCAGCTTCTGTACCTCTTCCTCACTCCCACCTCCTAGTATTGCCCCACATGCGGCCCCACATGCATATAGCCCTCCTTCTTTTTTCTTGCAAACATACTCTATATCTCCTAAATTCCATGATTCCTCACCTTTCGATTGGCTGCATAGAAACTCTTTGTACTGCCCATCTACCACCCCTTCTGACCCAACAGCCCGGGTGATCTCCACGATGACCCTCAAAATTCGATCTGAATTTGATCCGTTTTTCACTATTGATTTGGCCAGTAACTCTAACCCAAATGGTATAATTCCGTCTCCGGTGAGGAGCTCTACATTCGGGCTGTAGGCGTGGTGGATTGCTGGTTTGGGTCGGATCCGGTCAGTTAACGGGAGGTGCTCGTGGGTGTATGCTGCGGCGTGCATGAGGTGCAAGGCGGAGGCTGCAGCCATGGCTTGGTCTCTGTCGCCGCCGACGAGCTCACACGCCGCGATACACAAGGCCGATGCGGTGATTCTCGGCGCTGCGAAGGTGAGGTAATGCATGGGCTCGAAGACCGACACCGGTGGCCTGATCGGAATGGCTCTCTTCAAATGAGCGGCGATGTCAGCTTCAATGGAGGTCCAGTAAGACTGGGTTTGGCTTTGGGTCTGGGTCTGGGTCATGTTGATGGTAATGGGTCTGTGGCATAATGATGGACGGCTAGGATTTGATCTGGAGATAGTGAGGAAGCTTGGTCTTCCATGGAAGTGGGAGAGACCTCCTGCCATGAATGGAGGTGACAGAAAACAGATGATAGCTGTTAAGCTGTGAAGTGAATTAAAACCAGACTTATAATGGGATGTCTTTTTAAAGGTAGATGAGCACGTGACACACATGGAAGCAATCTGGGCCGTTGAATCATGGGCAATCTAGATCGATGGATGAGGTACGGTTGGATAAATATTGCTTTGCCGTGCAAAATAATGAAGTAATGAACCGCGTGTTTCGTGTGGGTTTTGTTTGGCAATTTTTTTGGATACAATTAAATCTTTAATTTTGTCATTTACTCGATCAATCCTCTAATATTGAAGATATTATACACAAATTCCTTGAATTTTATACATACGTAACACTTAGACCCCTGTTTTCAACCTTTGCATATTCGTTGGTAAATTACACTCAAATCTCTTAAAATTTATGGGTGTGTAATACTTAAACCCCTTAAATTTAAAATGTTATACTTAAATCAAAAATAATTTATTCAAAAATATAATATCAAATATTTTAAATATTACAACAAAAATTCATGTTTTATTATAATATTTATTGAAATAAAATCAAAAATAAAAATTTATTTCTTTTAAAAAAAATCGTAATTATTTTACAATTATACTATCTATTAGAATTTAATTTAATCATTTACATGACAAAATTAAACTACCAAATTACTCCAATTAAAGTTAGAGTATATTATGTTCATTACAATTTGACTATTTGTTTTATTATTTAGTTTTATTCAAATAGATAGTATTATTGTATATTAATTATAATTTTTTAAGAAAAAATTAGATTTTTATTTTTGATTTTGTTTTAATAAATGATATAATAGAACATGAATTTTAGTTGTAAAATTAATGTTCTATTTATGAATGACATAGATTGCTTGTTTGATTTTTTTTTAATTTTGTTTCAATAAATAGTATAATTGTATATTAATTATAATTTTTTAAGAAAAATAATTTTTTATTTGACATAATAAAACATAAATTTTAGTTATAAAATTCATATTCTATTGTGAATGACTTAGTTTCCTTATTTTATTTTTGAATTTTATTCTAATTAATAGTATAATTGTATACTAATTATAATTTTTTAAGAAAAAAAATTATTTTTAATTTTAATTTTATTTCAATAAATGACATAATATAACATGAATTTTAATTGTAAAATTTATGTTCTATTATGAATGACATAGACTCCTTATTTATTTTTTAGTTTTATTCTAATAACTATTATAATTGTATACCAATTATATTTTTGAGAAAAAAATTGAATTTTTATTTTTAATTTTATTTCAATAAATAATATAATAAAACATGAATTTTATTTATAAAATTTAAAATATTTGATATTCTATCTTTGATTGGAATATTTTTGGTTTAAGTATAACATTTTAAATTTGAAGGGTTTAAGTATTATACATTTACAAATTTAAGGAGTCTTAGTATAATTTACTAACTGATATGGACAACAGAGATTTAAGTGTTACATGCGTACAATATTTAAGGAGTCTGTATTATATATAATATTTTAAATATCATGAAGTTTTAGTAATTAAATGACAAACTTCATAAAGTCAAAATATTATTCTCCCTTTTTTTTATGGGTACATGTATCTTGCATCACAATAGGTTAGATTGAAGCTTATCATTTAAAGGTTGCTGTAAGACATAAAGTGCCGTGCCATGGCACGTATGCCAGTCGGCATGTTGAAAGCTTGCTAGTGGCATTTGAGAGAAGTTTCCTCATGGCGATCGGCAAGAAGCAAAGCAAAGGGCGGCTCATTCCACTCGACAAAAGCAAAGCCAAGGCTTGCCCTTGTCAAGGAGGCTTACCAATCGGCAAGGCCAAGAGCTTGGTCGTGCTCATGCCACTTGGCAAAAGCAAAGCCAAGAATTTGGGCTTGCTCATGCTACTCAGCAAAAGCCAAGGCTTGGGTTTGCTCATGTCAGTCTCGGCAAGTATGAGTTCTACTTGCCCACGTTTGGCATCCAAGGTAATTAAGAATGAGTTCTACTCAGTAAAGAATCAATCAAGGACCTCGAGTCTTAACCATGTGATCTTTGGAGTTTGGCTTTATGGATTGTGTGAATTATTGCTGTTATCTTTCACATTCTATTTTGGTACTCAATCATGCATGGCCACATTTCTAAGATTGACAACCATCCAATAATGGCGATGGGGCCAACCCTTTGAAACTAATTGCTTCCACCGGGTAGATGAAAACAAATATGATTATTATTTTTCACATTGCTATTTGTGGACCATTTGCAAAGGGCCGGAAATCATCCAAGTAATGTCATTATCTAGACAAACACAATAAATACACTAAACTCTAGATAGTTTAACTGATAACTGGAATAAGTTATAAATTTAAATGTTTTGAATTTGAATATTAACAACTTCTTGATATCAGGTCATAAGATTTATTTGTTGGTCTAATAGTTCCCAAACCATTGGATTTATCGATGACACAAAAATATAACATAGTTCAGTACAGTATACTCACCTTGGTATACCGTACCTATATTCATAGATAAAAAATTTACATTAATGTATTATTCACTGAAATCTAATTACCTGGTAACTGATTATATTATTCTTAATAAATACTCTAATCCGGCATGAATGAGTTGTCTTTGACCAAACCAATTAAAGAATTAGTTGAGACGCGCATAAGCTAGTTTAGATACCCTGACTGTCAAACAAAAAATATGAATGCACTAGACTTCTTTCAAACCAACAGGACTAACTCTAAAGTAGTTCAAGTGGTAATAGGAACGATCCGTAAAAACAAACGTTTTAAGCTCGAATCTTAGTAATTTTTTAAGGCCAAATCATGAAGAATTTATTTTATGAATACCCTAGTACTAGTGTGCATGACTTGTCTTTGGTCGAATCAAATAGAGAATTAGTCAAGGTACATATAAGCTGACTTGGACACTCAAAAAAACCCACATGACCCTAAGGGTCCTTATTGTTAACTGCAGGTACCATCTGATGTACGCTAGCATCCCCATCGTGCATACATTAATGCTCTATTTTGTATGATAAAAAAATAGAAGAATAAAAAATTTGAAAGATGAAAAGTTTGAAAGATAAATAAAATATCATATTTAATAAAAAATGATAGAAAAATTGATGAATTAACTTTCCTTTAAATTCACTAAAATCAATTCTTTCAAAATCAAAAATAAAATAGATGAAAAATTAATTATTTGTATTAAAATATATCTTATTTATTTATATATCTTTTAATATCTATATAATAAAAAATAAGAGAGTTTAAATTTTATCCAACACATATTTCCCCTGAAAAATCATCTTATCACACCCATCACCTCCCTCTTAATGTTTCACTGCCCTTACCAGCACACAGCCGCCTGCACCCATTACCTTCCTTCTTTTCCTCTACTCCTTTGCCTTCGGTTTTTTTTTTAACCTTCCTCTTCGTTTACTCTTCACTCCTTTCTCTTTCTCTGTTACCAGCCACCGACTTCGCTGCAGCCACCGCCACCGCCACCGCTATATCCAGGTATTCCCCCCCCCCCCCCCCACCCTTTGTTCAAGATTCGCCATGAGGAGGCTTAATAAATCGGCTGGGATTCTTGAAATTATGGGTGCTCCACTCACAGGGACAGATCTGAGAGCTTATGTAATTTCTGGAGGGGGTGTTACTTTGAAGAAATTTAAGCCAGGGCTTCGGGGCAAACGATGTTTTCTTATCTTCCCAATTCATGGTTCTAAGAGAAAAGGCTTAGTAAGTTTGGAGGATCGAGTGGGATTGAGAAAAAAAACGAGAGAGTGAGAAAGCACCAGAACCTGAAATTTTATGCAAGTGGGAGTGCTACTAGAGCATATTTTAGTTAAGGAAGACACAGGAGCTGTGTTGCCCAAATTCTGTTTTGTTATAGTTTTGTGATTCATTTTCATATATCTATAGTTGATTATTGCTTCCAAGTTCATGCAATTAATTGGTTTTCTGGCAGAATAAGCATTTGCAATTCTAGATGGACTTCTTTTATATAGTTAGAGAACCAATTTGAGGACTATGCTTTGAGATTGCAATTCTATTGTGTTGATTTTTGTTGTGATCTTCTGGGCATTTGTTGCCATGGCGGTTGAGTTTTTGAAATTGTGATCTTCTTGCTTTAAACTCCTTGAAACTGTGAGTTTTTGAGTATGCTCACAGTTTTATTAGTTTTCCTTTTTTGGGTTTGCACGCAAGATGTTTGAAAAAATGACTACTAGGGTTTGGTTTTACGTAGGTAATGGGTTGTATGATTTTTGTACAATTCCTTCCTTGGATTTTGATTATTTTTTCAGACTAATTTATAATTGAGTCCATTATTATAAACTCTTTTTGGTTCAATACTATTTTAACTATGTTCAATACTTAATTCCATTTGTATTTTTTTTATACCTACTGTTTTTTTGTCCGTTGTATTATTATTTTACCGACATCCATTTTTATTCTTACTTCTTAACAACAATATCCATTTGTTTATTATTTTGCGTTCAAATTCAACGTTCAATTTTTTTAGTATACATATATTATGTATACGTTAATTTCATATAAAAATACAATAATAAAATATATATTTATATATATTTTTTAAAAAATAAAAATAAAATTTTAAATTAAAAAAATATTTTTTCCATCTTAATTAAAGGTGAAAATTTTCGACTCAATACGATGACACGACTCAAACTCCTACGAATTTTATGATACGAACTTGAAAATGACTTGACACACAAACAAAAAATATAAATGATTTATATTCAGTTCAACCCGTCAAACTTAAAATTGACATTATCAGCCCGTTTATTTAAAAATAAATACTTTCTATATTTTCTAATTTGTATGAGTACACAAAATTAATATGAAATAAACATGTTTAATTAGTATTATAGACATAACATGTTAATTAGTTGTAACTATTTATTAAGCACTGACATAATTATTATATAAAAAAATATTTTTACTTATTATTATTATTATATTTATTCAAGTTAATTTTTAGTTTTTTTAAAAAAATATGAACATAAATTTAATTAAGTGAAAATAGAATATTAACGTTGAATTTTTTATTCAAAGTTTATGTGAGTCAACACGAATATAAATACGAACACGACATAAAAATAAATAGGTTAACTTAATACGACACAATTAGTTAAATGAGTTGAGTTATGTTTGACTAATGTTCGACACAAACCCTTAATACGTTAACATGAACATGACACGATTCGATTGTCACCCATAATCTTAGTCAGCACAAAAAAAAATTAATTATTTTTATTTTCATTCATCTTATCAAACACAAAGGAAAGAAAATGTATCATTCTTATTTTTTTTCTTAAAACATAAAAAGTGTATCCTTTCTATTTTTTATCTTTCATACTTTTTATCATTACTACCAAACAATGCATAAGGAAAGGAAAGACAGTTTGGCTAACCTGGGGGAACAACAACCGGAAGAACTCATTGTAGCTTCTATATCTTTTGTTGAAGGGTCTAAATGACTCAATTTTCTTTTCCAGCGAAAAAAAGAAAAAGAAAACAAATATGATTATTGATTAAAAGGCCTTGGTCCATAGCCCCAATGAATAATCTCTTAAAATACATAATGCAATAAAAAAGAAAGCAATCACGTTGGTATAATGTGCCTACATGTTTGATGCATGGTTCGACTGGAAAATTTACATTTTTTATGACTGAAAGAAAAGCTTTATGTAGACAGCATAGGCCGACAAGCCATGTGTTAGTGCACCTGCAACTTCCTTTGGTTGTTTAAAAAGCTCAGATGTGAGATGAGAGAAAAGGAGGATAGAATTGTTGTAGTAAAGGGACAGCTACCACTCAGCAAGAAAAAAAACTATCTATTAATTTTTCTTTCCTCAATTAGAAAAGTCTTAATCATATGTAACATATTTTAAGGATAAGATCCACCTCGAACAATTTCTCTCATTGCTAGAATATCCATCGTGTATTCTTGTAAATTTATTTTTACAAATCGATTTTCAATTAAAATCCGGATGGGTGTCGGGTGATCTACTAATTGATACTGTTGCAATTCATCTTGTGTTGAAAAATAAGCAAATAAAGAGTTGTTGTCCGAGAGGAGAGTTTCCGAGAAAAGAGAGACTCTTTTCTTTTCTTTGATTGATGGCCATTCGAATGTCTACTCCCAAATTTAGAGTCTCTCAAGGTGAAGCTGATTGTAGAATGTAGAGGAATAATTAGGTCTTTTCTTCAAGATCACTGTGTGCTGTAATGTTATTGACCATTTATGTGGACCAGCTAACATCCTTCCAGAACCCAAAAGGTTTGCTTTATTTGTTGCCTAGTTTCACATGGAGTTTGGTTAGATGAGGCTACAGTTTACCTACTTTGATTTATTATATTCAACAAATTTGGGGTAGTTTAAAGGCCACACAAGTCATGTACTGCATGCAATTTTGGGGAAAATAAATAAGAAAAAACATGACAGCAAAACAATGGTGAGGGTAGGGTTGTTCTATTTTTCTTTCTTGAACCTAACTGAAACTGGCTTTTGAGATTGAAGACAGGTTGGAATGATGATTATATTTTTTTCCCTCTTATGTTAATGTCCTATGATTTTGTCCACTTTGATTACCATTCACAAAATGGGTAGTTAATATGTTGCGTAGTGTCACCATGTCTGTTTTTGAATTATTTAAATTATGTTTTAGCCAAAATTTATATAATTTAGATGATACTAATTGAAAATTATTTCCAAATACATATGGGGATGGTAACATCAAATTACATAGGTATTAGCTACTAGCAGCACTTAAAAATGTTTCAAGGTCTTGATTAGAATTACAGTTCTATTTCAATGACAAAGATTCCCGACTCGAACAATTCAAGAAACATCAATAAAAGTGACATAAAAGATTGATTAAGTAGAGAATTTATAATAAATTTCCACAATTTGTGTAATCAAGTTTTGGATCAATTTGCATACAAAATGACGCAGTCATAATTTGATACAAAAGTCAAGTTAACCCAAAAGCAGGTAAAAGCAATTGTCTACACTGCAGGAAGTTACTTTCCAGTTGTACCTGACGCCGACGTTTTAATTCGGAGGTTTGTTAAGGTGGGTATGGTGAATAAATACTTCAGCACACAGACACACATTGCAGTTGGTGGGTTTTCTCCGATTCCTCCACCTCTCCATCTCCTTGGTCCTTACTCCCTCTTTTGTTTGACTTGAGAGAGAGAGAGAGAGAGAGAGAGAGAGAATCATAACAGTAATTTGTAAATACGAAACAATAGATTGAAAAATACGATCTGTTCTGAGGTCTCTCTTGGTTACCTAACAATATTCATATTCATAGCTCTCTGCAAAAAGAGAGAGTGTTATACGAAAACCTATGATATTCGATCTTTCTTACAATCTTCTCCTTCTGCTCTAATTTAAGAAAATCGAGTGGTTTTGGGGAAGTTGATTTGGGATTTGTAATGGGTACTGCTTTGATTTTTAGCTACTGATTGGGTAAATTAAAGAAGTGCAAAATGTCTTGGAAGAGCAGAGGAGTGGAGCCAACTCTAAAGAATGTTGTGTCTCGAAAATTGACTACTTTTCTTTGTATTGGCTGCTTCTGTGCTGGGATGCTCTTCACTGACCGGTTAGTTCCTTCGATCTTTCATCGTATTTTCCTTGCATATTATTCATTTTTTAGCCGATATAAGAATTTTGATGAACTGGGTGGTGGTCGTTTAATCGCAAACTTGCTCCTTTGTCTCTAATGACCCATACTCTTTAGGTGTTTGGTAGTTATGGAATTTCGCGGGTTTTGTGGATTCTGCTTCTAATTAGAGGAATTTGATTTAATGGTGTTGTAAATTCTTGTTTTTTTTAGATTTGATCAATGTTGTAGTGATGGTGTAAAATGTGTTTGATTGGATCACTCATTTTTGTTTGGCATCTCTCTCTCACATTCTGTCTGTATACCAGTTCCCCCTGCCGCCCCTCCCCCACACCCCCGGGGGGGGGGGTGACTACGAAGTCATCAATCAGAACATTTATCTAATCTTAGGGTTATAAGATTCTAACCTGTCAAAAGCCCCAATAGTGGTGGAAGAGGTCAAACCATTTGAGAATTGAGGTTGTTTGGTCATTCATACATTCTTTGCAGTTGACGTTAGCTGTACTCTAGTCTGTGGTGGCTGTCATTGTAGCTTAGAGCCTCTTGGGGCTCAATTTGGTCCAAGTTAATCTGCTCACTTTGTTGCCCTACCCAAAATTTAGAACTTAGGTTGTGGCTATGAATTGAATGCCATGTGCAATGAATTGGAAAACTTCAGAAGTCCATAGCTATGGCATTAGCCTCCCAGAAACTTTGAAAACTAAGGATGGTAGCTCATAATGATCTTATTTCTGGAATATATAATCGATGCCCTTTTAAGGTTTGATACCTGTTGGCATGAATTTGCCGCCTAATTTCGAAGAAATATAAACTTGAGTTCTAAAACGTCACTTCGTCCTACATATTTTCTGTGCCACATAGTGCTTCTCGTAAAAGAATGCATTAATAATCCGTATACTGTGGTGATAGAATGTGGACAGTGCCAGAATCTAAAGGCATGTCAAGGACCACAGGGATTGAAGAAGAAACGTTAAAGTTAGTCTCAAAGGGTTGTGATCCAGGATTGGTGAGTACTTCTATTTATCACTGAGAACTCTATTTCCGATTTCAACTAGGTGAATTTTACAATGAATGATTTCTATTCTATATGTGCATTGTAATTCTTATCTTGGAATGGAAAGAAAAAGAATTTTAATGTTGTTTGGGTCTTTGTGCTTTCATCAGAAAGATGAAAAGAGGGAGTCCAAGGACATTTTTGGGGAAGTTTCGAGGACGCACCATGCTATACAGTAAGCTTCTGTAGGCCCTTGGTAGCTGGCACTGCAGTGATTTGAATGGCAAATTTAGGGTTTGATGTATCTATTTCAATGCAATATTTATGATCATATGCAATGTGCAGAACGCTGGATAAAACAATTTCAAATTTGGAGATGGAATTAGCTGCTGCAAGAGCTGTGCAGGATTCTATACTTGGTGGCTCTCCCATATCCGATGACTTGATGATTCCTGAATTAACTAAGAAAAGAAAATATCGAATGGTTATTGGTATTAACACAGCTTTTAGCAGCCGAAAGAGAAGAGACTCCGTTCGTGCTACTTGGATGCCACAAGGTTCATGAAATTCCCTGCATGCATTTGTGCTTAGCTAATTCTGATTTTGCTTTTGTAAATTTAATTCATAAGTAACTCGTCTTTTTTGGTGTGAAAATTAGGTGATAAACAAAAGAAGCTCGAGGAAGAAAAGGGCATTATAATTCGATTTGTAATAGGTCACAGGTGGGCGATAGACACTCAAAGTTTATTAAGTACACCTATTTCTTTTATATTTTTCAAGTTTGTGATTTTTGCTTCAAAATTTCTGTTGAATCTTTCGTTGCACGTGGTCATCATGGTAATTTGGTTGTCACTCACTCACCTAGGATTTTTCTCCATATCTTAGTTTTATTGTGCTTTCAATGTAGTGATCCCTTGGGAGTCTTAATAGTTTTAGTATCTTTGAAGTGTCTTGCATGCAATCAATCATCTCAGATTGAAGGAGGATCGTCGCTTATATGATCTCGAAAAAGTTAGCCAGTTACATCATTTAGTACATGTTAGTATGCTTTAGCTGATGACCTTTCACCCTTACCTGTATTGTTGGATTAAATCAAATTATCAGACTGATAAGAGTGAAAATATAGCAGCATACTTTGTCTCACCTTTCATTTTCTAGATGAATCTTTTTTTTTTTTAATAGGAGAAAGACAAGAGGTTTACCTGCTTCATGCAATGAGCTATTTCATACAATAAGCTTAGAAACTAGGCTGTTGATGAGGGTGGCAAATTTAGAAATTGATACTACCTGGTGAAGATAATTCAAAACCACTTTGAATCAGGACAAAAGAATAGATGATGGAGATAGAAGGAATAATGAGAATATTGATAAGACTTTTCTGAAGAGAAAATGATAAATGTGCATAGTTACCCACAACCAGTTGGTGGTTCCATTCCTCAATAGTATAGTTTAATGTTGATTTGAAATATTATATTGTTTCCTTAATTTAGACTAAAGAAAGGGTTTTTTCATCCTTTTTTTTTTTTGGCTGAGGTGGCTTTTGACAGGGAAACACTTAGTTAATGCTTGTAATAGATCTATTTGAAAATTTATGTTATTAAGATTCCCTATTTTACTCAAAATTTTTAGAGCTTTAAACCATAGTGTTTGAAGATAAAGATTTATTACTATGTTAATGTGGATAACTACATCCATATATTTCTTGCCAATGCAACTTATGATGGATGAATTGTGTAATTTCGTCATTATTTGCTGATTGACTCTTCACTCACCAGTGCTACAGCAGGCGGTATTCTTGATAGGGCTATTGAAGCAGAGGACAGGAAGCATGGAGACTTTCTGAGGCTGGTATTGTCATTCTATCATGTGTCTCTTTCACTTTTTTGGTATCTGCATTAGACAAAAATTAACCATGCCCGCCTCCCACCAGGGGGAGGGGGGAGTATGCCCACCTTCACAGGTGAAATGAATGCTTACGTTTGGATTCTCACCTCCATATGTGCAAATTTCTTGTTGCATCATTCCTAATATATGTTATTCTAGGAAGCCAACCTACTGAACCTTATGTAAATGTGATGCGTGCAGGAACACATTGAGGGGTACCTTGAACTGTCAGCCAAGACGAAGTCTTTTTTTACTACAGCTGTTGCTTTGTGGGATGCGGATTTCTATGTTAAAGTAGATGATGACGTGCATGTAAATATAGGTAGAGATGCCAATATTTTTCTGTCGCATTTGCTCAATTTATTTTCCATATAACTATATTTGTTTCGTTATTTCGTGGGAGATATTATGAGATCATCATTTTGAAGCTGGAAATTACTGTAATAGCTTGCTCTTGTGGAAGGCCTGAGATTCCAGTTTTTTTCTTTTCTCATTACAACACTAAAGATCTCTGAGTGTAGACAACCATGGGATCTACAACTGTGACTAACTGCCTAGCCACTGAATGTGATACATACCAGAATATGCATCTGTAGTTTGTAAACAGCGTGCGTTTAGCTATATTATTCTTAACATATCATTTAATTCAGTGTACTTTAATATATTAGTAGTGCATCTACCCATCAATGGCCCTTGGGAAATTCTACTCTTGTGATTGCTTCCTCATATTTCACTGCAGCAACACTGGGAGCAACTTTAGCTAGACATCTTTCAAAACCCCGCGTATATATTGGATGCATGAAATCTGGTCCCGTTCTAGCTCAAAAGTGAGCCAAAGCTTTTCCACGAACTTTTCTTCAAACAAATTTGGTGAATTGGAATTTTCTTATTTTTTATGCTTCCTAACTCGTCTTTTGCTAACAGGGGAGTGAGATACCATGAACCTGAATACTGGAAATTTGGTGAGGAAGGAAACAAGTATTTCCGCCACGCTACAGGGCAGCTATATGCTATTTCAAAAGATTTGGCTACTTATATATCAATCAACCAGTAAGTTTGTGTTTGTTTTATGATAGTGGAAAATTTATTTCTTCATAATTCCTCATCCTATCTTATTAGTCTTGTGATGGTAATCATAGGCATGTGCTGCACAAGTATGCTAATGAGGATGTCTCGCTGGGATCTTGGTTTATTGGATTGGATGTTGAGCAAATAGATGAGCGGAGATTATGTTGCGGAACCCCACCTGGTAACAATACATGATAATGTCATTTTCTTTCCTTAAAACCGGATATGGGTTTTCAGAGGATGGTGGATATTGTCTTTGATCCAATAGTCTCTTGGGATCGTTGCCAGTGAGCAATCACAGAGTGGCTTTAGAACAGTGAAGCCTGTCATGTTTTGGTGCAATGTGGTAGCACACTTTATTATGCCGTCATATGTCATTGGTGGGACAAATTGGCGGTTTCATTACAGAAGTCCTGGGACACATTTTACGCATACAAGTATTAGGCACTTTGCATATTGACTTTGCCACTTAGTTAGACTGCATCAGAAATTTCCGTAACTGGGCACCATGCATTTGTATCCCAGAAGCCCAAACCATTCATGAACACTCCTATAAACTGGATGTGTTTGATGTGATAAGCAGGTTGTAAAGAAAGATGACCATTCTTGTTTGCCTTTTACGAATATTTCAATACATAGATAATCAATTATCCCAACCTCTTAATGAGTCAAAGATAGTAACCATCAAGAGTTTACGTAATCTCTGATAATGGGATAGTGTGCTTGATGCTCTGATTTAAGTTAGTTATATCAGATTCTAAGGTCTTGCTTGATGGTTTAAGATGAAGCCTACGAGAGTGGTTGCTTACAAGCTGAACCGCTCAATTTTGATCACATGTTCCATAAGGTTTAGATAGAAAAACGAGTAACCAGGGCCTACGGAAACTATATCCGACTTATGCATGTATCTTCATTAAAAAATGATGACATGAACAATAATCTGAGTTTTAAAAGAAAATGAGTAAGTAGGAGTTGGTACTGGGGTGAAAAAACTTTCAAAAATTTTTCCTAACTAATGATTTGACGTTGTTATTTTATCACAGATTGTGAGTGGAAGGCTCAAGCGGGCAACATCTGTGTTGCTTCTTTTGATTGGCGTTGCAGTGGTATTTGCAACTCTGCTGATAGGATTAAGGAGGTCCATCGCCGGTGCGGAGAAGGCGAGAATACTCTGTGGAGTGCAGTTTTCTGAGAAATGGCGTATTGCCCAACATCTGGAAGATGCAAGAAGCTCACATGAGTTTGTATTAAGGTCCAAGGATGTTGATTTACATGTGAGAGCGAGAGAGAGAGAGAGAGGTTGCTGATGGGTTCTTCTCCATTTTAATTGGGGAGAGAGAAGCCCTTATAGTCACCCATATAGAGGAGCAAGTTTAACCAACCATTCTTTATACATACCTGGACACCATATTATTAGTCTGCCAAGGCTATTGTAATTCATATAAGTGTCATAATCAATCCTTTAGGAAGCATTTTGCTGCCTTTTGTGTTGAGTTGCATCTCCTTTTCATGATTTCGATTGAGATGGTGACGAAGGTCGTTTCTTTTAATGCTCTCTTTTCTTCTGTCTGAAGTTTCACTATGCAAGTCTATATCTGTACAGCCATCATTTCATGCCATAGACCTCATCATACACTGCTGATTGCTTTACATAGGCCTCCACAAATAGCACTCAGGTAGGCTCATGAAGCTTTGAGTGGAACTCACTTCAGCATGCATGACCTCCAAAACTCAGTTCAACACTGATATTTTGTTGTTTTTAGTAAAAAGAATGGGAGATTAGATGGTAAGATGAAGCATGTGTTGGTTGGTTAATCTGGGGTTCCATCCTCCGGATTTGTCCAGTGTTTTATTACATTAAGGGTAACCCGTGCCTAAAGACACGGTGTAAGTGAGAAGTGATGAATTTTGGAGGATAGAAATTCAATGTGAATGATTTTGAGAGAAATGTTGGAGGTAATTAGATGAGTCTATTTAAAACTGTCGAATGGACTTATTGAAGTATGTCTTATTTAATATTATAAATTTGATACAAATAAAAGTAATATTTTATAATATTTAATCTTCTTACAAATTTTATATTTTACTCATTTTTGACTATATATTTCATAATTTTTGAACTAAATGAAGCTCCAATAAATCATACCAATACTCTAAGGAATTAATTTTAGTTTGCTAATTTTAAGAGATTTGGTATGAATTTTTTTTTTCTAGTACCCAACTTGTTTGACCCAATTAATTTTATTTTTCATAAATCATTATAGCGGGCTCAATTAAGAATATCCAAAAAAAATATATAAAACATATATAGTTAAATAAAAAATAAAAAATTTCAAGGTGGTTCTAGAGCCTCCTCTATCCGCCATTGTGAGCGAGAGAGAGAGAGAGAGTGAAGAGTAAGAAAAGGAAGGTAAAATTCAATATAAATTATTTTTAGAGAGATATTGAATGAGTTTTTTTGAGACCATCAGATAAATTTATTGAAACCTTTCTTGTTTTATATTATAAATATATCCACGAAATATGATATAATTGACTTATAAAAACCTTAATTTATACATATGTAATCAAAATCGAACATTAATTTATATACTTGTAATCAAAATCGTATTAAATCTACTATCAATTAAAATTTTAATTTATCAAAAAACATATCGCCTAAATATGTTCTATCAAAAAAAGTTCTACAAATATAATTTATAAAATATTATTTTTTTAATTAGTACAAGTTAATACAAAATTATTAATTTATGAGAATATATTAGCGTTAGATTTTCTTAAGAGATAAAAAAAATTAGTCTTAAACTTTTGATTCAAGAAATGTGTAAGACATGTTAGTTTGACATAATTAATTTAATAATTAAAATTAAAATTAATTATATTCAATATAAATGTGTTCAGTTGACCTTTGCGTTTTTTTTTATTTGTTAAATTGATGAGTTTTTTTTAATCAAAATGTTATTATTGTGTCTTATAAAAATTCAAAATGTTACACTACACATGTGATATTAATGACAAATTTGACTCATTTAATTATTATGTTAACGAAAGTCATGTGTTCCAAAATCAGTCGTAATCGTTGACCGATTAAGGAAAAATATTAAGGAAAAAATAATAATTTTTTGACTTTTGAATGAATGAATTTGATATCATAAGATGTGTCTAAAATTAGCCGTAATCGATGACCGATTGAGAGAGAAAATATTAAGGAAAAAAAAAGTAATTTCTTGACCGTTGGATAAATAAATTTAAGACCATATGATAGATTTGTTGAAACCGTTCTATTTTATATTAAAGATATGGATATGCAGTGGAATCTAAAAGTTCACTTTCTTTTTCTTGGACCTTCCATTACTTATTTCTTCGTAATCAAGGAGATCCTTTTTAGTGTTGAAATTACTAAGACGATTAAGGACAAACTCTTGACCCAAGCTACTTGGACATATATTTATCTAATATCATATTTAGAAAGGTGAGTTTTTAAATTATAGAAAAATAATGGTCAAGATTGATGTAATTTTCATTTACTTGGATTCAATGGTACAAAATTCATTCAAATTTTTTTTTTCTGCTCAAAAAATTATCTTTTTTGCATGGCCCCCAATGTCGGGCAACTTAATCGACACATAAACATACTCTCCAATGCTAAATAATCTCATCAACCTTATCTTTTCTCTCTGTTCATTTAAAAATAACTAAATTAATATTTTAAAAATAAATATTACAAAATTAATATTTGATTTTTAGTATTGTATAATGTCTTCAATGGTAAATGTATCACTAGCGTTATAATATAGGACCTCGATATAATTGGCTGGGCCCAAATTTGTTGTTTGTCGACTTAGAATTAGGGGTGACAATGTAATCGTGATATTCATGTTTAGATCGTATACTTTTGAATTTATCTGTTGGATATTGATCGACCCTCCCTTGACTCATTTAATTAATTTTATTATATATCTAAATACTAACCTGACTAATATATTATTGTGTGATTCTCAAATTTATAATAAAATAGGATAGACTTTAATAAATTCATCGAACGATCTCAAATAAACTCATTCAAAGGTTATCAATATCCCTTTCAAAATCTTTATATTGTACCGTACTTTTGGGCCTCGACGGAATTATGAGCCTCGGCCCAGCCCAGGCCTTTTAAGTACAACACTGTTGGCCTGAAGAAGTTTGCCTTGACCTAATAAACTTTGCCTCGGCAAAACGGTTGCGATCTGTAGCCTCTCTCTTACCTTCTTCTGCAAAACTCTCTCTCTCTCTCAGCTGGTAATTATTTCTATCGTTCATTCAATATTTGTTATGTCGTTGGACAAAACTCTAATTCTTCTGTTTACTTTGTTATCTTTGTATTGCAGTTGGCGATGGCCAAGAGTTCCTTCAAGCTGGAACACCCTCTGGGTATGTGTCTCTATCTTGATGTTTTTCTCAACAATGATCTGATCTTTTCTATTGCTATCTGTATGATTCGTACAGTTTTTATCTTGGAATTTATTGATTCTAGTTGACTTTGATGTCTGATTTTGTTGGATTGGGGTTTTAAGTTACCTAATTCGTTTATGCTTGAAGATTCTAGGATCTTGATGTTTGGTGATTTTGGGGCTTTTTTTTGGAAAGGGATTACTTTTTCTGTAGGACATTAAAGACCAGACTAACCCCGGTAACAAGGATTAGCTATAAACCTAGACGATCTAAATTTCCTTGGGAACACGAGGGATATATCTCATGAATATTCTAGTTCTGGCACGGCCAAACACCCTAATCGCCGAACCAAAAAAAAAAGAATGGATTTGTAATAGGTTGAATTCTTCATAATTATGTTTCCATGATGGGGGAGGGAATTAGTCGAGATGCCGGGCCAAACACCCTAATCGCTGAACCAAAAAAAAAAGAGTGGATTTGTAATAGGTTGAATTCTTCATAATTATGTTTCCATGTACATATAAATTAAGCTTTAGTGAAATTGGTATTGGTTTATGGAAACATGTGTCTTCTTGAATGTGGACTAGGTTTGTTAACAAGGCGAACTAAATGTAAAATATTTCCTCTTTTTCATGACATTTAGATTAACAAATTAAGCTAGCTCTTTTGTAATTTGCTTATGAGAAGATGAAAGTTCTGTGTAAAACTTACACTTCACATGGAAGAAGGTTGCAGTCAGTTTGAGCGTAGTTCAAACTCTAGACTATTCCTGTCGTTTTAGCTAAGATGATGATGTATAACTGAAAAAGAATTTTCGGCCTTTATTCTGAAGGTTGGAAATTGGAAGCTAACACAAGTTGTTGCATGCAACTCCTTTTATAGTTTCTGTTTAGCATGTTTTCTAATGTTTTACCCAATTATTGCGCAGAAAGGCGTCAAGCTGAAGCTGCTCGTATCAGGGAGAAGTACCCTGATAGAATTCCAGTATGAAAAATGTGTCTTATTTGTCTGAATATTCGTCTTTTTAGGATGTTAAACAATTAATGTATCAGTTGAGTTCTGTTTTTTCACCATTTCTCTCCTGCTATATAGGTTATGTGGAGAAGGCCGAAAGAAGTGACATACCTGACATTGACAAGAAAAAGTTAGTCACTTTTATAACCTGTAGTTATTGCTCTTGTATTGTTGACGTTATCTCACCTGAGATGAGGATAAATTAAAGTTTTCTTTCTTGAACAATCTTCCTTTCACAACATATGTTGTTTGCACTCATGGTCGTCTTAAAAGGTTAAGCTGTTGTGCCTATTCCATTGCTAGTTACTATTCGACAAAAGAAATTTAATTTTGGCAAATATGATGTGCAAAATATGTTGTTTCTAAATAACTAAAGGCACATTTCTTATTCCAACGGAATATGAACATTCGAAGCTTTGTTTAAATTCCAGAAGAAAGTGTTTTTTCACATGTGGTAACGATTAAGGTGACAACTGCACATCTAATGTCTTCCTAAGTACTTGATTCCTTGCAAATGCAGATATCTGGTTCCTGCTGATCTGACTGTTGGGCAGTTTGTCTATGTGGTCCGAAAGAGGATAAAGCTCAGTGCTGAGAAGGCTATATTTATTTTTGTCAAGAATATTCTTCCACCTACTGGTGAGAAGAAATTGCAATCTTGTTACTCATAGCCAATAATATCAGCTTCTCTATTTTTTTTTTCTCCATTGTTACTAGTTATTTACTTGTGTTTGTGTTTTCACAGCTGCCATGATGTCTGCAATTTATGAGGAAAACAAAGATGAGGATGGCTTCCTTTACATGACCTACAGCGGCGAGAACACTTTCGGATGATTCTAAAGTACCAGACAACCTGAATTTATGTATATAAAACTCTAGTAAACAAGATGGTAATATGTAAATTCTTATCTGTTACCATTCTGGTGGTATATTTCTCTAAGGATTACTCGTTTTTATCCCTGCCTGTAGTTTTTATTTGGATACTTTGGTTATTGAAGCGGAAAATATATTTGGTTTCTTCACACAGATGATGCAAATGCAAGGAGTGTTGCATACATAATTTCTTTCTGAAACCTTTTTTAATTTATTTTTGTTGGTGTGGTCGTTCATGCTTTGTGATTGCCATGAAGAGTAATTGCCATATACCATGCTTTGGAAATGGAATGACATTACAAGGTCTATCTTGAGAATTGAACTAGGACATTTGTTTTATTATTTCGAGTAAATTTAATTAAGAATATTCTAAATGAATTAGCTGTCTAAATATGTCAAATGTTCTTAATTCCATTAGATATTTTTTCTAAAATTTTAGGGTATATATCTATTTTGAAAACCTTTAAAAGTATTCCATGAATCATCTAATAAAATGGTTTTGGATATATTGTTCGATTAGTGGGTGGGTTTCATTAATCATAAAATCATCCGCATATATTGTTTGTTCGTTCGATTAGTGGGTGGGTTTCATTAATAATGAAATCACAGTGGTTGTGTTCTTCAATTGGCAAGCAAAAATATATTTATTTTTTTTGGTGGGGTAACATTATCTTTGGACCCGAGTGTCATTAGCTAACATGACTCGAAGTAGGATATGGACGATATTAACATCAAAATTAAACCATGAAAACTGAAACTAATTAATTATTACTGCTCGGAATGCGTAAGATGATAGGTATATGCCAACCATCTTGGTTGTTGAAGCTTTTTGGTTGACCCATTACTACAAATTTGTGTTCAAGGCTTCAAGTATTGAATTTGGACATTTTCTTCATACGAGCCCCACATTGGCTGTTTGTCAAAGTAAATTAAATTGGGTTCAGCTACTCTCCAATTAAAGGATAATGAAAATATCTTCCAGTATGTCCGAGTCAGCCTATGATATCTTTTAAGTAATCATTTGAATACCGAATCTAGATACATTAAAAAGAAAGGGTATATGCTATATTGATAGACCAACGTGTTCAAATCTTAACCATTCAAGGCTAATAGAAGATCTTTTGACTAAGGGAAACAAAATGTACAAGATACAAGTCAATCCACACAGTGTCGTTGGAACTATTGGTTATTAAATAAAAAACGTGTGCCTCTTGCCCACACAAAAAAAATATCATTAAATGTGAACAAAAACAATCCCTACAACAAAAAATGTAGAGTCCACGGCCCTCCCACATTGACTATAATCGCATCAAACACTTTCACATGGAACAATTCAATGCCATTGCGTCCCTCTCTCTCTATATAGATATAGATATAGATATAGATATCGACACACCACATAGAAACAAACCACAAATGCTATATATTGAGAAAAAGGAAGAAAGAGGCCAACCAGGAACAGCAATGGCCTTGTTCTCCAATATTTTCAGCTGCTTTTCTGAATCTTCAGGCACCAGCAAATACATCTGCAATGGGGATGTCTGTGTTCTACGGGATCAGAAGGCAGCCCGTAGTATGAAATTGAAGAGCAATCCAAAACAACGCATTAGAACTCAATTTTCTCGCAATAAAAGCTTGGGGCAAGCCAGTGGTGCCGATGAACTGCGTCTGGAATCTCTGGTTTAACAAGGGATAGGCCTGGAAGGAGCTTTGGTTATACACAATTGCATGGATTATTAAGGGTTTAACATTCCATTTCAATCAGATTTCTTCTCGTTATTTTCGAGGAAATTAGATAATCAACACCTCTTTGTCCCACGACAGAAACACGCACACAAACCTCCTTGTTTATTGCTTTCTCATTTATAAATGATGTAGGTAATAAATCTGTTTGCTGTTATTGGCTTTCTCCAGGAGAAGTTTTAGTACCTCTCGTACATACACACATACATATTCATATATATATATATATATATATATATATATATACACCTTCATAGTTATTGAGGCTTGGTATGATTTTTTTTTTTTATTGGTAGCGATAGATTTTGAATCTCAAACGACCTTCTGCCTTAGAAGTGTCGTATTAACATTTAATCAACTAGGCTACAATAATTTTAGCTGGCCTGAAATGATTTAACAAATCAAGTGAAATAAAATCATACCTCAGTTTTGAGAGGACCTGCTTTTGTCCTCTTTTTTGTCCCTTCAACTAGCAAGGTTCCAGGTCTAGTAAGTTAGCACTTGCATATATATATTGGTAATCATCATTTCCAGGATTTCTTCTGAATCTAAGAAAATAAAATAACATAAGAACCCAAATCTAGTCATCCCAAGAACATACAATCCAGTGAAGTAAAAATTCAAAATTATTGAAACTTAATATTATTGCTAAGCAATTCAATCACATCATTAAAAACAAATCATGGGGGTTTTGGTTGTCACATTGGGTAGGGTAATCGGTAGATCAAGTTCTGACCAAAAAAAAAATCAGTAGATCAAGTACAAATAATGGTGAACCTGTTGCACAAAGAGAGTTTTCCTTCATACACTGTCAGGATCAATGCAGTGTAACAGCTCAAAACATGACCAAATCCAGAACCAAAGATCAAACTAACATTCTCAATGAAGTTATTGACTATAAAAAAAAAAATTATTGACCACATAGCAAATTATTGATCAAGTTCTGACCAAAGACTATATATCCCCAAAATCCAAAATGATGTTGCCAAAATGCACCTCACTGCAGGTTAATATCCACAATATGATCCACACCTTAATAATCCCAGCCTTGGAAAATCAAAATAAGCGTACCAGAAGAGTCGTTTTTAACTATCTTGGAATTATCTTGGCGTCAGTAATACATTTTGCAGAAATTCTAAATGTTTGCACAATTTAAGAAATTGCAATTTGCAAACAATATCTTATAACTCCATTCTACAGTTTATACTGTTCCACAAGCTCAACAATACTAGCAGACGCAAGAAAGGCAAATCAACAAGGCACTTTTAGAAGCTGCATCAAACTACCCAAGTAAATAACGTACAACAAATAAACTACGTTTCATTTGTAAATTACTGGATTAAGAACCTGTGTACAGCAGTCATGACGTTAATGAAACATCTGCTCAGCTCATATCGCTTCAGCTTTTAAATAATATATAAGCATATGCCGTTGCAAGTCGGCAATCCTCAAAAGAAAAGAGGATAGAAATGACTAGCTCTGCTTAAACTATTTTGTCCCGCCTAGGATCCATCTTTTACTGCTGCTGCCTACTTTAAAACTACTCTACAAGACAGAAATCCTCTCTTTTAGGTGAACATATCCAACAAAGTGAGAAAAATCCTTCCAGATCGTTGTTTTAGGCAAGCCCAACAAATTATGACATATTCCACCAGTGAGTTTCCAGCATGCAAATCACACGGTCTTATCAGAAAGTAATACCATCTCCTTGGACAAGAACCATGGGACCTATAACATTCTTCTGTTCTCTTCTTCTCCACTCTCTAGAGGTTGTCCAGCCTCAGAGCTGCAAGGCCAGGTCTGGATGCTGAGAATCAACCAGAACACCTGCAGACTGCTTCACAGGAGATCCTGATGACTGGAAACCAATATTTAAGTCTGGAGGAATGGATTCTTGTTTCTGTCTCGGCTGAGTTTGTGGACTAGGACCCCGCCCAGGAGACTGCAGCTGGAACCTAGACAAGTCAGCCGGTACAAGTTGAGGGAAAAACAAAGGTTGGTTTTGGAACTGAGCTTCATTGCCCATTCTAACTGGTAGGGGTTCAGGTTTAAGATGCATCCCAGTAACAGGTAATTCTGCTTGAAATTGTGAAACTTGGGGCTGCAGATCACGAGTTGGGTTATATAAGGAATCAACAGCTTTATGATTTTTCTCTGCAGTTGGTTTAAGCCCTCCAGCCCCAATCGACATCCATGCACGGGCAGCAGCAGCTGCAGCATTGCTGGGATCATCTCTTTTCAAGGATGGAACTGGTGGCACGATTGGATGGGCATCCACAGGGGATTGACTTGAAGATTTATGCTGATTTTGAGCCTTTTCAGCTAGCGTTCTCACTATCTGAACAGGGTCACCAAGACCCTGCTCCTGTCTGCTGCCAAAGTTAGACTTCGCTGTGGACATTTGGTTAGGAAAACTACCAGATGACGAACTAACATTTCTGCTGCTATCCAAACCATTACTTACAACTTTTCCATGAGGCACCCTTCCTGTGATAACTCCACTGTTATTTGGCTGCTTAAAAGATACAGAATGCCAAAAATTCCTATCCCTAGGAACCATCTCCATCGACCTGGAAATTGGCAAATCCGAACTACTTGAAATCTGCCTCTCTGCAATATAATCAGATGAGCTTTGATTGGCGGATGGTAGATAATTCAATTCAACTTGCTTGATAACCTTTTTCTCAGGTTCGATGGAATTCCTGGGTTGTGAATTTCTCTGCTGATTGTTGACACCAACAGAAGCGGTAGGTTTGGCTCCAGCAGGACAAAACAGTTGCGATTTCCCATCCAATATAGGGCCCTTAACAGGGTGCTCCTCGGAAGAAAATGTCGTGTTAGAGCTTTTGTCGTTCTTTCTCACATCAGCTGGACAGTCAGAGTTAAGAAAAACAGGTCCTTTCAAGGTGCAGATTCCAAGCATTAGAACTGGTGTTGGAAGCGGCTCATACTCTCCAACCCACCCACGACCAAATTTGAAACCAGCAGGCAGGGCTTGTTCAATCACACGGGAAGCAACTTTCCAAGCAACAGGTCCAAGAGTTGCAGCAAAACGAGCCAGGCTCCTAGCATAGGAATGATCTGCATGAAGCCCAACCTGGTTCAGAACAATGAAACCTAAAATGAGCAAGAAGCAAATTATTCTAGCAGAAAATATCTAATATATAATTTCATACAGGAACAAGCTGCTTGCTTTCACCCTCGAAAGTTGAAAATATTGATTCTGATCCGACTACGGGTTGATTGGATAAGTTGTAAGTTGCACGGCGATTCTCATCATGTATGAACAGCTTCCTCCCAAATCTAGGCAGGAGAACCTTCCCTACAACCAAAAAAGGAGAGGAATATTAAGAAAACACCACCAACATACAGAAAATGAAATGAGGCAAGATTTGGTAATAAGATAAAATCTAAATACTGTTATTTTCAATTAAAATTTTGAAAAATGAAACACAAATATTGAACATAGCTTGAAATGATACGGTATCAGTTGAATGAGATCCACACCAAGCTGAGAACGTGGAAAGCCTATTACTTTACAGCAACGTTCCCAAATGTGCCCCATTTCAGCCAGAGACTATAATTTAATATTGTACCTGGTACTAAATCTTCTGCCTTCTCCTGATTGCTCTCAATTAAGGAAGAATTGCCCTCTACAAGGCCATCAAGACTGCTAGGCCTCTCACATCCACCAGCTTGGGTTGCATTTGAATTATTCAGGAAATCTCCAGCTGTGGCAAGAGTGGCGCCGGAGGAAAAGTCGGAATGAATAGGTTCCTGCACTGTCCGGCTTATAGGCTTCTTTATTTGCTTCTTTGCCAAGGAATTGGATCTTGTCTTCTGTTCTGACTTGAGCTCTTTCTCAGAGCGTTCAAAGTCCAGCTTTAGTTTTTGAAATTTCCTTTTTGCCAACTCTTGCATGGAGCGTGCCTTTTAGAATAGTTGTGTAATGTGATCAATACAACAAGCAACAAGGCCAAATCATTAGATAGTGAATTGAATGTCATGGCGCTTACCTGTTTATAATATATTGTATCCGGCGAGTTGTATTGCATTGCATTCGAGCAAATTAGGAAAACGTCACTCTGCATTCAAGAAAACCAACTTTAAAGGACAATACAAAATATTTGGCAGCTTTAGGACAACTTAATAATTATGTGGAAGTAGTATTCTCATCATGGTATTTTGCTGAGAACAACAGATTTGAGGTCAAGCATATTATGATGGTCAAAAAATGACATTATAAAATAGAGGCAAGTATCATATTCGAATTCACCACGACTGATTAGGGCCACCACAGTTCCTCAATTGTGAAGACAAACCTCATGCAGAAATGCAGGATAGAAATCAGTAAAAAGAATGGTTTTGGTTAGCAAGGGAAAAAACCTAAGGAACTCTCCTTCAAGCAGTTCTGTTGACAGCGACAGCTGAGACCAAGTAAATTACTATTATATGTGTGGACACATACTCACACACCCACAGCCAAATATATTTATTACGGCCAGAAAAAAGGGACCTTTTTATAAGGATATTAGATAGCAAGGAGGCAACTTGTCTGCTGTTTAACAATGGCCAAATTATACTCTTTTTGGGTGGTGGAAGCCAATACTATGTTTTGTAGAAGATAACTTTCACAAAAATGGGGAGGTAATACGAAAGCAAAGTTTTTCTGATCCCCTGATCATGCATTCGAAAGCATGCTCACAATGGCAAGCAGTTCATGAAGCAATCACTTCCTGAAAATTACAACGTGAAGTTGGAAGGTTCAATGAATTACATGAAGGGAAGATCTTGGGCATCTATTGTTGTCTATGTACAAGCAGCGTAGACAGAGCTGTTGTAACTCATGGAGTAGGCAGCGAGGCTAACTAACAGAAAGTAGAAGGCAGCAAGCACCTACTCCTATAAAAAGGAAAAGAGGTGAGCTCCGTGACAAAAGCGAAGCCATGCTAGCGCCCAAGAATAAAGAGTTGTAGTTAGCCTCATTGTCAGCTATAAAAGGACATCCTTTAAATAAACAGGTCAAGAAGCCAAGAGCATTACATGTTAGGAAAATTTAACAAAAGAAAAAAAAAATTCTGAACACATCATCTAGCAAATAAGGTAAACAGAAGATCAATTAATATCCTATACAGTATTAAAGACATTATTGACGCATTGGACTAACTAACACTCACCCAAGGTCTTAAATAAGCAAAATATTAGCAATGAAATCAGTAGGCCTCCAGTACCCTGAACAACAAAAGCATGTACGGAACCAGTAAAGCAAAAGTACAGGGCACAAACCTCAAATTGTTCCAAGGTTGAATATGATCCGTTTCCCAGCTTGCTCCTAACGGTGGCAAAGTCCATTGGATGGTCAATCACATCGTGATAATCAGCAAGCTACAAGACAACCAACCAAATTACAAACTCTAATTCAAGTAATGCTTTCCAATAACACAACATTATGAATGAAACAGTCAAACATACCTCTTCGGGATCAGGTGGTTCCGCATAAACACCATAAATATCTTTCCTGCCCCCAACCAAACCAAACCATGATTTTTTGATTTTTTTTTTTAAAAAAGCTCTAAACAAAAAAGCAATATAATAGCATTCAAATGCAATTCAAGAATAGAATGTAAACCTACTTCTGAATCTTATTAAGGATCAAACCCAAAGCATTCTTCTCAGGCAAGGGAAGCCCAGAGGAAGGATCCGGCAGTGTTCCTGGTCAATCAAAACGAAAAATTAGTAAACCAACCGCCAAATACAGAAGAAAAAATGGAGCTAGTACTCCTAATCACACCAACGAACCTGGAACAGAGTCGGCCCCTGTTGGCTCAGCCTTTTGTCCTCTAACCTGTCAAAATCAACCGACAACAAAACCTCAAAACCCCAAACCCAACACGAAAAAAATAAATGTTATACAAAAAAGTCGGCGTGTATGACACAGATAAAGACAGAGACAGACGGACAGAAAGAGGGAGTATGCACTACTATGTCTGCTGTAGAGAGAGAGAGCGTGTTCAGATTCTGTGGGGGTTAGTTCTAGTTTTTGGCAGTTGACCGGACCGTTAAAATCAATCCCCAACATACACAGGTACTTATATCTTCAGGGTGAGAGTATTATAGAAGTCTGGACCAATTAGAAAAATCTCAGTGATTGAAGCTGAGCTGGACACTCTCTCTCTCTCTCTCTCTCTCTCTCTCTCTCTCTCTGTGTTAAAGGCACAAGCCATGACCTCAATACTCTTATCTCAACATTTATAAGCATCACTTCGAGCTCTGTCCTCTTCTTAATCAACTATTTCACTTCCTCTCAGATCTCAATTTTTCTCATTTTGGTTTTTTTAATATACCTCATAATCATCAATTTCATTTTCATCATCATCGTCTACACATCCGTCGTTATTTTCATCATCGCCGGCGATTTTTCGCTTCTTCAATGGCTTATTATCGTCATCGTCTGAAGACGCCGAAGCAGTAGGCGCGTGATCCAAGCGCCGAGTCCGAACCAGAACCGACTCAGTACCGCCTTCTTTGCTCTGTAGCTTCAGCAGTTGCTTCAACTTCCTCTCTTTCTTCCTCACTTCCTCTTCATCCTCGTAATAATCGTCCTCGTCGATATAGTCGTCGTAATCCAAGATGTACTGGACATTTCTTCTCCGGTGACTCCGCCGTAGGTCCCTCTCCGCCGGTGCCTCTACCGGCTGCTCCACGGCGGCGTTACGGTTGACAAGATCTGCCTTAGATGGCCGTCCCCTTCTTCCTCCTCACGATATGGCCCATCTTTCGGATGCCGAACCTAACTCTCTCTCTAAATTTCTTATCTCTAGAGGCTAGAACAGTCTCTTTCTCTCTTGTCTTACTCCATTATTTTTCTAGGTGGTTTGGCTCCTTTCGAGTCGCATTCGTGGTCCGAGCCTGAGATTTGGGGGAAGTATCGAGGCTTAGTAAATGATGATTGACTGTCTGTGGAGAGAGAGAAACGGCGTTGGTGGATGAGAAAGACGGCGTTAGGAGCTGCCCAGTGCCCCGAGCGTTACGCGTGCCTAGTGATGTGTTGCCCGTGATCGTATCAATTTGGACTTTTAACTTTTCTGTTGGAGATTTTTTTTAGAAGGCTAAGCGCGTGAAGTCACTTTCCATGCTAGAGAAGGTTTAAGCATATTACTAAAGTTGTCGCTCTAAACAGTGGTGACGTGAAGTGGGCTGCACCACCGGATCCAGCGCAGGGTATGGTGGCCTAAGACCACCAAGACCTACCACTTGACAGCAATTTTTTTTTTTTTTTTGAAAGAATTACACTCAACCACCTAAGATTTAACACATAATCATTTAAATCCCTTGATATTTGATATATTACACACAATTCCCTAAAATTTGTGCTCACATCACACTTAAACCCACTGTGGTCAATATTTATTAGTAAATCTGTTAGTAATTTATATCAAATTTGCCTAAAGTTTGTAGACGTGCAATTCTTATGCCATTCAAGTTTGTGCAATTCTTATTTCACTCAAGTTTAAAATATTATACGTAAATCAAAATATTCTAATCAAATATCAAATATTTTAAATTTTAGAACTAAAATTAATGTTCTATTATGACATTTATTGAAATAAAATTAAAAATAAAAAATTTAATTTTTTATTTAAAAAATCATAATTAATATACAATTATAATATATATTGAAATTTAATTTGGTCATTTAAGTGACCAAATTAAACTATCAAATTACTACAATTAAAGTTAAAAGATATTGTGTTCATTACAGTTTGACTCCTTATTTGATTTTTTTTTAGTTTTATTCCACTAGATAATACAATTGTATATTAATTATGATTTTTTAAGAAAAAATTAATTTTTATTTTTTATTTTATTTTAATAAATAATACAATAGAATATGAATTTTAATTATAAAATTTAAAATATTTGATATTTTATATATTAATTGTAATATTTTTTATCTAAATATAATATTTTAAACTTGAGAAATCTAAATACTATACGTATATAAATTTTAGGAGATTTAAATATAATTTATTAATAGATATACTAATAAATATTGACGCAGAAGTCTAAATTTCAAGAGTTTGCAAATACAAATCTTAAGGGTTTAAATATTTATTCGCAAATACATATTAGAGATTTGTGTGTAATGTTTCAAATGTCAAATGATCTGAGTGATTAAGCGAAAAAATCTCATATAGTCTAAATATAATTCTCCTTTTTTATGTTCAACTATCAAACTTCGATTAATTCCTTCCCTAACCCGACACCATCATTTATGTCAATCCAACCAATATGAAAATATTTAATATTACCATAATTGTTCACCCAACTTTTTGCACTTGTATGTAGATAAGAAATTTAGGACATAATCAGAATATTTTTATTGTGCAGGTAACTTATTATTTATGAAAAGGTTAAAATCATAATGAAAACTAACCAATTGAAATAATTTATTCTGAAGTATAATTTATTATAGTTAAATTTAAAATATCATAAACTAATTTTTGAGAAATTAACAATTAGAAATTTAATTATCAAGACAACATTGGAAAAAAGAGAAAATTAAAGAGAACAACTAAATAACAACCATCAAATTTATCACAATTTCACAAATAAATTTTGAGAAATAATAATTGATGATTTGTTGTAAAAAAAAAGGAGAAAATTAGAGATAAAAGAGAGAGTGAAGAGAAGATAGCGACATTAAATTGTATGAAATAATCTTATATCTTAATTTAAGAAAGAATCTAATTTTTTGCTAAAATATAAGGAATAGTGCCTTTGGGTTCTAAAAATAAATCTTAAATTATTGATTTAATGATGCGATAATAGAAATGTTAAAATAATATTTTATTAATTAAAATTTTGAATATATTATTTGAGACTACATCACTTAATACACTATTAAATTAGTAAATTAATTAAATTTTTAGACAAAAAAATGCTATTGAAATATAAAAATAGTGATAAATTTGTACAAAGGTTCCCCCGTCAGTGAATCAACTAACGGCGGAATCGGACGGTTAATATGATAGCACTGTAGTGGGCCATGATAAAATTCCGTTTGAGCTTAAAGTGCAACCTACTTTTTATGATGTGTACCGTGTGGGGTATGATGTACACCGCAATCTTCTGAAATTCTGCTCATTCCTACCTTCCCAACATTTTGGGACCCACACTAAGTGGGGCCTCACTAAGTAGGATGGTGAGAGTGGAGTCCCACAGTTTTGATGACAGAATGATGCTTGGTTAATTGAACTTGAAAATTGAACTGGTCAACCTTAATGCCACTGTAAGTAAGAAGAAAACAAATACGAAAAAAAAAAAAGAACAATACAAAGAGATGAAACGACAACCGTTGATTTTGAAACATCAATGTAATTAGCCGAAAGTATGGCCAATGAGATTGCATTCGGTCCCGTAGGGCTTAAGGGCAGATAGGAGGACTGCGAGGATGAAAAAACTTAAAAGACGAAAATAGGGGTGCAATTCGGGGATTGGGCTGGTTGAACGATCAATCATAATCGAATTCAATTTTAATACTAACCTTATCTCAGGTTGATAAATTCAATTCAAGCATTGTCTGAGTTTAATTCGGACAAACTTGAGTTAAATTTTGGTTAATAATTTCGGATTAATATTCTAAACTTGATATATATACATAATATTCAAATAATTTAACAGTTAACAACTTCAAATATAACACAAATATATTACATAATTTAACAACCAACAACCAGTTTAACAGAAATACAAACATAACATTCTAAAATTGTATTTATATAATAATAATTCGGGTTGAACCCAAGGCCTTTTCAAATTGAATTCGGGTTGAAGTTTTTTGACCCAAGTTCCACTCAAGTATTAAAAACTCTTTCTCAAGTTCTAATTTTTCGGGTTGGACTTGGTTGAAATCGGGTTACCCAACCTAAGTTGCACCCTTAGATGAAAGATAGGGGGAGAAATTGAGGAGGTAGTTTAATCGGTAATAAATATGACTCGTACATTCAAATGTTTTGAATTTAAGTTTTAATAATTTTTTAGGGTTAAACTATGACGGATAAATTAAAATGTGAAATATAAGAGAAATAAATCAAAGATAGTTTAAATGGTAACAGAGACGAACTGTAAACTCAAATTTTTTGAGTTTAAATCTTGAAAACTTATTAGGGCTAAATTATAGTAGATTTTATCTCTCATGAATATCCTAGTCCCCATGTAAATAGATTGTCTTTGATCGAATCGAGGAATAGATCAGTTGAAATGTGTCAATTATTTAAATGGAATTTTCAAAAGAATAGACCTACAAGTAACTCTTTTCTTTTTTTAATACTATTTGTACTTAATTTACTGATAATTTATTTAAATATGAGACTATTATCTACTATTTATATATATTAATAAAAAGTGGCCATGGTCATAACACTTATTTGTTGACCCAAAAATTAATTTTTTTCAAAAGAATTTTTGGTTATAATTTCTATATTATAGCAGTCGGACCCTTCTGTCAAACTCTCTTGCTAAACCAAACAACGAAAACTCCACGTGGATCCTATTAAGGATTTACTTAGTTTTGAAAGAATGTTGTTTTTTTATTTACTAAAAATATTGTTATTGTACAAATACACTTATATATAATTCCACCTACACTTCTATAATATATATATTAAAAAAATTAATTTTGAGAGGGTGTTTGAGAAATTTTTCCTCTGTAAATTTTGTTTTCTCTTATTTATAATTATTTAATTGACATCCTCCAATTAAATTCTAACATGTGGCCAATTGGCATCCTTTCTTCCTACGGTTGGTCGGGTCCACAATCATGGTCGATCCAGCCCTTTTGTGTGTATGTTCATTGGATATTGGGCTTGATTGGGCCCACAATTATGGTCAACCCGGTCCTATGCCCACCCTTTATTTGTGTATGTCCGTTCAATCCAATATCCAATTGACAGACACACAAAAGGTTGGCCCAACAAACTTTCTTTTTTTTTTGGTCATGAAAAAAAAAGATAGGGTAAAGGAGAGTGCCCAATACTATCTCAATAGTCACTCACTAGTGGGATCATGAGGCTCTTGACCGTATCTGTTATTCATTTCAGAAACAAATCTAAGTAGACTAGCATATCGGTTAATCACCGAACCCTAATATAGAATCTAAAACTCGAACTTTCAACCTCAGGATGAGAAGTTTCGGCCGATACCCAAGGACTACCCCACTCGATGGTGCTCGACAGACCTTAGTGTTGTTACAAATTTCCATTGACCGTAAGCATCAGATGACACAATGTCAACTGATACTTTATTATTTTAGTTTAACGGTCAGAGATGTTAGAGTCAACTTATGCACACTTTAACTAATTTTCTTTTCGGTTCCATCAAAGACAAATCATCCAAACTGAAATTAGGGTATTTATGAAAAATGAATTCCTTGCGGCTTGGCTCAAATACAATATTTCTCCTCAAAGCCTATGAAGAGAACATTCATGTTTCTAAGAAAATAGCCAGCTCACAATTAGTTAAGTACCTATGACCATTTCCCAAATTTTAGGACTAAATTAAAATCATGAAATAGTAGAGTGTGATTTCCATGTCTCTAGCTCGGAGCCGGCTTTCCTCATTCCAAAGAATACAGCCAAATGATCGTAAAAAAACAAAAGAAGTTGTTAATATAGTAAAGCCCACTGCTGTTTTGTCTCATTTTGCTTGTTCAAGTTAGTTTTTTCTTCACCTGGCCTGTTCAAGTTTGTTTAATCTCAGCAGAATTGGTCGTGAATCGTCCTATCACCACCGCTGTCCGGGTGGAGCGAAGAGCAGATTTCTTCTACATGCTTGGACGGCAATCCAGTAAAATACTCAGAAATTAAGTTCATAGACCCTCTCTCTCTCTATATATATATGGAGCTCAAAACATGCTTCATCCATATCTCAAGCTTCCAAGTTCTTTGCTTCCTGTGCTGTATATTTCACTCTTTTATTTCTTTAGTGAACATTCACGAAAAACAGTTCATTATTAAGATGGAAACCCACATTCTGCTATTGGGTTTGGTGGTGGTTCTCAGCAGTTTCTCTCTTGCATTCTCATTTGAACCTAGTCCCTTACAGGACTTCTGCATTGCTGACACTAGCAGCACAGGTATTTCAATTTTTGCATCAATATTTCTCTTCATTTGATTACATATATATGTATGCAACTATTCTCATATCCCATAATAGAGGGAGTCTCGTACATTGAGTATGCTTTTAACTTGTTTGAGCAGAACATTTGGTCTGTAAATATAAGCGGTCCATGAATATATATCAATATGTGATTATGTCTGATCTGTGTCAGTTTAAATTTATCATGTGGGTAGTGAGAGTGTCCTGTTTCTTGTATATAATATATACTTTGTGTGTTCCTCACAGTTTCGACTGATTGTTTGTCTTTTTTTTGTTGTGTCTGACAGTGAAAGTAAATGGCTTGGCATGCAAAAATCCCATGCTTGCTCAAGCTACTGATTTCTCCTTCAGTGGCCTACATCTAGCAGGCAACACATCAAACGCAGTCGGCTCAAGAGTCACACCTGTCACTGCTGCCCAAATACCAGGACTCAATACGCTTGGCATCTCCATGGTGCGTTTAGACTACGCACCATGGGGAATTAACCCTCCTCACACTCACCCCCGAGCTACCGAAATCTTGACAGTACTTGAAGGCACAATCCATGTAGGTTTTGTTACTTCAAACCCCGAGAACCGCCTCATTAGTAAAGTTTTGCAGAAGGGAGACGTGTTTGTTTTTCCGATTGGCCTTGTTCACTTCCAAAGAAATGTTGGGACAGGAAATGCTGTTGCTATAGCCGCATTGAGCAGCCAAAACCCTGGTGTCATCACCATTGTTAGTGCTGTTTTCAAATCAAACCCTACCATTCCTGGAGATGTTCTCGCCAAGGCCTTTCAAGTTGATAAAAACACAGTAAATCTAATCCAATCAAGGATCTAGATGTGGACAAGAACTTCTATTCAATGTTTTTTTCGTGATATCTAAAGGTTTTTTTATCAGTTTGTTTGTCTTTTAATTTCCAAAGTGTGCTGAGAAATTCCATGGATGTGTCATGTGTGCCATTGTCAACAAGAATTTGTAAGTTTGCATTTGCTAAAGAAGTGTGCTCAAGTATTCTTTTGTTCTACCTAAGAACTTCTTGATTCATGTACTTATAGGAAAGTAGTATTGTGTTTGTGGGGCACTCTTAAATTGAGGTTGGTCGAGTTCAAAGTTTAAACTACCGTCAAATGGAAAATGAGCTCATAAACTCCTAGTACTCTGTAGAAGATGCGTGAATTGACCAATTTTTTGCGAGAGTTGCGGGGCTTCAAGGTGCTTTGACAAGATATCCATAAGATTCAATACCTTCCCTAGCCAGGGAAGGGCGTGTAGGTGGAATCAAAAAAGTTCCCAAAAAAAGTGCATAGTGAAATAAAATTCTCGCGGATGGCCTGACCTTTCCACTATTAATTAAAAGGAAGCAACCTCTCTTTCTGTTGCTTATCTTTGAGCCTGAAGGTGTTACTTACAAGTTACAACCCTCTCCTGCTCTAAATAAAGATTACAATCCTGAAATCAAACAACTGGATATATAGATAATAGAAAAGTATTTTCTCCATGTTTTGTAAGAAGTTCTACTGTTACATGTTTTTCCTACTCCTTCCTCCTGATCATGTTTTGGCTACAACATAGGATGACAGGACTCCTTATTGTTACAGATTTAGTTGTACTGAACAAGCCATGGATTTATCGGGAAAAAAAAAAAACCTAAGCTATGGGTTCGGCTTAAATCATAATTATCGCAAGCAATTAGTCATTTTCGAAACTTTTAGTGATACATTTGGCTTCCATTTATTTAGAACTCGAGATTTTGAAGGTTTGTTTTTGCTAGATACTCAATAGAATTATTATACTGGCCAGGTGACTTATAGCTTGACCTTTTTGTTTGCCTTAGCCAACTATCTTTGCTTATGTAGAAGTTTGTTGATTTTGGCATTAGATTAGATTGAGAATTTAACTTCCTAACTTTAATTTTAGATTAGATGACAAAGTCCACATGATTGTCCATATTCTTAAAGGCTCCAGAGAAAACAATACGAGAAACTTAGTGAAATCAATACCCTTAGTGTGATTAAAAAGAACCTAATTCAAGTTCCTAAAGAACTTGCATTCACATGGGCAAATATAAAAAGAAATGTTTACGAGAATGACAATCATCAACATATAATCAACCCTGGCAAAATAATATTTTGTGATTAGAGCAATGCTACATGGACTTAAAAACTAGATTCGATAATCTCAACCATTGATTTCACTATGAGTCCCAACATTTATTGGGATCTACTACTTATTCAATGGTTGAGATTATCAAATCTAATTTTTCAGTTTAATTTTTAAATCCATACATCATTACTTTTTGTGATTAACCTCAAGTTTCATCCTCCGTTTGTTATGATGGAAAAATGGAAGGATGAAAAATTGGAGGAATAAATAAAACATCATGTATGGTAAGAAATGATAGAAAATTAGATAAATTAACTTTTCTTTTCACTCACCAAAATCAATTCCTCTAAAATCGGAAGGAAAGAAAATTAAAAGTTAATTATTTGTGTTAAGATGTATCTTATTTGGCTATATATCTTTTGATATATACATATATTATGTATATATTGATATATATATTAAAAAAATTTAAAAATAAAAATAAAAATAAAAAAAATATTGTTTCCATCTTAATTAAAAATAGATAAACACGAATACAAAAATACAACACGAAAAATAACTCGCAACTCGACACGATACAATTAGTTAAATAAGTTGAGTTAAGTTTGACTAATGTTCGACACAAATCCGTAATAATTCAACACGACTCGATTCGATTGTCACCTCTAATCTTAGCCAACACAAAAAAAAAAAAAAATAGTCATTTTTATTTTTCATCCATCCAACCAAACACAAAGTAAGGAAAATATATCATTCCTACTTTCTTTTTTGAATGATAGAAAGTGTATCCTTCCTACTTTCCATTCTCCCTACTAAACGGAGCATCAATGTTGAAATTGTAAATTTTAATGGAAGAAGAGATTAAAAAAAAAAAGCAAAGAGAATTAAGAACCCATAATTATAAACGACTAATAAGTATGGGACAAAGTTTCAATGTGTACACTATTGGATTTAAATTTCTGACATAATTTACTGATCTAATGATATAATTTTATTGGAACTATTGAATTAATACTAAATTTCAATAGTTAATGGGGCCCATAATCAATCAAACGGCCACAGTAAATTAGATTAATAAATTGGATTAAAATACCATTGCTCATATTTGTTGTATATGATGCTGACCAACTCAAAAGAAAGACAACATCCCAATCTCATACATAGATTATTGACCAAATACTAGGGAGTTGGGCATAACATGAAAATCAAAAGACATAGCCAGTTCACAATAAGTTAAGAAGCCATGATCCTTCAAACAATAAAGATGAAATATATAGAGCTGTTTGGACTTGATTTAAAACTTCAAATTTTTTTAATTTCAGGGGAAAATAAGTCTAATTTGTTTGGACTTAGATTTATTGGGTGATTTTTTTCATCAGTTTTCTAGGCAAAAATAACGTTTATCAGTACTAAGGAAAAACTAAAAAATGAGACTTATTAAAGGGCTTCTAAGAAAAAGTCAATTTTTGTGAAAACACGCCAAATCGTTCTAAGAGTTTTTTTAAATATGAGTTTTGCATTTTACTTTTCAAACTTGTATTTTAAGCCGGCTCGCCTCAATCCATGCAATTATGAACTGTTCCACCAGCCTAGGATTAATGTTGAGGCCAAATAATAAATGGTCATAAACTAACACCCAAAAAGCATAAAACAAAAATTATATAAAAGCTGTTAGCAAGCCCATTGTTGTTTTATATGCTTGTCTAATGTTATTATCATTTCACTGGAATTGGGTTGAAAAATCAACCACCATATCATTTGTCCACATCCAAATCAGTCCAAAAAGAAAAAAAACAGCCTCAAAAACCTATTTTCTAGAGTAAGAGTGCATTATGAATCCAAGGTTTTTGTTTGTGTGTGTGTGTGTGTGAGAGAGAGAGAGAGAGAGAGAGAGAGAGATTTGCTTTACATGCTTGGACGGCAGCTGATTAATATATACAGATAGTGAGGATGGCTGTTGTCCTCTACGGCCTCTCCCTATATATATATTGAGCTCAAATCATGCTTGATATCCATATCTCCAGTTTCCAACTTCTTTGCCTTTCTGTGGTTCATAATTTCTTCTCTAGTGAATATTCACTACAATTTGCAGTTCATTAAGATGGAAACGCACATTCTGCTATTGGGTTTGGTAGCTCTTTGTTGTTGCTCCCTTTCGTTTTCCTCCGATCCTAGTCCCCTACAGGACTTCTGCATTGCTGATACTAACAGTACAGGTATTTACATTTTTGCATGAGCTATTCCTGTTTCTTTGAACACACTTCTTCACACAAATTCTTTGTGCATGAAATAAAGGTTGGTCAAGAAATAAAGCACATATGGTGCAAGAAAGCCTAACGCATGAGACTCTTGCCATTTGTGTGCAATGAACAATCAAAGAAATAAAAAAAATTAGAAGATGAACACAAGAATTTTATGTGGTTCGATAACCTGCCTACATCTACAAGAGAGTGACTCCATTATTTTTATTTAACACTAAAACAGGGTTACAATATATATATATATATATATTACAACCTTAATTAGGACAAATCCCAAAGGTACGTGCAGTTCTCGTACTCCATACTGTCCAACAATTGAACCATTAACTTTGAACCTGATGTACCTCTTTATTTATTGAATATTAGCCACCTATTTTAACATTGAGGATCTGTAAGGATGAAGACTCGACAAAATTTTCACTAATATCCCTTTGGTTTCATAATCAATTATGTATTTGGCTGTGGAGTATGGAATTTGGATAGTGTCTTGTTTCCTATATCTTTTGTTTGTCTGACAATTTCCTTTCTTATTCTTTTTTTTGTTTTTGTTTCTGGTTGACAGTGAAAGTCAATGGCTTGGCATGCAAAGACCCCATGCTTGCTCAAGCTGCTGATTTCTCCTTCAGTGGCCTACACCTAGCAGGCAACACATCAAACGCAGTCGGTTCAAGGGTCACACCTGTTAATGCTGCCCAAATACCAGGACTCAACACCCTTGGCATCTCCATAGTGCGTATAGACTACGCACTGTGTGGCAATAACCCTCCTCACATTCACCCTCGAGCTACCGAAGTTCTGACAGTCCTCGAAGGCACACTCCAGGTAGGTTTTGTAACTTCAAACCCTGAGAACCGCCTCATCAGTAAAGTCTTGCAGAAAGGAGATGTGTTTGTGTTTCCAGTGGGACATGTTCATTTCCAAAGAAATGTTGGGGTTGGAAATGCTGTTGCAATTTCCACATTGAGCAGCCAAAATCCTGGTGTCATCACTATCGCTAATGCTGTTTTCAAATCAAATCCTCCCATCCCGGAGACGTTCTTGCCAAGGCCTTCCAAATTGATCAAACCATTGTTAACCTAATCCAGGCACGGATTTAGCTTTGAAATGGAAATTCTATTCAGTATTAATTGTCATGTAATGCTACATGAACCTTATTTAACGTTGTTGTTAATCGATTTGTATGTCTGTTTTCAAGTGTGCTGAGAAATTTTTAGGATGTGTGTGAGTCATTGTTTGCAAAAATTTGCATTCAAAAAGGGCACCTGTTTGTTCTATTCTCTTGTTTTGGCTATGACAATATAATACCACATGATCTAGTAGAATTTGAAGATCTGTACGCATTTTGAAGTTGGATCGAATTTCAAAATGTGATTGTCATTAGAACCCTATGATCAAGATTTAACCGCATCATCTAGGAAAATTCTTAGATTTTGTTATGCTAATAGGTGATGTGGAATGATGCGCCAAAATCCTGAGCATTCAAGTTTGATTTTGTGGTTTTAATGGGTCGTGTTTAATAATGTGGATTTTCAACTAAATTCTTGGCCTCGTAACTAAGAAATAAGGGGTTCTAGCACCATCACATTAAGCTAGTGGAAGAATAGGCCAGACACACCACCGAGAACTCTGATTTCCTCGGTCAATTTTTGAGTTCAAATTTTATAATTATGCTAGAGCACGTCTCAACTCCGACGTAGATGTAGTAAGGTCTTTTACAGATAGTTGTTTGATGTTGAGAGATAATAGTTTATGACTGGTATGTAGAGTGACTTATCTACATATTTATTTATGTAAAAAAAAAGAAAGTTCAGCTGTTTGAGTATTGTACCTGGACACATCGTGACATGAAAATTTTTATTGTTTTATTATTTTTGACGAGCCCAGCTCATACTAGACCTAGAATTACAGACCAAGCCCAGCTCAAAAATACAAGTCAACAGAGACCAAATTCATCGCCTTGAAAAACTCAGTTTATTAGTGACGTACATGAGCCTCAACCACCTCTTTCGTTACACCAATATTACGTAGCCATCTACTCTCATCACAAGGGTGACGCCTCAATCAGGGCTCCCTACGATGGCACCTCCATCAAAGCCCACTATGAGGTGTCATGAAGACTATATTTCGCTATAAATTGTAAGTCTCACCTACACATGGGAGACATCACACACATCTCAAAATACTACACTCTTGAATAATAAGATTTTCAGGCCATCATAGCCCTTCCCAAGAATAAGTTACTCATAGCCCTTCCCAAGAATAAGTTACTCAGACTGAATCAACTCAATCTCTATGTTTACATATGTTGAGCTTGAGCCCTTCTATTTCATCTATTTGATTGATTTTACATAAATATTTTTTTGTGCATTATCAGTTTCTATAATCAATAATTATAAAAAAAACATGCTGATTTAGGATCAAAAAATAATTTTCATGATTTCATCTCATATCGAAAAGTGACACTGTAACGTTGGAAGCTGCTAAACTTGACCTGGGAAAGCTGGCAGACCCATATGGCCGACATAATGTGTAGCCCATGGGAAGCAGTAATCTTGAAATTGTGAGGCATATGAGTCGTCATATTCATACCCCTCTTTTTTAACGTGTTCCTTACTTCCTCTTATAGTCTTCAATTTGCACCAGTTGACCTATGCCACTGATAAGCATTCATGAGTCATGACTTCGATTCTTTGATGATAATGGCTGAAGTTGAAGGTTTGAATCTGTTTTTTGGTTCATATTGAGATTTATTGAGTTTCCATGCAAAACCAACGTATGGGTAATAGACATAACTAAGAAGACACCCATAGATTATGATTTATCTGTCATGAATACTTTAGTGTTGGTGTCGATAGTCAGACATATCAAAGAAAACTCAAGTAGTAACAGAGACGAACTGTAAACTCATAGGTCATGAGTTTGAATTTTAACAATTTTTTACAGTCAGACTATATTAGAAATTTCATTATGGATGATTTGTCTTTAAACAAACAAAAGAGAGGATTAATCGTGGTCTGTAAACTAACCCGAACACCCTTAATCGTTGAAAAAAAAAAAAAAGCAAAAAACATAAAAAAAAAAAAGAAAAGAAAGAAAGGCAAAGGACGATAACGAAAGTGGTGTATTGACCTAAGTTAAGAGTTCACACCATGGGTTTGACCCACACATTTTGGGGTGCAACCCAGATATGGATGGCAATGGCCCACCCGCTAACTATGTACTATTCATTAGCCGGTGCACCGGATTCCCATTGGGTCAAAAACTAGTTTTGCATATTACGAGTTGTTTGATTGCGAAATTTTGATGGGAGGCTAAAAGCAAAATGGTTCACCCATCCATTTATGAGTAGTTTATGGTTTTTTAGTATTCAATTTTTCAGGTGTAAGATAAAAATCAATAGAATAATGCTATCGAAAATCAAATTTATCGATCAATTTTGTTGATCAAATTTATTATACTTATTGAATAGATAGAAAAGTAATCACTTTGTTGCCTTTTCCTCTGATGTCGAGTTAGGTAAAAAACAATAGAAGATGTTAGAATGATGAGATCAAGTGATTCAGGTATCTTAGAAAAGTATGTCATCAGGGGCGTTCTATCCAGTTTATGCGCGTCTCGACTAATCTCTTTTCTGGTCTGGTCAAAAATAGACTATCCATGTCGGAATTAGGGTATTTATAAGGGATAAATCTCTTATGACTTGACCCAAAAATTTTGTCAAAAATTCAAACTCATTAATATGATTTTATTTTTCAGTGTTGGTAAAATGTCACAATCGTGACTAGGGAAACCGTGTGTTTTACCAAAGTTACCATGAGGAAGCCACCCGACAAAATTTAGGTGAGTGAACACTAAGATTAATGATCAACTGATTTTCTAAGGTAACTTCACATAATTTTGTGGTATTATATCGAAAGTTATGATCCAATCAAGTCAAATTAGAAATTAATTGTACCAACTTCTGCTTCAATTAGCCCGATTTAGCACAATTTAAAACTTGAGATCGATCACAAGTATTACTTGAGATCGATCATGACTTTTGTCGAATTATTTCAGACTTAATTTGACTCATGATTTGAACTTATTGAATTTTAACTTGACCTTATCGGATCATAAGCCGTCCCAAATTTTTTGAGTACAATTAACTTGACCTGGTTGGGTCATAACTTGTGTACAAAATTGTTTTTGGCATTTTTCCACCCATGGGGCTTTTGCTTACTTTATTAATTTTGTTGCCTTCCCATCCAATTGATTTTTTTAGCAACCTACTTAATTCAATTTATTACAGTTTTGAAAAGACAAAAGAATCAAATAATTAAGGATAAATTACGCTACAATTTCCTAAAACTTATCATTTAATCATCTAGACTCCCTCACATTTGACATATTACATCTATACTCCTTAATGTTTGTGCACGTGTAACATATATCCCTTATCGTTAGTCTCTGCAAAGTAGCCATCAAGGTTCTTGTATATCAAGGGATTTTTTTTTTTTTTTTGAAATATAAATTCTGTTTCATGCCCTTTTTTTTTCCTTATTCCATTGTTTGTTAGCAAATTGATATCAAATAAAAATAGAAAACACTCATTGTTATAGAATTTTTAACTGATAGCAAATAAATATACGTTTTGTTTCATGAATTTTTAACGACTATCTTAACAAAGATTGACGTTTGGGATTATGTGCTAGACAAGCACAAACTTTAAGGGGTCTAAGTGAAAGATATCAAATAGGAGGGAACCAAAATGATTCTGTAATAAATTTCAGAAGATTTAAGTGTAATTTTTGCAAATAATTAATGATAGGAAAAGAAAGCCAAGTAGGCTTGAACACAAAACAACAATCAAGCCGATGAAGATGAGATTTGCCTTGTAGGGACAGCTAGCTGTATTTTATTATCTCAGGTGTCTATGACTATGCCATGAAAGTGATGTAACAACATTAACTGCCAGAAAGTATTAAAAAAACTAAGTGGAAATAGTAATAAAGTTCTGTATCTGCATGTTCCAAAGGTCCTAAATTGTTAAAGCTTGCAGGGTATATCTATCACTCCGTGGAAAGCTATCGTAGTTTTTTTTTAAGTTGAATGATTAGGAATGTTCAGGTCAATTTATGACTATTTCAATTAATCTCTTCTTCAATTTGGTCAAAAGCTGGTCATTCACGGCGTGACTAGAATATTCATAAGAGATAAATCTTTCATGGACTAATTAAAAAAATTATTAAAATTTAAATTCAAGATGTCTAAATTTATAATCCCTTAAAAGTTACCTCGTAGGTGGGAAGCTATCTTGCATTTGCGTAAAAAGCATTGCGAAGTGACTTGGGTGAGGCCGTGTGTGGGGGCCGTGCTTTTTGCACAGAATGCCGAGTTTACCCCCTAGACAGCCGGCCATGGTGCCCAAATTTGTCCACCTTAGTCGGTCACAATTTTAAAATTTGAGGGAGTGAAAATAATTAAATCAAAATTTGTCGAATATGGTGTACGTGTCTAAACTATCTTCATTCTTTGTCCATATCTTAAATTTGTAAAATATCGGATACCCACGTCGGTTCAACTCAAGACTTCTGCTTAGAACTTATAGACTTATGTTTCGCTATTTATTCGATCATTTTTTTTGTTTTTGAAAGGGGAAAGGGCCGAAGGGGGATGAGATTTGAACTTTTGAGCTCAAGAAGGTAAAATATTTATAAAATAAGAAGTACCATTAGACCAAAGACCCATTGATACGATCATTAAACTAATTTGTACTAGGCTAAATGATACCCAACATGTTGAGTTCCCTCTTCTACTGACAAGGTCTTAGAGCCTCTAGGATGAATCCAGCAAAGCAAAATCAAATAATTTAGGTTTATAAGCTATTGATAATATGTTGGGTTTAGGATGAAAAGTCAGAGAATTGTTAAAGAAGAAAGAGAGAGAAAAAAAAGGGATAACCCACCTCTGAATGTTAAGGACTATGAACAAAAAGTAAAGGAAAGTAGTTTTTTAACTAGTTTGGTAGTCGAGCAGATTAAATACATATATGTTCAATTGTTGTATATATTTTTTTTATGTATTTCATAAAGTAATAAAAATAATTAAAAAGATTAAACATATACACATATATTGGGTGTCAAAATATGACACGAATCATTAACACGATACAAAATTAAAGAGTTTGAGTCTTTCTTAAACCACTCGTTTTGTAAACGTGTAGACTTGACATGACACAATTAATAACGAATCGAGTATAGGTAAAACTAATCAGAAAAAATACACGGTACGACTCATTTATATTCTAGCTCTACATAGTTAATATACAATATAAATCCGATATGATACAATTCGTTAGTGATGAATTAATAAATAAATTGGGTATGAGTAAAGTAATTTCTGATACGAACCAGCCTCATCTGTCACGATTGTGTGACCTACACGTACACCCACAAATAAATAAATAAATAAATTATTCTTTCTTTAAAAAAAAATGTTATTTCAACCTATTGATAACAATCATGTACACTTCCAACTAAATTAGTGAAGGCATCGACTCATTCCTAGCAAGATCCAAAGATCGTAACCGATATAAAGGTTTGGTGCGAAAGTAAATCCTTGCATTCATGTAAACAACATGTGATTACTCAAGATCTACAACATGGCAATCCTTTCGTGTAATGGATAGTAGTGTTCATGTTAGTTTATATGTATCTCAACTAATTTTCTCTTTAATCTGGTCAAAGACAGGTCATCCACGTCGGAATTAAAATATGAGTAATGCTACAGAGACTTAAAAACTAGACTTAAAAATTAGACTTGATAATCTCAATCATTGAATAGGTAGTGGGTCCTAATAAATACTAGGACCTACAGTGAAATCAATAGTTGAGATTATCAAATCTAGTTTTTAAGTCTATGTAGCATTGCTCTTAAAATATTCATAAGAAATAAATCTCTCATAACTTAGCCTCAAGAGATTACTGAGATTCAAACTTAGAATGTCTATATTTATAATTTATTTTTATTATTATTTGAGGTATCCAATTAGAGTTCTCAATCCATTCAGTCAACAAGAAAGTTAGAGAGACTTTTTCCTAATTTACACAAAAAACTAAGAGTGCAATTTGGGCCAATCTCAACCAGGCAAGAAGGAAAACTCGTGGTCCATGGAGTAAAAACCAACAAGAAGAATGATATTTTGGATGTCATTGAAAAAAGATCAAAACCAGACCTCTCCCGTGACAATAACGTTTCTTAATGTGAAAGAGGACTCAAATTATTTGCCCCACCAAACCACTCAAAAAACTGTATTAATTCCACCGTTCACACTTGTATTATACACTGCCCATCCACCATTTCTCATCCTTTAAAACCCAAACTTTTCTCCCCTTTACCCTCAACATCTCACACTCATTGAGAGAGAGAGAGAGAGAGAGCTCTTGAACTGCTGATATGGCTTCCAAAGTTCAACCAGTAGCTTCTTTCTTCTTCTTCTTCTTCTTCTTTTCTTTCTTTGTCTTGGGATTCATTTCCTCTGAAGCTCAATCGGTACCTGCGTTGTACGTGTTTGGGGACTCCCTAGTAGATGTTGGCAACAACAATTACTTGAAACTCTCGCTTGCAAAGGCAGACTTTCCTCACAACGGCGTCGACTTTCCCGGCGGAAAACCTACAGGAAGATTCAGTAATGGCAAAAATGCTGCAGATTTTCTAGGTAATAAAAAACTAACCAAACTACCATCAAACATTCCACTTCCACTTCATGCATAGTTGAGATTGTTCACTGAAATAACTTTTATCTACCAGTCAGTTACTATTTCTCAGTCAAATGAGATTTTTTTTCTATCGTCTATTACACATCACCTTGTATATAAACATTTTTTGGTTCAAGTACGAGGGATGTCTGGGTTAGTATGTCCGGACTAGGATATCCATAAAAGATTTGTTTGATTCTAAGAGATTATCAAAATTTAAACTCATAAGTTTTAAGTTTATCGCTCACCACCTGTGGTATCCCTTGAGCTCTTCCTTAAAATTATTGCATTTACACATTCAATAAGAAACTATCACAACACTACCTTTTTAAACAGGAAACAAATTATTGAACATGTCGAGAATTCAGTGGTGGCTTTAACCCCACCGTGTTAGATTTGAAGGCCGTGGGTTTGACTCTTATCTACTCCTTTTTCGAGTGCAAACTGTTAAAAAAAAAAAACTTCAATTCATTGAAAAAAATATATATATTTATAAAAATTCAAGACACAAAAGAAATTAAAAATGACTGGGTGGACCCTTATTTTTTTTTTTCTGTTTCATATAATTGACAAATGACAGCCTAGCTAATAGCCGAAAGACCACAAGCTTGATGCTTTAGATTCAGGGGTCGGCTCAATTGATGCTGTTTCCAGCTCTTTAAAGAGTTTCCATAATTAATTTTTTTTAATAATTAACTAAACTTTAACTATGCTGATATATTCTTTTTCTCTTTTTGGGTTTGATTCTTCTTCTCTTTTTCTTGCTTTATAGGATAAAAAAAAAAAAAAGTCTTTTCTTTTCATGATTACGAGATAGTTCTTATTTTTGACTCACTAGAATAAGTTAATAACTGTTTTTTTCTATTTCTGTATGCTATTAATAGGCCCTAATTAATTTATTCTTTTTCTTTATTTGTCAACTGACAAGATTTATTAAATTGATTAGTGGTATTATCTATTAAAGAAAGGAGTTATTAACTAAAACTAAAAATTTATATTATTTATATGCTCATATTAAGTTTTGAAGGGCTCATAAGAGTCACGGTGGCCAACCGTTGATCTCGACAACATAGTCGGCGCAAGCATGGTTTTAAAATCTGAATATATGGCTTATAATGTGGCAGCTGAGAAATTAGGGTTACCAACTGCGCCGCCATATCTCTCCAACACGAGCGGTGACTTCCTCAAAGGTGTTAGCTTCGCCTCAGGTGGTGCTGGAATCTTCGATGGCACCGATGACCTATATGTAAGTGAATAAACAAAAATCAATAGTATATATTTTTAACAATGTTATTACACACACCATTTTCTTGTCTCCTCTTTGCACACCATGTTAAATTATTGGGTCCCACATAATTTATTAAATATTAGAATGTGGTGTGCATTGTATTTCTTCTACTTGTAGCATGGCATCAACGAAGGAGAACAAGAAGGGGGGGGGGGGGATTGGTGTTCAAAATCATTCTTAAAAAAATGTTATTATCTAGTTTGGTATCGGGAGTTTATTGTAAAGTATAATTAGGCGGATATTCGAATATTTAATTTCAAGAAGATAAAATTTTTACAAGAAAAAAAATATTATTAGACTAAAAACCCGATGATAGACTCTAAGGACTGCATCGAGCATAAGTCCACATATACAGAAGTGATAATTACTAGCCCAAGCTCCAGAGCGAAACAAAAAAGAAGGAAAGATGAAAATAAAGTTGCGGTGAGCGTGGATCGAACACGCGACCTTCAGATCTTCAGTCTGACGCTCTCCCAACTGAGCTATCCCCGCGATTGATTGACTCTGTACTAAGTTAAATTAAATATAACTATTTCAGAAACAGTCAATTCCTTTGACAAAGCAAGTGAACTATTACTCTACCGTCTACCAAAAACGGATGGCAAAGCTAGGATCTGGTGCAGCACAGCTGCATTTATCAAAGTCCATGTTCGCCATTGTGATTGGGAGCAATGACTTACTTGGCTACTTCAAATCCGGGTCTGCCAAATCCAAAAAAAGCACCCCGCAGCAGTATGTTGACTTGATGCTTTCCACCCTCAATGGACTAATGAAGGTACACTCTGGCACTAATTTTATTTTTCGTAATTATCTACGTCGTCGTCAATATAAACTCATGGATAGAACTCGTACAATAATTGTCCTTTTCCAAGTAGAATTCATTTGCATATATTTATGCCTGTACTTGACTTAATCGTTTTGGAATATGTAGTATTGCAACATTGTCACCTCATATTGGAACATTTGGTATTGCAACATTCTCATCACCCCCATTGAACTTAATTTTTTTTTTTCTTCTCATTTGTTTTTTGGGTTGCAGAGCTTGCATGGTCTTGGTGCACGTAAATTTGTGATGACAGGAATTGGAGCAATTGGGTGTTGTCCAACGCAGAGGAATCAAAATAAAACTGAAGAATGCAATGAAGAAGCCAATTACTGGTCAACTAAGTACAATACAGGCTTGAAATCAATGTTGCAGGGACTCAAATCAGAGCTGAAGGAAATCAATTACTCCTATTTTGAGTCCTACACTGTCTTCACCAACTTCATTCAGCAACCAGCTACTTATGGTACTACAATTCATTCGTTTTCTTTCTAATAATCAGGCTGAGTTTGTCACGAAAATCCAAGCTCGATGATAATCGAGTTTGAGTTGAATATGAGCCAGAAATAGTTAACCCGAGAAGAGCCCAAGTAGCATTCCAAATCTTGCATTTTGTCTCCAAAGTTTTTTTTATTAAAGCTTCGATAATTTTTCAGGATTCAAAGAGGTTAAAGCTGCATGTTGTGGATTGGGGAACCTAAAAGCTCAGATTCCATGTGTGCCCATTTCAAGCTACTGCCCCAACAGAAGTGATCATGTTTTCTGGGATCTATACCATCCCACAGAGGCAGCTGCTCGGATCTTTGTTGACCTTCTTTACACTGGTTCACAACAATATGTAATCCCCATGAATGTGAAGCAGCTAGTTTCTGTCTAATTGGAATGAAACAAGAAGCTGATATACATGTTAAATTGACTATGTTATTGTCATGTCTGTTCTGTTCAGTTCTCACCACCATTAATGATCAAAAGGACTATAGGTTGTTTTGTATTAAATTGTCTCTATATATAGAAGGGAAATCAGTCACTTGGCATTTGGGGGTTGGATAAACACCACCTTTCCTTGAGTACGAAAAGACTGGTTTTCCTCGAGCACGAAAATTCTGTAAGTATGACTCGAACATGTGACGTTCGAGAAGTAACTTTAGCGTTATGCAATATCTCACCCAATATGTACATGAAGAACAACCAGCATAAAATAAAAGGGTTGAAAGGGTGAAAGAATGACTTGGCAAGGACTACTTCCAAATTCGCTTTCAACAACATCATCGACACTACAAAAAAAGTAACTATGGTTGCCCACTAATTAATCAGAGGTGAAATTCAATCCTTGCGCAAAACGCAGAGATTGAAAACCAACCCATTAGTCAGGCCCCTTCGCCTCTTAGAATCGAGAAAGCAAGCACAATCTGAAAAAACCCTTGGCCTTTTCTCTAATAACGAATAAGGTAAGGCTATGAAGCCCTTCATTCAGTGTTTTGTCTCCCAGGTAGAATGAGTAGAGAATAAACCATTGGGAGAAGGGATCCATTGAAACAAACCAACCATTCAACTGCTGTTCAGCACACAGTGACATACATTTGCATTCAACCCAAATACCAATAGACAGACACAAGGCGAATTTTTTGACATTATAGTTCTTATCTAGTTTAAAATTGAAGTCAATTAGTACCCATAAGTTAAAATTGCTGCTGGCTAAATGATCGATCTTGAATGATGCAACTACAATCATCATGACATTTGAAAATGGCGTATTTAAAGCACAAGGCTCTCGTCATTGCCGGGTACGCCTACAAAGAATTGTTTCCGCGACTCAAAACAACGTTACCGTTGTGCCAAGGCCCGCCCTCATTCATGACACTTAAAACGATTAATCAAGAAAATTAATACTGGGGGAGGGGAGAATGGAAATTGCTTAATCAGGATGAATTCATTACTGGAAGAACATAGAACTTAGAACAGTGGTGGGGAGCCCCTGGCTAGGTGTTATTTTGGCTTGGTGCTGTTGAAGCCCCTCTTTATCTGTCCTGAGCTTGGTTCATTATCAATGGGTGTGCTTCCTTGCTCAGCTTCAGATTGAAAATTATCCATGGGACTCTTTTCTTCACTTGTCTTATTTTGTAGATCCTTGTAGATGATCTCTGGCACAACGAAATTGGTTATCCAGTACATGAAGAGGAGTACTGCACTGTCAACCAGGTAAAAACATTGATATTAATTATTCAATTTTACAACCCCATTTTACAAGAGAGAATAACCAATCTATATCCCTAATGATAAGGCTGCTTTGCTCCGTTATAATCTGGAAGTCATGGATTCAAGTCTTAAAAAAAAAAAAAAAAGTCGTAAAATAACTTGCCCCCATATCTAATCTCCCCAGACTCGCATTCGTGGCTATTACTCTATGTTAAAACTTAAAAACCACATGTATTGGTGCAAACAATGGCGAAGTGAAATTTTATAAAACAAATTGGAGTTGGGGATGAAGGAAAACCCACCTGGTCTGAAGGAAGACGGATATGTCCCCGGAAGTGGCCGGAGAAGTTGCTCCGAGAACCGGAAGAGAGGCCATCGTAGCCTTGGTACTCGATGGAACTGGTGAAATAATGTATTTTCGTTGCAGAAGCGTAGTGGGATGATTGGAGGAGAGCCAAAGCAATCTGTCCATCTTCAGTTGGTGGTTGTGCTTGAGCAGTGAAAGGGTGGGGAAGAATGGCGAGTGCCCATGGATGCATTTCATTGTGAAATTACTCTCTGTTCTTCTTCAGGTTTCATGACTTTGTTGTAGCCAGATAAATATCTGTGGATAAGTTTTAGAAACTGTTAGATGTTCGGTAGGCTTGTTTAAATTGGATCTACATGGCCCGCCTTTAATCTGACTAAAGTCTGGAAAGAGAATTAATAGATGTGCACGGATTGTCAGCCTATTTCACTTGCCTTACTCCTAGTCAATTGAAGCGGTTGCCGAGGCCCCTACTTGTTTAGGCCTCATCTGAATATGTTTTACAGAATTTTTTTAAAAAAAGTAAGATTTTTCATAAAATGATCAAAAAGATTATAAAAATATTATTCTTTAAATCATAAATATATATACATTAAAAAAAATCACATCATATTCTTGTACAAAAAATTACATGATTTTATACTCTTATTCTATCTGAATTTATAATAACTTAGGCCTATTTATACAGTTATATTTTTTCCACTTATAATTGATATCACTATATCATATAATAATTTTTTTTCTCTTTTTTAATTACATAATTTAAAATTAATTTTCTACCCATCATTTTTTTTTAAAAAAAATTGACAAAATTTTCTCTAAATACATTCCTCAAAAAAAAAAAAATATGTGTACCTTATTGCATATGAATATTGTATGAAATAAAAATTGTATTGAGACACAAATCAATAAAAAAATAAAATAATTTAACTTATGATAAAAATCTATAATATAAAATGGACCAGACTTCAATAAGTTTATCCGATAGTTTCAAATAGACTTATTCAGCGACCACCAATATCTTTTTCAAAACCATTCACGTTATACCTTGTCTTCGAGTACAGGTTACCTCTAATATGTGATACGATAAAAATGGACCAAAACAATATATAGAAATAAGATTAAAACTTTTGGCTCTCTTTGTCTTTGGGTTTGATTTGATCCTTAAAATTTTAATTGGCTTAATTTAGCCTCTCAATTATCAATTTCGTCTCAATTAATATTTTCATCAATTTTCTCTATTAGATCAACTGGAGACTAGCTCAACTTAATCCATTTTAGAGCTTATCAAATGGTGAAAATAGACAAAAAAAATTAATTGACACAAAATTGATAATTAAGAGATTAAATTAAAATAATTAAAAATTCAGAGATCAAATTGAAAGTACTGCTGCAACGAACACGACAGCGTTTTAGTCCCATGCTCCGGTTGAATTTTCCACCTCCCTAAAAACGCTAGTGAGCTCTAAACGCTATACAAGGAAGGGCTAATGTTAATGTTCGTTTGTACCTTCAAGTTTTAATTTGTATTGGTAGTAATGTGAGTGTTGCATTGCATAGATTATTGTTCAATTTTTTGACATAAATAGAAGCATGTGAGTTACAAGAGTTTCGATCACGAGTTTATGTATAAATTCACGTATTGTTGACTCATTTGCACGTAATAAACTTAATTAGTACTCTTTTCGTTTTTAAATATCTGTCGTTTAAAGTTTTTACAAATGGATTAAGGAAGCTATTAAATAGTTATAATATGAGTAAATAATAATTATACAGACTAAAATACCCTTATTCAATACGTATTGAGAAGGAAAAAAAATATAAAAGACACTTAGCCTCTACCTAATCTAATGTATTGAAAAGTTTAGGGTAAATTTGGAAGAAAAAATATTAATTATGTTTTGATTTCATTAAATGATAGATATTATAAAACAAAAAAAATTATATAAAATAACAGATATTTAAGAACGGATGAAGTATTTATAAAACAATGTCAAATTGATCGCAAATTACAATTTGCAGTGATAAATACACCTCATCCTTATGCCTGAAACACTTACAACTCACATGCTGTAATTTATGATAGAAAACTGAACGGCAGTCTGAGCGAGGTCCATATTGCCACCAATTTTTAATATTAAGGTTATAAATTGAAATTTTTAATATTACAGGATATAAATTGAAAATTAAAATATCTTTTGGGGGTACAAAGTGAGATTAGTCCTATTTTTTTTTTTTTTTGGTCACGAGAGATTAGTCCTACAAAGAAAGAAAGAGGAAACTGAATACGAGAAAATTTTCGCGGCGACTCTCTTTCTCTTTCTCTAACATAGGAAGAAGAAGAAGAAGATCTGCAAACCCTAGCTTTGATCCAACACTATTCGAAGAATCATAGCATCTTTCTTCCAGGTTAGAACCTCTTAATCCTACTACTGTTCCTGTAATTGTAAATGTATGTATAGACTACCATAAGATCTGTCTCTGTGACCACTGTTCTCCGCATTTCATTTTTCTCGTTCTCTATACACTTCCGTTCGAACGCATAGCATAGGTCTCTGAGTTTATCATCGTCTATGTTTGCTGAATTTTATGATATCTTTTTTTTTTCCATATGTATTTATTAAATGAGATGTTATACTCTTTGTATCGTGCAAAACAGATTTTAAGAGATCAATTCCGGCGATGTTAAGCGTTATAAGGCGAAGGGTGGCATATGGAGGCTCCTCTGCTTCGGTTCTGACCCTGATATCTCTATCATATGTTCATTTACTGTGTTACGCACACACACACACACGCATATTTATATGCATGTACGGTAAGGGATTGAAAAAATGAACTCTTCTCGTTTTATGTGACTTTTAATTCTGCTCTGCACGCAGATTCTTGGGAAGTCATTGCATACAATTCGGCCCACGGTGTCCACGCCTAGAATTTGCTCTTCTGCAGGGGAAGATGTAATTTTCGTTTTCAATTTGTTGCTTTTGCATCTGCTGGAGAATATGGTTGTGGCAATTGTAATTATGTTAAGAGTTACTGTTTAAATGCATGTGTAAGTTTTGTAGGTTTTGAAATGTGAGATATTTGACCCAACCTCTACTCCAGATAGCTGAGAATCCAAATTAGTTCCATATTATGTTGTACTTGTAAGTCAGTAAATAACCAGAAAATAAAACCCATGATTGTTTGGATAGAAAGTGTTGGACTATTGATTCTACTGGTGTTTTCTCATGTAAATACTTTTTTGATTCTTTAATTGATACTCCTTCTCTTCCTTTGTTTTCTCCTTCAAAGTTGATTTGGGAAGCTAGAGTGGCATTAAAGGTGCAATTTTGTGCATGGATAATTGTTCATTTTAAAATTAACACTTATGATGTGCTTCAAAGAAAGAGACCCATGGTATGTTTTTTACCGTAATGGTGTGTAATGTGTAAAAGCAATAGTCCGGATCATTTATTCTTACATTTTCCCATTGCGCTTTCACTATAGAACAAGTTGTTTTACCTTGTGGGAATTAGTTGGGGGAGGCCAAGTACTATGTCACTTATACTATGTCACGTATGTTTTGCTTGGATGTTACAAGTGGGGGAGCAATAAAAGATGGAGGATTCTTTGTGGTTGTGTTTTTTATGCTATTGTTTGGGTTTTTTAGTTAGAAAGGAATGCAAGGATCTTTGTAAACAAAAATGAGGAGGTGGAAGGACTATGTGATCGGTTCTACTTTTTGGCCTTCTTTTGGGCCTCGGTGTCTAAGGAGTTTGAACATGTTCCTCTTTATTGCATTATTTTGAGACATTTTCATGTGGAATTTAGTTTTGGTTTCGTTTTATTGTTTTTTTTTGACAGATTTTGTTTTGGACAATTTGTCCACCTTTGACTTCCATTGTACTATTTGCTTTTATATTTTTATGATTAAAAATATTTCTGTTTCTTATTGAAAAAAATAACCAGAAAATAAACGTGTAGAAGTTGTGGAATTAGTTTGTGGAAATTTGCATTTTTTTCTGCTACTTATCCCATTGATTGCTTCTGGAGTTATATGTTGCAGAGCTGGGTAACTTTTCAGATATTTTAAAAATGAACAATTATTGTGGCCTAGCAAAATAGTTGTACTGGTGAAAGTTTAGTGAAGTTCATTTCCACCCCTTATGTTGCAAGCAAAAAAGTGGGTGATTTTTTCCAAATTTTGACTGAACCTAAAAAAGTTAGTTCTAGTTGCTAAACAAATACCAAAATTGTATACGTTCCATTTTTCCTAAGCTCTTCCTTAATAGTAGATGTGGATTAGGGTTGGTTCAAGTTATAATCAGGCAGAACCAAAGGAGGCAAAGATGACTTTGGCTATTTTTTGAAGTAGGTGTTTTCACCAATGACACTATGTTCTGGAAGGTTTCTTGGACAACAAGATACATACCGAAGAAAAAGGTTTCTTGCACAAACCATTCAATTGATGTGGCCTTAAGGAATGAGTTATTTTGTTATTAAAAGCAGTAGAATTTTTTACAGTAGAAACCAAAACTAATTTCAAGTGGGGACGGTTAGGAAATTTTTTCAATTATTCTTATAGTCCTTATCAGATTATATATTTTTTTGTGTATGCAGAATTTCTGATTGATTTCAGTTGTTGTTGGAACTCTTATTTCCTCAAGTATTTATGTCAAAATTGTTACTTCTAAGGTTAAATTTTTCTTTCATTGTGTGTGTGAAAATTTTCTCACGACCTTTGTTTTTCCAATCGTGTCAACAGATTTTACTACATCCAAGAGGAATTGGTCATGTTCAAAATTTCTGTCACCTGATTTTTCCTGGTAGGCTTTCGTCCACCTCTATTCTTTCGCCTACATGGCAAAGCTTGTACATGCATATGATTTCTCCACTAGACATACATACAATTTATTCCTCCCAAAAATTTATGTTCTTGTAGGCCGCTCGATGAGCTTGAGGCCAACAAGGTCAGTGTTACTTATCATTTTACCTTTTGATATAAATGAGCTTCGTTATAAGTACTTTTAGGATCATAAGCAGGGATAGCAACATGTGTAATTAAGGAAGGGTTTAATGGATTCAGACTTGCCCAGACTAGATCTAATTTGACACAGGCCCGCCTTAAACCCAGCTTTGGTTTAAGGAGCTCTGTTTTTCAAGTCCTGTCATATTAAGGCAGTTGGCAGGGTCTTAACCCCCTTAATTTTCTGGAATTTCATATTAGCAATTTTTATTACTAATATGTACTTCAGAAGTACAATAACATTAAACAATGGAAGATGGCTGGACTCAAGTTCGCTTATTGAAATTCTCTTAGGTCATCTAGACAGGCATTGAATATGAGCGGCATTTGATATATCAAACGACCCAAAAATCACATTCAAATATGTTGATCTCATTCTTGTCTTAGGGTTCCTTTTAATGTACCGTGATGCCTGATTACATGACTTAGCTTTTATCTCCAACCAAGATGGTGCACTGGAGATGTTAGTACCGGATATATGTAAACATATGATATAAGGAACCAGTTCTCAACTGCCTTTTTTTGGCTTTCTTGTCTGTAGGGAAGTTGTGGCCACTCACCAACCTGAAATTTCCATGCAAATTTGGAGCAGGCCATTTTGTTCAAACAATGGTGTGATATCGACGTACCTTGTGGTGAATTTTCGTTTATGAATATTGTGCTGGTTCAGTTAAAAAAAAAACATATTGTGCAGGTTATTACTCCCAATATGTTTGGATATTTATGGAGGTGTTGTTAGTTACTCAATCCTTATCATGGATGTCTGATGTTGTTGGAAGACATGGGCCAATGTTTGGGCCCTTTTCGGGAAATTTTTTTCCTCCATTTTGCCAGAAGTTAAGAGATATTATTTCTCTGCCTCCGGTGGTTTCTATCACATTTACTTGGTAGTGCATTCCAAACTGACCCTTAATGACTCTTTGCTCCTCAACACTATCAATGTGGGTTTGGCTTTGCACAATAAGCTGTGCTTACTAAGTTCTAATATTTTCTCATCAGCATTGATAAAGAAGAGGACCCTACCAAGAAAAATTCCGCTTTGTAGATTAGATATCTATGATGGTGGACAGGTTGGATGGGTTCTAATAATTTTTTTTGAAAGGTAAGATGAGGGAAACTTATAATCCTATATAAGCATCTGATTTGCAAAAACCACATGAAGCATGTAAATGTCCGTACGGATGAATTCACTTGAATTCCAAGGGATTAAATTATTGGATGATGGTGGATTTTTGTGCATGTGATACGCTAAAATTGACCAAATTGGAAGTGACAATTGCCTATGTGATTCTTGGACCGGAACTTAGGCGCCTAGCACGTATGTCATCCTCTTCAGCGTTTGGTGAAGTATGTGTAGATTGTATTGTGGGGTTTGGGCATTACAAATCACTAGTAACAGTGTTTGAATGGATCCAAATGTGGTGTTTGATACTCAAGCACGTCCTACACGAATCATGATATGTGCACGTGAATGGTCTCTATATTGTAGTTTTTCAATCTTTAACATCTATCAATTTTTCCATGTGCATGTAATGTGTTCAAGGTGATGCCATGATACCCTTTTGTCATTCAATCTCTAACTTAAATATATACTTTCTGTGTGTATAAAATGCGCTGAAGGTGACCTGGTTGATGCTGTTGTCCCATTTATGGGTGAATCTATAAGTGATGGAACTTTAGCGAAATTCTTGAAGAGTATGTTTCCCACTATATGTTTCCCATACCTTCTTTCCTCAAATATTCATTCTCTGAATGTAATTACTTGCTTCTGTTTGCATCTAATGTTTTATGAGCAGATCCTGGTGACAGAGTTGAAGTTGATGAGCCAATTGCTCAAGTTGAAACAGATAAGGTACTTATTCCAAACTTATGTTTAAATGGGTAATCCAAGGCTGTCAGTGGGATTAATCACTTCTACTTGGATTTTCATTCCATTAGGTGACCATTGACGTTGCTAGTCCAGAAGCGGGTGTTATCCAAAAGGTGAAATCATTGTTTATCAATGCTGATGTTGTTTTTGAAAAGTTCATTTTGTTATACCTTTTCTGGCTTTGAAAATGATGGATCTTGAATCTACATAAATATTGGTAGTTCACAGCCAAGGAAGGGGATACTGTGGAACCAGGTACCAAGATTGCTGTCATTTCAAAATCTGATGAAGGTGTGGCCCATGTTGCTCCATCTGAGAAGCCATCTGAAAAAGCTGCTTCTCAGCCATCTCCCCCTGCTGAAGAGAAAAAAGAGGAGAAGCAAAAGCCTAAAGTTGAAACTCCTCCTGTTATAGAAAAGCCTAAGCCAACTTCTCCCTCACCTCCTAAACGCTCTGCTACTGAACCTCAGCTCCCACCTAAGGATAGGGAAAGACGAGTGAGTTTTTAGAGTCTCATTTTAATATATTCGTTATGGATTATCTGTAAAGATTCTGTATATTTTACTCTATTTGAGAGCAATAGGATCACCTAACTTCATTGTGTATTGAATCTATGATGATCACAGGTTCCTATGACAAGGCTCAGAAAGCGAGTTGCCACTCGTCTGAAAGATTCTCAGAACACATTTGCTTTGTTGACGACATTCAATGAAGTTGATATGTAAGTTTATACTCAATATAACCTAAGCTAATAATGATTTAAGACTGGTGATCTACTCCACAGTTCCTTGGATTAGGCATCTTTGATTGGGTCTTATGCTGCTCAATATGGAGTTGACTGGCCATGGTTGGCTACCATTGTACAACCAAATCAAACTGCATAACAAATGTAATCAATTGGAATCATCCCTGGTTCTACTTTAATTAGGTTAGTCTTGGTTTGGGATGCCCAAAACAACCATGAATTGGAATCTCAGTTATCTCTTTTCTATTTTGGCCAACAAACTCTTATATGATTAGAGCAGATTCTTCGTTGAGAGTGCATGTAACTATGAGGTCAATGCGATTTAATTGTGCGCATGTGTATGCTATTTGTTAGAGTTTAGTGTACGTTGGTTCAATTGATATAATAAATCAATGGAGATGTGATTAGGTATGAGGTCGCTTCATTTTTAGGGTGGATTGATCAACTCCAAAACCAAACCAAGACGACCTTTGAATGTTGCATAATTTTTATAGTATTGGCTCGATTACCTTGCAAATTTCAGCATGGAGCTCATGCTGTTCTGTAATAAAATTGTGGTTGTACTATTGCCTTTTGTTGATTTGTTGCTTATTGCAGGACTAATTTGATGAAACTTCGTTCTGATTACAAGGATGCCTTTGTGGAAAAGCATGGAGTCAAGCTGGGACTTATGTCAGGATTTGTGAAAGTATGTAACTGTTTGCAAGTTGTCACTTGAACTGAACCTGGGCAAAGATGTGTGTGGGCACTTTTGTGCATGCATTTGTGCCTTCTTTATCTCAAATGTTCCAGTTTAGGGATGTAAGGTGTTAAAAGAGTGCCCAGAGTTTATCTATTACCTTGTCCAATTTTCAGGCTGCTGTTAGTGGGCTCCAGAATCAGCCCATCATCAATGCCGTTATAGATGGGGATGATATCATATATAGGGACTATATTGACATCAGCATAGCTGTTGGTACTCCAAAGGCAAGTTTGTCATTCCTTTAAATATTTGTTGCTGTCATTTGGTCACTGGGAAAATTAAGCATGCTGAACTAATTATGTCTTGAAGCTCTGATTTGAGGAACATTTATATATTTGTTGCTGTCATTTGATCACAGGGAAAATTAAACATGCTGAACTAATTATGTCTCGAAGCTCTGACCTGAGGAACATTTATAGACATTTTCATAATAGTCCTTTCTGTTTCACAGAGCTAATTATTTCGTTCAACTTGTGTATATTTTCGTGATATTTTCAGAAATCCGTTTAAATGCATGGTTAGCTTTGTCTGCATGAGTCATTGATTTCATTGAATAATAACTTTGTACTACACGGACTTGGTATGCATCAGTTGAAGTGTCTGTGCAACACATCATGTTTGACATGTGTTCTCTTTTTTTTTTTACCATTTATCCAATATAAAATGAGGACATATTAGAAAATAAATGAATGGAACTAATGTCAAGTTTGGAACTGTTTAGCTTTATATATAGAAGTTTCTAGTATATTGACCCTTTTTTCTTTTCTTTGGTCAGGGCCTTGTTGTTCCAGTTATCCGTAATGCTGAAGGGATGAATTTTGCCGATATAGAGAAAGCAATCAACACCCTTGCTAAGAAGGCAAATGATGGATCCCTATCAATTGATGAGATGGCTGGAGGTTCATTCACTATATCTAATGGTGGTGTTTATGGAAGCCTTTTGAGTACCCCCATTATCAACCCTCCTCAGGTAATCACTCTTTGCGGAAACATTTTAAGTCTTTGAAATGTTGGTTTTCTTTTTCCATTAATTGTTGCCATTTGTCTTCTTTTTCATTCGTGATGATAGAAAATTATATTGTTTCTTTGTTTGTCCTTCTATTTTGTTGTCATTATCTTCGTTTATTGGTTCTCTCTACTTATCCTTTGACAGTCTGCAATCCTGGGTATGCACTCAATAGTGTCCCGTCCCATGGTTATTGGGGACGACATAGTTCCAAGGCCAATGATGTACATCGCCCTGACATATGACCATAGGCTGATTGATGGCAGAGAGGCAGTGTTCTTTTTGAGAAGAATCAAAGATGTGGTGGAAGACCCACGCAGGCTGCTCCTGGATATATAAAGAAATCAGCTACTGCATTTGATATAACGTTTCCAAGGTATACTTGAAGTGAGAGAGAGAGAGAGAGAGAGAGATTACTCGAAGCAGAATAAATGGCTTGATGTTAAAGTTTTGTAGTGTTTCCATTGTTGTTTTTGCATATTTATCGAGTTCTTCAGTTGCGGCCAGCCATGTTAAGACTTGGCACGAATCTCGTTTTTAGAATACATTGTTCATCTTTCAGTTCCCCCAGGCTATTTAAAAAAGAATTCGTTGAATTTCCCAAACGAATTCTCAGTACTGTTGCATAACTTGTGCTTTGATTTCAAATGAAAGCAATCGCTAGACTTTTGTTATAGCATGTGAGACTAAACGAACTACAATCGACGTTCACTATTTGATGTTCTCGATAAGTATATTGGTTTCCTCTTGCACTCAATATGAGGTATTGGCTTTTACTGTTTGTTCTTGGTGTCACTTGAATGGCCGAGCTCCATTGTAGTTGTGGTTAGTATTTGCGGATTTTGGCATTTCGCGGTCTAGTTTCAGACTTTTTTTTTCTTTTTCTCAGTCTGACAGTAGACGATGAGGTTTGAATTCATTCGAGTTCAATAGAGGGGCAGTAGCCATTAATTCAATTGCTAACCTCTAGTTTTAGACTTCAGATTTCAATGATTTTAGGACTGATTATTTGAGCTGAGTTATTCGGATTCGACTTGGTTCGTTTATATGTAAAATAGTCGATCTATTCAGGCTTGATTAGAGTTTGGCTCGTTTTGGCTGTGGTTCGGATTCAACTTATTTTCTAAACAAGTTGAATTTAAATAATTTTTTAAGTTCATTTAAAAAAATGAACTTTTGATTTCAATGATTTTAGAACTGATAATTGAGTTGAATTATTCGAATTTGACTTAATTTATTTATTTGTAAAATAATTGACCTATTCGGGCTTGATTAGAGTTTGACTCGTTCTGGGCATGGTTCGGGTTTAACTTATTTTCTAAACGAGACAAATTTGAATAAGATTTTAAGTTCATTTAAAAAAAAAAATGAGTTTCATAGGCTTAGTGCGATTATTAGTCTTAGCAATGATATACTTCTGCTCCGTGCTGTGGAAGAAAATTATGAATCCATGCCGAGAAACTACTGAGTCCTGATTGGCTCCTTTTATTTGGAATTTGATTTTAATATTAATTAATTTTAATCTTATTTATGTAGTTTAGTGCGTTAAATTATTGTTACTAATTTAATTTATTTAGTTATTTGAGTTGTGTGGATTAAAATTCTTTTTTTCTTTTAGTACATCACCATGTATTAGTGAAAATCTCACGTATATATTTGGTATAACGTGAATTCATTGTAGTTGATCTACAAAGAAAAAAAAAACTAGAGAAGATCTTATTTTGTGTCGTATTTAAATTGACCCACATAATTTGTAAATAAAATATTTAGGACTAGTTTACCCTTCTCTCTCAAGCATACCTACCAAGTATAGTCTCTCTGAGACAAACTGAAAAACTACTCATCCAAACGCTAAAAAAATCAAATAAATCATTTTTTTAATCCCAAAAGAATTCATATAATCAAACTTTTTTGATATAACGTGGGTATATGTTAAAATTAAATTATTCGTATTCGATACTAACGTAATTTATTTATTATTTATAATAGCAAACCATCTCATCTTTAAGTTTGTATTGAGAAACAACCAATTTTAATTTATTAATTTGGTCTTGAAGTTAGTTTATATTAGCATGCTATGTCAATAGTTATGAGCTATTCCTGACATTATCTCAATTAGAGTTTTAGATTATAGGGTCATTTGGTTAGGAAGAAAAGAATAATAGAAAGTGAAGTGAAAGAAAAAAAAATGATAAAAATATAATTTCATACATGTATTTGGTTAGGATAAAAAAATTGCAAGAAAGTGTTAAAAAAATTTTATTCTATTGTTTGAAAGAAAGTAAAGTTACAAGAACTTTTTTTTAATTGTCTAAATTATCCTTAATTATATTAAATCGGTTTAAAGAAGAAAAAAATATGTATTATAATTGAAAGTTAAAAAAAATTTTAAAAAAAAAGTGGCTCGTAATCTAATTCTAGGACAAACCCCAGCACGAAGGTCCTTGAACCAAATTATATGGTTAATCAAATTCATACCAATATTTTTTAAAATTAATAATCAAAAAAATATTTTAAGAAAAATAAGAGTAAAATGAGAAGTTAGTTATAGATTACAACTTTCTTTCATTTCCTTGTATTTTTTACAAGAAAAAAAGTTGGTTAGTTGTAAGAAAATTTAAATATGAAAGAAAATTATTTTTTTCGTCATTTTCCATTTCATGTCAACCAAACGCGTAAAAATTTTAAAAAAAAAAAATTTCTTGTATTTTTTACTATTCTTCTCCTAAACAAATGGAACATGGAGCAATAAAACTTTTGAAAACTATTTTACTTGTATTTGTCTCCACCACAAAAATGGAATCAAACATGAGTCACATGTCAAAAGTCGCCAAACACTAGAGGTCGTCAATGTGGGTCCAACCATCTACCAAACCAATGGGCACGACGACTATAGGCCCACCAGCTTAGACTTGTTTCACCCTTCCCTCCATTTTCTGAGTAAATCTATTGAAACTTAAAAATGTAATTTCATTATAATTATTTGATTAACATTAAATTTTAATATTTGATAAAATTTACCGTCAATATAATAGCTGTAGTAATATTTTTGTTTGGCTTGTGAAAAGGTGGTTAGGGGTAATCAGACGTAACAAAAGACGTTATTTTGAAATTTTTACCTATTATAGAATGTTCTGTTTAAATTATAATTATTGACACGGGATAATTGGGTTCGTCACCGTAACACTACGGGCGGCAAATTGGACATTTAGTCCCCCCGCACCCCTATTTGGTTCACAAAAATTACTATCGCAAGTGGATTCAAACTCATGACCACTATATATATATATATATAAATTATTGCAATAATGATATCACGTCAGCATTGCCACGCGGTATCACTAAAACAAATAAGAAAATAAACCTCACACAAACCAATAATTACTTTAAGTAAGATTCATTTTACCCATTTAAGATTATATTACTAGTTGATGAATACTAACATAATATCACCGTTATATTAAATATTTTCTCAGATAAACTTAAAAAAATTATCAAATTTTAAACTCACGGTGTCTCGTTTACGACCCATCACTTCTGGAGGAGTTTGTTTTCAAGGGACTAATTGGTCAGTGTAGTATTAGTGTCCTGAAAAAACAAAATGCCTCCGATTGGAATCAGTATTTTCAAGCCGGACGAAACCTACCGGCTATCAGGTTTCCTGTGGTCGGTGATAGTCGCAGTGGTTCCAAGTACACAGTTAATTAAATTTAGAAAGTGCGCATGAACAACATTTAAACAAATGAAAATGACGAAGGACCAGTCAATTCAAAGGTTAAAGAAGAGGTTCAACACGTTCATATCTTCTTTTTTACTATCGAGTGTTTAACTTTGTGTCGATTATTCTCTCGATCACTATTTCAAACTCCTTTATCATCTTATAAATCTGATGATCAATTCCTCGGTTACTCAACCACTCATCACCCCCTCAACTTCTTCAAACCCAAAGAAGACCAGCAAGAAGAATAGGAACACATAATCACCAAAACCTATCATGGCCACCCTACAAGTACAAGTTTTTACACTCCTCTCTTCTTCTTCTTATTCTTCCACTTCATCATCTTCTACTTCTTCTCCACAATTCCATAGAATGATCAAATCCAATATTTCTACTCAAAAACTTAAAATGTCAAATCTGTCAGTCCCTAAGGGCAGAGTTGTGGAGTTCGTGGATGATTTTGACACACAAAATGGTGTCCAAACCATCACTACTTCAACCCACAAACTTCAACTTAGCAGTAGTAATCCTAGAAAACAAAGAACCACAGGCTCAAAGGTAGTTGAAGAACTTTATGCAATAATGGAAGTTGTTGCAGACAGAGCTGAAATGCATAAGAACATTGGTGAGCAACGAGATAATTGGAACCATCTTCTTCTAACTTCCATTAATGGAATGACTGTCACTGCGGCAACAATGGCTGGACTAGCTGCAATGTGTGGAGGAGATGGAGCACCCTTTTTGGCTCTAAAGCTCTCTTCCTCTCTATTATATGTAGCTTCCACCGCAGTTTTAATGGTGATGAGCAAGATTCAACCGTCTCAGCTAGCAGAAGAACAAAGAAATGCTTCGAGATTATGCAAACAGCTTCATGGGGAGATCAAATCTATCATAGCTCTTCGAAAGCCTACGTCCACGGACGTGAATGATGCCATAGAGAAGGTTCTGTCTCTAGATAGAGCATACCCACTTCCTTTGCTTGGTACAATGCTCAATAAGTTTCCTAAAAAAGTAGAGCCTGCTGTGTGGTGGCCAAAGCATATGGAGGAGCGTGAAAAACAAAGGAGGCCTGTTGGGAGGGTGGGCAAAAATGGGTGGAGTGTAAAGCTTGAAGAAGAAATGAGAGAGGTTAGTGCGGTTTTGAAGGAGAAAGACACTGCAGAGTATTTGAAGCTAGGCAAAGTGGTGTTGATGGTTAGCAAAGTGTTAGCCATTAGTGGACCTTTATTTACTGGTTTAGGTGCTGTTGGGTCGGCTTTTGTGGGTTCACCATGGCTTAGTTCATGGCCTGTGTTCATGGGTGTGGTCTGTGGAGCTTTAGCCACTGTGGTCAACACTTTAGAGCACGGTGGCCAAGTGGGTATGGTGTTCGAGATGTACAGAGACTCTGCTGGCTTCTTCAGGCTCATGGAAGAGAATATTGAGTCAACTTTAAGAGAGAGAAACATGGAGATGAGAGAGAATGGGGAAGTGTTTGAGGCTAAAGTGGCTCTTGAACTGGGACGAAGTCTTTCGGAGCTCAGAGACCTCGCAAGTGCTACTTCTTCTTCTTCTTCTGCAAGAAATTCAGAAGCAAAACAAGAATTTGCTAGCAAGCTCTTCTGATATATACTATGGAGTTGTCTTCTGCATGTCCAGATCAAAAAAAAAATAAAAATGGAGTTGTTTACTGTGAGATTACTTGATAATGAATCATAAGCAATATCATCTTTTAATTTTTGCTTCATTAGAAATCCACTACTTTTTTTTGATTCAACGGTAAGGGCGATTCAGGCTAATTTATGCGATATTGACTAATTTCTTCTACAATCCATTTAAATTAGATCATTCATGCTGAGATTAGCATATTCTTGAATAAATCCTTCACGAGAGATTCATGAATAATTCTCTCGTGACTTGTCCGGGTTGTCAAGGCAATACTTCAAGGGAAGATGTAATTAGAATCACATCAATATCAACACACATATTTCTCTGTACGATCCAAAAAAGAAAAGAAAAACTCCATGCCGATGTCTTGTTTGGCCTAAACTGATCTTTAAATGGGTGCAATTTCAAACTTAAGAAACACTAATGCTACTTAGACATTCATGTCTTTATTAACTCGGCTTAGCCTACTTTCACTTTCCCAATCACAAGGCTAGTGAGTAAATTTCTATTGGAAATGCTATTTCGAATTAATTTATTAACATAATTTGTTAATTTAATCATTTATAACCATTGAATTGATACTAAATTCAGTATTTGATGAGACCCGCAACTAATCCAATGGTTATAATGGATTCGATTAACAAATTAAGTTCTAATAGCATTACTATTTCTATTAATTAAAGGTATAAATAAGTATCTCGTGTCTCTCTTTCTAGGGTTCTATTCTATCCTTATTTTGGGTTGCTTTTCCTATTTCTTTGTATTAGCAATTCATTTATGCTTCATGCGTTAAACAATGTAAATAGTGATGGTTGTTATGGTTCCTTGTTGAAGAATTGTTCACATTATTGTAGGTTTAAACCAAAGTAGATTTGTTAAGTTTCAAAATTTAAACACGCACGGTGTCTATAGGTATTGTCATTAGTATGGACTCATCGGCAGAAATAGAATGTTTTTGAGTTCAAAATTTTGGATAGTATTTGTTGAAAATGCAATTAAGACTGTAACGCCCCGATTTTTTTTTCCAGAGACATTAATTGGTATAAAAACATCCAAAAAAAATAACAGAATGCTAGTTATCCCAATAAAATTTCATTTATCAAAATCACATCTCAATACAAATAAATATGTCAATATGAATAAATCTCTTAATATAAATAAAACATCAATTATATCGACATCTTTTCATTTTTAATATTCTTATTATCTCGTTCCGATATTTTCTCTAAAATCAACCTAAAAATATTAAATAAAACAAGGAAGTATACAATATATCGAGAAAAAAGATATTTAAGGACATTAAATACTGAATAATCGAGTATCACAAATTATCTTAATCAACAGGTACAAATATCATATTTGCATATCACACGTTATGCAAAATTTTAACATAGATCTAACATCTCATGAATCATCTCAGCTCAACCTGATCTTACAAGTCTCAAGTCTCTTGGCTGGTGATGCATCGACTATTGGCTGCCACAATCCTGCCACAATATCTGCAGAACACGATCAATGAAATTAAAATATTCAACAATATTCAATCAAAATTTCAAAAATAATGATATCACAATATGAAATACAAAGAAGCGGATAGTCAAAAAGAATATTTTTTACAAAGGAATTTAAGGAGAACATATTACATACCACCCTGCACCTTAAGAGATTATCTCATTTCACAAATTGAGTGAAATCGTGTAAACTCTAAATCAAAGGCCCCAACTCTTTGTCGTAAGAGATTATCTCATTTCACAAATTGAGCGAAATCGTGTAAACTCTAAATCAAAGGCCCCAACTCTTTGTCGTAATCTTGTTTGCATTTTCATTCTTCCCTTTTTTTTTGAAAGATGCTTCTACCATTTTATGAAAAACACGACACACAGCTCAGATTAAATATCACTGAGCCATGACCCATTAACTCTCACTTAGGATGACCCATTGACCAATTCTCTCTCTTTTTTTTTTTTATCTTCTTTTGCTTCTTTTCAAAGCCATTCACGTGGGCGAAGACTAACAAATATAAAAGTTACATATATTTATACTTTGCTCTCATTTATTTCACTTATTATATATATCAACCACAAAACTTAAATATTTCGTATATTTTCAGCTCAAAATTCATAATATTTTACACCTAAAATACTTCTAAAAATTAGGAATCTCATAGAGACTGATGCGTGTTTGTTGAGACCTCATCAAGGAGTCAATAATTGGGCATACTGTTCAACAAAATGTTGTTTGGCCATCTCTTGATATATGTTCAACATCTTTTGTCTAAACCCCATCTTTTGTCTAAACATGAGGTTTTGGAGGATATGACAATAGTTTTGTTTGGATGTGAATACAATTGTGTAGGAACTCTCAAGGTCATAACTAGTGGTCCAAGGTTAGGTATAAAAAATTAATTTTTCTTTTTTAGTTTAACGGTCAAGAGTGTTTGGTCATGTTAACGCACACTTCGACTAATTTTCTCCTTGATCCGATCAAAGACAAATCATCCGTACAAGAATTAACATTCATTCATTATTTTCTCATATTTTGGCAATATTGCCATTGATTCGGTGGTTGAAATTCAGCCCCACAACAACCTTGAAATTAGGATAGTCATTTTGTACAGTCAATGTCGGTATTGTACAATTGTAACGTATCGGTTCACCGTAACATACTAATTCGAATAGGGACTAACTTGTATCGAAGTAGGGACCAAGTTGGAGTTAAGAAACTTCTTATCCTTAATCATCAATTAGTGACCAGCATTGAGCGTCACCAAAGACATGATAGCACAGAAATGCTGGACTAAAGAATCAACGAGCTGATTACAATATTGAAAAAAAAAATTGTACTATACTTCTATTTATCATATTTTTTTTAATATTTTTACCATTATTATAGTGTTAAAAATAATTACCACAACAGTGATAAAACACCCACAAAAATAATAAATTTTTTAATTATAAATTGACTCACAAAAATTATAAAAACACTCATTAAAATAATAAAAATTAAATCTATGGTACAAAAAATAAATAAATAAATGAATCCGGTATCGTTTTCAAGTCCCATCAAGAATCAAAGCTCAAAGAAGAAAGAAAACGTGAAAAACTCTCAAGGAAATGTTCAATGGTGACCACGTTCGTCAATCCTACGCAAAGCACCACATCAAGTACTATACTCGTCAGTGGACTGACTCCCCAGTTTGTGCATTTTCAACAAACGACAGTGGACTATCCAACACAACAACTACCCCCACCGCGAGGGTTTGACTAATGAAAAAATATGTTACCATTTACCATTTTTTTAGCTATTTTTACTATCTTTCGGGTGTAACTTGCTAACTTTTAAGGTTTATACAACTTTTGTGTTCACTTAATCATTTTTCGGGTGATTCTCAACCCCACGCATTTGGGGAGTGAGAAATGCGCATCCGTTCCCATATTTTATACCAAGGGAAAATTCCTCGGACTCTCCGACCACGAAGTATCAGAAAATGAGAGATCATTTCTACACGGATAATTCATGGGGCTAAATAAACATCGGGAATTTCATGGTATTAGTCAATATCATTGTGCGTAGGGCACCAAGTTGACAATAAAAAAACTGCAATAACTATTAATTTGTCTGAAAGAATTTTGAAAAAAAAAACCTTGGACAGCACATGCAACCGCAAACAACGCAGACAAGCGAAAAATGCATCAAGCTAGCAACATTTATGTAAGAAAGTGTGAATAAGTCTAACATCTCAAACTGTCGATATCCCAAAAAACCAAGGCTACAAATATAAAAATTAACATACTAAATCTAACTCACAGTTCAAACGTTTCAGAATCGGGATTCGCAGCAGTAAGTTGGAAGCCGCCTCCTCTGACTGCATCTCGAAGTTGGTAGAGCAAGAATAGATTACATTCTAACTTCTATGCCTTCCTCTAGCAAGTGGTTTTTCACAGACTGAATTGGCACCTGAAAAACGCAATCATTTATATGTAGAGCGTTAGTTTTCTTGAACAATGGCCTAAACTCCAATACTTTCTCCACTTCAAAGATATAACTAATTTTGAGCAGTCGTCTAAATTAACTTCATGAACCTTCTGGGAAAAAAAATTTAACTACATGGCACTCCATAAGGGAGTTAAAGCCAGGCTGTGATTGGTGCCCACGTTATGTATGCCATAAAACAAAGGAGAGTTGATTGTGATGGTTTGATTATACACAAGCAATGAAGGTGAAGCCTAAATGATGGGATACAAGAGTAAGCCTAAATGATGTTTATCACCGTCTTTACCACAATGATCTATCAAAAGAAGTACAAGTGTTCTGTTTTCATATTGATATGTGCTGTAATTATACCTCCTTACGATGAAAAATTCCTGCAGCAAGGGCAGCAGATGCATTTGTCTTCTTGAAAACCTCTGAAAAGTGTTCAACCATTCCTGCACCACTACTAGCGATTACAGGGATGCTCACAGCATCAGAGATCAGCTTTATTAGATCTATGTCAAATCCTTCCCCTTGACCTGAAAATGCATTGAATAGGAAAAAGGCCCATTACTCAGTGTTAAAGAATAAATGTGATAGAATTTAATATACAGGAATCAACCACGCTACACCATCTAACACGATCAATTTAATCCTATGTATTGGTGACTCATCCATATAAGAGACTACCCGTCATCCAAAAAAAAGCCGTAAAACATATTGAGTTCAACAAGAGCAGTATTCACTTTGTTTGCAGCAACAATTTAAAGCAGCACTAAAAGGTACAAAACAGCTCAAAGGTACTAAACAAGTGGAAGAAGGCATCTCACTCTAAACAAGAAAAAAGTCTCACAAACTGTGAGTATTATTTATACTCAAGTGACAGTTTTGATCACCTTAAATTTAGCACATGGTGCCTTCATGGATATACAACATAGAAGAAAGCAACCAAAAACAGAAGTGAAAAAAAAAATCTATTAGCACACTTTTTCAACAAAGAGAAAAGAACCAAGAATATATAAAAAACTGTACACTCCCAGAGAAATATCAATCCGGTGACACTAAAGTAACCTCTCTCAAGTTTCACAGAACTTGCTGTAAATATAGAAATTTATTTAATGCTAACAGTTTCGCAAATATGAATTCGATATGTATAATCAATTATTATTTTTTCTACATTTGGGGATTTGTTTAAAAATGGGTGGGGTGTGGTTGATGTTCAAAATGATAGCATCCAACAGCTAGTTGATGTGCCTATAGTCATAAGCAAGAAAATCATGTTCACCATCACAGTCGATGCAGTTTAGCAGAATTTCTCCAGCTCCCAACTCCTCAACAGCTTTTGCAAGCTCATAAGCTCCAATTGGACGACCCTCTCGACCACCATTGACCTTAAGAATGGTCAACAGAAGGTGATTTCAGGAGCCCAAAAATAATTAAATATATGAAACAAGAATAGCAATGGAAGTAAGATCCATGACCTCATTGAGGAAAATAAATTAAAAGTGCATTATCACAAACAAGAAACACAAAAACGAATATGAACAGAAGAGCATTTAATGGTTCTGGCTTTACATTATAACAAAAGCTTATTGTACAAGAAGATTGCAGTGAGGCATTGATTAGAGTCTTTTCTTCTATTGATATGTAAACCTTGATGGAAAAAGGCAAATGAAAGGCTGAAACAGGGCCTACAAACATACCATCTTGCTCTTCCCTCAGAGTTGCATTTACAACCACCTACTCTGACCCTCCACTTACTTGCATCTTCACACCAGAGGCCACTGCGTGCTATTTAAAACTACAAATCTTTACACACCACCAAACATCGGAATCTTGTCCATACTATCCTCTCCGCAATGCAAAACATCCATACTCGAACTAAACAAGGGATGGGCTTGCTGCCCCAAACCCAACAGCATGGGGTGGGTTCCCTACATAAAATAAGCCTCATCTATGAACAAAACCCTGTATTGCAAGGTTGCTGGAATATATCCACCATACTCCAACACCTGTAAATTGCACAACCCTTCAACCCAATAACTTTTATCAACAACTTGCGAACAATTCATTTACTAGTTGGTCTTGAGGCCCTTTGAAGCAAATTCTACTACATTGCTACAGGTTTGAACACTTCATAATAAAAAGAAAACAGGGAAAGCTTACTGTGCACTGATACCAGGCATATTCTTCGCCATTAGGACCTGAAACCAACCGCAAAATCATGGTCAGTAAATTAGTTGCTACACTTTTTTTCCTTTTATTTTCTCTCATGTCTTCTCTTTCTTTCTTTTTTTTTCCTGGTGGGGGCTGAGTACCTTGCTAATTTATACAAAATCCCACTTCTTTTATACATAAACCCCCTACATCCATTATTAAATTTCCTGATTAAGCCGGATTCTAAATGGTTTTTACTTCCAAATGACACCCGACAAGAAAGCCACTTTAGGTAGCTTGATGGGGAATATTGGAAACTCCAGCTGGTTCAGCCAGGAAAACACAAATTGAACTGTCCAAGCACTCAACAGCACAGATTGCCTCATGAGCAGCTTAAACAACAGTCTGCATGCACATTGGATAAAATACATGTGCTTAACAAGTTCTCAATAAACAAAACAATTTACAGTAGTGGCATGGATTTCCTTACCAAGGTCTCTTACTCTGATAGCTTTGAACGGTACATCATCGGGCTTCTTCAGGTACACCCTACGAGGATCAATGCTTACAACCACTGCCTGCAACATGAATAGTATGCTGACTAAACAGATTTACCTTATATGGTAACTCAAATAGATGTACCACACTCACTCAGTCACACACACACTGATTATATGGACTAGCGTAACAGTTCATATTTGTAGCAAAATGGAAAAGGTTGGTGGATCACTTCCCCGTGGACTTTTTCTGCTCCAATTTCTTTCCTTGGCCTTTTATTTTTCTTGTTTTCTTAAGAAGATTGCCTTTGTCACCCTCCTTTTCATATTTTCAATACTTACTCTTTTTGAAATATTTTCAAAAACTATTTACTTAAAGGAGTAAGTAGGAACATTTTAGCCAAATGTGTCTGTAGGGCTTCTATAGTCAGCCTGGTCCAAATACAAGGTAACCAAACATATCTTTATTCTACTGCTCCAATCAGCTGGATTGGAGACGCTGGTATCAGTCTTCTTTTCTTGTCAGTTAAGTTAGAGATTTTCAGCAAAAAGCATCCACATACGCGGATTCTGCAGCCAACCTAATCTTTTGCAGCTATTAATCAACTTTTATGTATTTCTTTTGTTCCCACCATCTGAATGGGTTATCTGATTTGAATATTTTCTTTTTCCACATAACATACTTCCCATGATTCATTCACAATCCACATAAGTTGCATGATGCCAATTCTTTTATAAAATGTTATAATACAGAGGTTTGCTAGACTGAACACAAACACTTGAGAAACTGGATACACAATCCGCAATTGAAGGCTAACTTACCTGATTTCCATAAACTCTGGAGATCTGTTCTAAGCTGCTCTTTCCAGTTTTGACCTTCAAAACAGTAGTTCAAAAACTAAAATGGAAGTCTAAATGAATAAATGGATAAAACGATGGGTAATGAGAAGCTTTGCCTACCCCAATTCTTAAATATTCTTCTGCAGCATAAACTGCATCACTTCCTATGGAAACCTTATCTGCACCAGATCTGAAATATTCTGAAGCAACTTCCAAACTAGAGTAGTACCTGAGGAAAGAGTACCTCAGACATGATAGTCTATAATTCCATCAACGTTAAGTACTTATTCGAAACTACAACTAAGACATTTCATCAGACAATCACTGGCCAAAAACACTAAATAAAATATAAGGTATGCACATATACCAAATAACCTAATAGTTCACAAAACAACGGCCAGCTTCTTACCTGCCATTTCCATCAGTGAAATCTCTAATACCACCTCCAACTGTTAAGGGTACAAAAACATTCTCTGATGCAAATCTCAATATCTGCACAGCAAAGCAACCACCAGAATATAAGGGAAAGCAATACCTAAAGGAAATACTTGATATCAAATATAAAAAGACAAAATTTTTTAGATATATGAAGATTATTGTTGGACAATTACGGCAACCACAAAATAACAAACCTGTAGCATTGGCAAATCACCTAGAGGGAAGTCCCGGAAACCGGTAATATTCAAAAAACTAATCTGAAACGCAATGTCAAGAATAATCATAATATCATCAAGCTACTATCTCACAGAAAAAACTTTCCCAAGAAGGGATACCTCATCAGCCCCATCTCTATAATACTGTCCAGCAAGATCCACTGGCTTGCCAAGGTTTCTCACCTTCAAGAAAGATAATGACAATAATCATTACCAATTAAGAGAACAATATCTCTGTGGAATACAATAACATAGTGGGTGGCAGACTGTTAGATCAACAATATTGAATTTTAAATCCAAATGCTGAACACGATGAAACTAAACAAGACACCTGTCCCCAAAATAACAAGTGCTGGTTGCATGGGACAAATTTGTTCGTGAGATTGTTGCACCATATAATGCCCACACTAAGGATGATCAGAGGACATGTGCATGCTGGAAGGATGAATTGCTAGATGAGATTGTGGTATAATTTATCATCTGCTTCAAAAGTAATTAAATGCCATGCATTAGAAAGACAAACACATAACACCACACAAGCACACGCGCTCACACACACACACACACACACACACACAGTTGGAGATGTTTCAGTTTAGGCCACAAGAATTCATAAAAATGCTAAATTATAGAATCCAGATGGATAACATTAAACAAATTCAGAGCACAGTCACCAGAATCTTGGACAAGTAACAAAATAACCTCATCATTCAGAAACATTCAGTAAGCAGCATATTTAAAAACATCACAGTTAATAGATCAACTATCCTGTCACCAATTTGGCGTTGAAAACTCAGAAAAACATTTTGAACTTTATTTGCTTATAGAATGCGCAAATAACTGTTCAGATGAAAGAATACATTCTCTTCTTTATCTCTCATCTTTACTCTCTTTAGATAGGATTGGAGGGCTCCGAAAGTTATGTTTCCATTGTCTTTCTACCCCCCTCCCCCCAAAAAAAATATATATATATATGTTTTGTTGCCACTGTCATTCAATATATTTCAATGCATTAATGCCTAATCGCAAGATACATTCTCTATCACAATGTCCAACAATGTTTATGCCATCACTAATCTAACAGAATCCAAACAAATCAGAGAACCAGGTAATGCGTTGACTGAAACAAGGAAAGTTGCCTCACAAACTCCCTTTTCCAGATATTTTCCCTTACCTCATTCTCTTTTGTCTGCTCTCTTACATCATACTGGTCTCCTTTGGTCACCACAAGATCGCCTTTATCATTTGTCCTCACATCAAGACAAGCAATTACCTGGCCAGTTGTAAAATTTTTTAAACCAACCAGATCAAATTTATAATTGGTCAAGTTAAGGTGTCATGCAGTGTAGAGTGAAAAGTGCAATATTTTAAGTGTACTACTTAAAAATCATAAAAATGCTAGGACAATACATAACTATGATCTCAGCTACTCACCCTCTTCGCAAGCTGTGAAGCCGTACCTTCAACTGGCTTCTGTCTTCACAATAAGTTTTTCAGTTTGTTAGATGGTATAACGAAAAAGTCAAGGAATAACACAATTTTCAGAGGTTTGAAGGCTACCTTTGTCATCAAAGACTTTGGATATAAAAACCTTCTCAATATAGAAAGGCCAACACCTGTAACAACATTTCAAGGAATATAAATAGCAGTGATCAGTATGACATCAATGCCAAGAAATAGTTCACAGCTGAAACTAGTTGTTAATGACTGCAGCAAAGCCAGTAGACATTCAGCCCAAAGCAAACTAAATCAGCAGAATCACCATCTCAGCATCATCAAGAAGCAAGTGCAGCATTTCCTAATTCAAACTGTAGCCTGTTTTCAGGCGAGCGGTTAAACCAGAAGATGCCTTGTAATGAAGTTCATCCATACCAAATCAGATTCTAACTTGAATGAATAAAAAAGGTTGAGAAAGATTATATCTTGCCTCCACTCTTCTCTGGGTGAAACTGAACAGCATGCACGTTTCCCCTTCTCACAGATGCTATGAAATCGTCACCATAATTACAGGTAGCCGATACCCACTCATTGTTATCATCTGACTAGAAGTAGAAATGATTAAGCTTGCATCAACGACTTCAATGTTATCCAAGAAATGTGTGGTAGATTATAGATGTAAGCAATGGCAACAAGGTGAGAAAAACCATACCGGCATGGCACGGTATGAGTGAACAAAATAGACATGACGGTTTCCAATATCCTCCAAAATCTCAGGGTTTTGGGTTAGTTGCAGTGCATTCCAGCCAATATGAGGTACTCTGAGGCCATTAGCTGAATCAAATCTTCCAACTACACCAGGAATCAAGCCAAGACCTGTTACTGAGAAACACAAGAGTAGTCAGCTCAGTCTAAACAAGGGAAACCTAAAAGAATCACATTTTGTAATCATAACACATACACACAAAACTGCAACGGTGTACAAGAAACAATATGACCAAATAAATTGCAGGCATATGGCAGGAAATAAGGATATTACACTAACAAAAGGGAGTAGAGCAAACAAAAAAAAAAAAAAGGAATCAATTCTAAGTTTCGTACCTATTTAGCACAATTGATTCATAAATAAAAAATTAAGTGAAGAACTCCATATTAAACAGTTACCTGGTCCATTCTCCTCACTTGACTCAAAAAGTAGCTGTAACCCAAGGCAAATTCCTAGAAACGGGCGATCATTCTCAATGTAAGAACATAGTGCTTCAGCCATCCTACAAAAGATGCTATGCATAAGCTTTCATATTCATCATTCATCTATGAACTTCTAAAACAAATAAGTCAAAGAGACAAAAACTACTTATGAGAGGCCAATTGAAGTCAAAGCCATGCTATTCTGGTCAATTTATAATGAGAGCTGACCACTTTTTATGTTTGAGTGAACAGAGCATGACCAAAGTAATTTTTCAAGCAGTTGCACAAACTGAATATCTATCTGACAGAGGCACATATACTAAAATTGTTTATAAAATAAACCATGTAGCAGATTTTGTTATCCCATGCGCTAGTTTTAAATTGGTCCAGGAAAATATCAATTGATTATTGTCAAGAAAACAATTTCTTTCTAATCATATACGATTTGAGGCTGATAGCGTAATATGTATGCTCTATATTGCCAAAAAAAAAAAGTAACCACCAATAACGGCCAAAGAAGATTCAACATAAATTACCCTATGAAAGAAAGCTAACACATAGATCGCAAAACATTTAGCACAACTATGTTATAGAACTCTCAACGATGTCAAGTTTCATGGCGACTTCATGACAAAGTCAAACTAAGGCCTTGCACTGTAGGAAACTAAAAGGAATTTCTACACAATATCTGCAAGCCTATAACAACAAGGATTAAGACTTTGATTTGCTTGCGATGAACACTAATATCACAAAAAAAATGTCACATCCTAATCTAAAGGGGAAACGAAATTTTCCTTTTTAGAGATCACTTAAAGAAACCGTATGTAGGATGTCCACAAAATTTTCGTACTGAAAAAAGGTTTTGTATTGGACCAAAGAACGGCATATACAGAACTCACCCATTCCGGTTTAGCACATCCATGGCAGCGGCAAATGCCCCAACCCCAGGGAATATAAGGCGCTTTGCATTTAGAATGTCCTCAGGCGTTTGCACCTGGAAGAAAATAAGAAATAAAACATTAGCACCACATTGGAGAGCAAAAGTTACACGTGATCTACAGACCCATTTTTAGGGACCAATTTGTTGCGTTCTGTGTTTGTGTTTCCTTTCCTTGACATAGCTTCTTTTCTTTTGTTTCTTAAATTTTGTATGTCACAAATTCATTTTGTTTCTCACCAACTTGCGACCCCAAATTACATCCTCTCTACCAGGTCTTTTTCCTTACACTTCAAAATAGGAAAAAGCTTCAAAAGTGCTTCCAAACAGGGCCTGGATGGTCTGAACTTGGTTGTCTGAGTAGAATCGATGATTCATTCCTCAAGGCCACCTATTCTAAAAAAAGATTTCCAACTGTACAAAACACAATATAAAGTAAAGCATTCAGATAATAGCTACATACTCATTTTCTACCTACGCACATACCCTATGTAGTTTTTCTGCTAAGGCCATTGTTCAACAAAAATACCCCATTCATGATTTAGTTATTATACCTTCCACTTTCTCGGACATGAAGTGCAAAACAACTGTCCCTTCAACTACTTATAATAGGTAAGTATAATCGGATTTAAAGCCCACCATTGAGGATAAAACTCTGAAAATTTCGCATCTCTAAGTTGAAGCGAATTATAAAGCCCTCTGTTTAATCAAACAAAATTCATGAATCATGTGCTTTAACTAATCTCCCTGAAAATTAAGCTGCTGAAGCTCAACTCACAAAGATAATAGTACAAGCCAATGTTGTGTGGATGTGAATGAAGAATCTACTACAGAAGTTCTGGTCATTTGTGTTTCATTTGCTTTTCGAAACAACCGATCGAAGATTATAATCGAAGAAATCAAAATGGCGCGAAAAGATTGAAGAAAAAAAGTACGTCTTTGATGTCGAAGCCGAGACTGTGGATTGCATTTCTGACACTTCGAACATTGCCGGCTCCGTAATCAAGCAGAGTCACCGCTGTCAAAAATGAAACCAGACAGTAAACGGTTCAATAACCTATATATATAAGCGTTCCTATTCGCATATATCTCTATATGGGAGAGAGAGAGAGAGAGGGAACCAGAATCTCCACCACCAGCAGCGGAGGCGCGAACTGAGAAGCTCCTAGATGATTTGAATTTGAATGTGCTCCCGTTGAGGTCGTACCGGAGGAATTGTAGAGAATGGGCATCGGACTGGTAAGAGGAGGGCAACGACGAGGATGAAGATCCGACGGTCAGAATTTTTGAAGAAGCAAATGTAGCCGCCTCCATTTCCTCCGGAAGCTCGCCTCACTCTCTCTCTCTGTTACTGTCTCTGTACTGTAATTGGTTGATAGGCAACGTCGCCGTTTTTCAGGACTATAAACGGTCGTTTGAGGGCCTCTCTGGCATTTGCATCAGAAGGGTTGGAAACGTTTCGATGATGGGCCTATAATGGGCTGAGGCTTGAACTAAGCCTAGATGTGTTTGGGCTGACTGCAAAAAGCATAGAAATCACTGGACTTCAGATTTGATTCGATTCGAATTTATTTATTTATTTTTTCGAAGTTCGAATTTAAATTTGATTAAAAAACTTTTTATCCAAACATTTTATCAGTTTTGTTTTCATCATGCATATGCTTATTTGTTGAAAAGTTAATATCGGATTCAAAAATTCCACCTGATGTGAACAGTTCAATTGGGTTAAACTGCAACAAATTATATCTAAATTTCAATCCAATTTAATTAGATTATCACTTATTAGCACTTTATATGCACATAATTTAGATCAGATCATAATCGAATTTAATATTGGTATGACCAAATTCAAGTCATGGAAGATATGATAACGGATTTAGGATGAAATAAGCGATCAAAAATATCAATTTATATCAAGCTATCGAATTCGAATTTCTCTAATTTAATTCATGGATAAGAACTATCGAACTAGTAATCTAGTAATAAGTCGTATCCGTTTAGGGTTATTCCTAACTCTCATGTGGTTAGTGAGCAGACGCTCAGGGGATTAGTACCTATTGATCGTCTTTCTCCTTTTTTCATTATCAAAGAAAAAAGAATAATGCTACACTGATCAAATTTTATAACCAAATCAAAAGCTCAAATGACATAGTAGTTGACTTGGGCTTCTTTATTTGATATTATGTCATTTGGACCTCAATAAAGACTCCCAATAATATACTGTCATGTCATTTAGACTCTTGATTTGATTTCAAAATTTTGTCGACATAGCATTACTGAAGAAAAAATCACGAACAAGCCCAAGGGCAGATGACATGGCATCCACGACGTTAATTAGCCACTTAGAATCATTATTTAGTAAACTCACAACTTTTGAATTCTCAATTCCCTCTAATATATACTCCTTCATTTCTCATAAATCATATGTCTTGAATTCAAGTGAAGAACAACCACCTAATCACATCAATAAAGATATAATGGTTTGATGATCAAACATCTTTTTCCTATTCCTAAGACGAAATTGACGAGTTACGATTGCTTTATCTCTTAAATGCGGGTTTGGAATCAAGCCTAGCTTATGTAAGCGGATTTGAAAATAAAGCAAACATGGGAGGAAATTGAATAGCATTTGTATTCGAAGGGATCTTGATCCCAACTTTTGGACAAAAGTTGGTCGTTTAGAAGCAATGCCAAAGCAAAAGTAACAGTAATGCAAATTCATTGCCTTCCCTTGCTGCTATGTCTCCTCTCCTTTGTTCCTTTCTTCTTCTTCTTGGTTGCTTGGCATTTTGTTCATACTATTTCATGATAATCAGCCCTCTCTCTCTCTCACATTCACCAGGGCTCACATTGGTTTCAACCACCACCTTAAAAAACCAAGTTAATTTGTGCCAAACCTCTAAAGATCCTATTGTGGGTACCATACAAAACAATGATTCAACCTCTGTTCACACTAGTATTCGCCGAAATGGGTCTGGTCCTGACCCTTCTGTTTAGAACACCTCTGAGAAAGCCAGTGACCATGGGGTTGGATGGGGTGAAACAGGGGAGAGGCCCTGTGATTGTGCAGACTGTTGCAGCAACCTTGTTTGCAGTTCTGATCTCTATCGTTTACAGTATAACGAAGATTCAGAAGCGTTCACAGGATGCTGGCTCCGTTAATCCAACTGATCAGGTTCTTTTGGCCAATCATCTTCTCGAAGCGTCTCTTCTCGGTAACTTCTACTCATAAAACTCGGTGAATTCAAAGAAATTCTATAGTTCTACGCATTTTTGGAACAAAACATGTTTACATTTTTTTGCTCGTTGGGCTTGATTTTTACTGATTGTTCAAAGTTTCGTATATGTTTACAATGGTCGTGTGACTCGTGTCGCTTTAAGATTTTGTTAGGGTTTTAAAATTTGATGTGATAACATTGGTGAACTCATACTCAAATCTTTATAGTCTTGCATAGTCAAATTTATATCAGCTTGGATTTGACTTCATTCCGGGGCCATATAAGAGAGCAGGTCACTTTATCTACAAGGTGTGCCTTCTGGCCGGAAAACCCATGCTTAATAAGTGGTAGCTCTTTGTGCCGGATGAAAGAACAATGATGGTCATCCATTGTAAGACTCGTTCGAGAGGGGAATTATTGAGGTGTCAAACGAGTTTCATATCGATTGGTAATGAGGGGGTTCGGGGCTATATAAGGGAGCGGATCACTCTATCTACCCATGCCCAACAAGTTGAAACCACTGTAATTAAACTCATACCCATTTAAATTGTGTCGGATTGGCAGATTATGTCAAAATTGACTGCTTAATGTTGGTCATTGATCCTATTTTTCAGGTTTTTCCCTATTTCTTGGATTAATAATAGACAGACTGCACTATTATATCGAAGAGCTCCGCCGGATACGGAAGAATTTGGAGGCAGTAAAGAAACAGGAACAGGGCTATGAGGCCATGAAAAGCAGGGCAGTCGATGACAATGAGACTAAACTCCGTGATGAAGCTATTCTTGCAAAAAGGACTCAGAATAGGCAATTGGAATCTAAATCCCAGAAAAGCTGAAAAGATGCAAAACCAGTAGTCCAAGAAAAGTTGGATCAAGGGGAACAAACAAGAACACTTATGGATATGAATAAGGCCATGTAGTATAGTTTATATAGTTGATGCATAGTCTCCTACAATTTACATGTCCATCCTTTGTAAAACATCTATGGATTGATCTCATTTATCAGAAAAATTATGTTCCAGCACTCATTCGCAAATCCTGTAGTAAAATTGAGACTGCTCGATCTCCGAAGCTAATTCGTGTGTAAGAGTATTGGTGTGCTTCAGTACTTGCATTATCGGAAACTTTTTCAACATTCCACTATCAATGTTTATCCATTAACGTAGTTAAGGGAAATGAGTATTTTATATACTTAATAATATGTGTGTTGTATTCTAGTTGGACCAATTATGTTCAACTAGACTCTCAAAAAATCTTTGTAGTTGACATTGATTGAGATTGGGCATACCAACAACATGCATGACACACCTCAAGACAGAAGAGAGAATAAACTGTTTATGAGCACTATAGGTGGAAGAGATTACATAAGATAAAGTGAAGTCATTGATGAAGTCAATGGAACCTGTTATGCAGAGAAGATGCTTGAACTTTTAATGAAAGCCGCATAGGATTCCAACATAATGGTTGCTAAAGTGAGAGGATTGCTGAAATTCAAGCACCAATCTCTTTTCAATTGACACGATAGGAAAAGTTGTGGTTCTGTGAATGGGGCAGATATTTTTCACTTGCTATCGTGATGACGGAATCAAGATTTTATCTCAAAGACTTCAAATAATGACGTTTTACTCTGCAAACTACATGTATTATAAGAAGAGAAAATAACATGGTTATATTGAGAAACGCACACACACACGAGAAGGAGAAAGTGAGAGGGTGAATTCATTGGCAACGGGCGAAAAGTTGAACAAACTGAAAGAACGAGTCTATCAAATTAGTAAATACTACATACGATTTTGACCCCTGTATAGGAGATTTTGAAGACAACCATGGCCTCTAGGACCTGAACAGTAGGTTTAGTGGAACAAAAAATGAAAGGACCGTTAACTTGATTTCAAAATTCATCTGACCTACTCTTCACATAAACAATGAATGAGAGAGAGCCAAGAGCATTGACCATCAACCTAAAGTCTTTTATGTTCATACACAAGTTGACAAAAGTCTAGCACGCTGAGAGATTGACTTGTCAATTGCTAGATAACGTAGACGGAATAAAGTCGAGCCATTCGGACTGATTCAGAGTCAACCCCTTTCGGGTCCTGGACCAGATCGTATGATTCACAAAAAGGTTCACGGGTGGAGAACAATTTGAATTGAACAACAAAAAGTTTTCATTAATTTTTCGGCTGATACAAAAACATCTTTAACTGTTACACATGATTTCCCAAGGTATGTACTAATACAAGAACGATCAATGCTGCTAATGTTATCCACGTAGGACTCTAACAACAAATCCCCATTTCCCAATGAGATCTCAAGTTCTTCTCCATTAGCAATTGAAAAAGTGAATGACTCTCCTTCTCCATTTATCAACTCTCTGTCGTCTTCGTCCACGACGTAATTTTGCTGGTAAAGTTTGAAACTTTCCTCAATTTGATTGCTTCTAATATTCACCCAATCCTCCTCATCCTCTGTCCAATTGGGTAAATTCAAACCTGATGACAAAGTATCTCCGATCAAACGCCGGAACCTCTCCGCCGAAGAATTTGATGATGAACCCACAACGGTCGGAGTTGGAGAAGTTTCTGACACCTCTGATGAATCCCAAAAGCCTTGAGACAACACACTAGTCGGAGAATTCCGATTAAGGTTTTCTTCTTGCTGAGGATTAGTCCCCAAGCCATCTAAAAATGGGTGTTGCAGTAGCTGTTTAGCTGTCCACCGTTCTTTTGAATCTCTAATCAAACACTTGGTGAGAAAATTTTTAGCCTCCTCCGATAACCAACTTGGGATTTCCGGTATATCACCGGAATACCCAATTCGATACAGAGCCGACACAGCATCATTGGCCTCCGGCCATGGGTTAGACCCGGTGGCCATTTCAATGAAGGTACACCCAAGAGCCCATATGTCAGCTGGGAATTTCTGGTCTTCCCAGCGTGCAACCTCCGGCGCCATGAAAACCGGTGTACCGGAAAACATGGATGTGGCGGCGCCTCCATCTTCTTCCACCAATCTAGCACAACCCAAGTCAGCAATCTTCACTCTATCTTTGTCAATCAGAACATTGTGACCCTTTATGTCACAGTGCACCAATCCATTCAAGTGAAGGTAATCCAATCCTTGAAGGATTTGATGAGCATAGGTTTGAATCATTGACTCATCAAGTGAACCTCCTCGCTTCTTAATCAGATTAGAAAGCGTACCACCGGGTACATACTCCATGAAAAGATTGTACATAGGCTTGTTTCTTTCTTTGCTAATGTCAAAACCCATGTACTTGACTACGTGGGGAGAGCTAAGCTGAGAAAGAAAACGTTGTTCTTTTTGCAAGAAGCTGGAGGTAGAGAGCTCAGTGGACTTAACGGCGAAGAGCTGACCGGAGGCGGTGGTGGCAAGAGAGACGGTGGCGGAGGAGCCCCGGCCGATTATGGGACCCCTAGACCACTCCATTGGAGAGAAAGCAAAGAGAAATGGAAGGATGATGGCGGGTTTGAGCTTGTTTTCGTAGTTAAGTTTTCTAGCAAAATGCTAACTTGGTTCTATGTGTATATATATATGCCCTTTGGCCTTACCACAATGGAGTAGCTACTATGTAGTGCTATGCTCTTGGTTTGTCTTTTCTCTTTTGGCGTGGTTTGGGTGTCTCTGTGCAAAGAATCTTTGATCAAGTTACATTTTATACCCCTAAATTTTAAACCTGAGTTCTATTTGGCGCATCAAGTATCTAGTGAAACAACCAAGACCTTATAGCTCAAAAATTTACAACCAAGTGGGACTAGTCTAAATTGATTATAATTAGTTCTCTTACGATTCTATCAACTGAAAAATCTATGGTTTTTTTCCTTCCTCCATCAAACTAAAGTAACATAACAAAGGGTCACTATTAATTAAATAAATGCATCAAATAGCACCAAGTTTAGCACTCCTGAATACCATCGAGAAAAAACAATAGAATAATTTGAGAGATCTATTAGTGATTGGGGCACCTCCCAAAGAGAATAGCTCAAATCTACAATAAATAAGCATTATTTGTAATTTAAAGATACTATTCGTGACACTAAAAACAAGTTAGTCAAAACTAGTGTAAACCAATGAACCAAGCCTTAAACAGTTCGGTTGTGTTGTTGGATAGTTTGAGTGAGTGAATCATCATATAGCACCAAGTTTAGCACTCCTGAATACCATCAAGAAAAAACAATAGAATAATTTGAGAGATCTATTAGTGATTGGGGTACCTCCCAAAAAGAATAGCTCAAATCTACAATAAATAAGCATTATTTGTAATTTAAAGATACTATTCATGACACTAAAAACAAGTTAGTCAAAACTAGTGTAAACCAGTGAACCAGGCCTTAAACGGGTTCGATTGTGTTGTTGGATAGTCTGAATGAGTGAATCATCCTTGAATAGTTCAAATCAGTCGATTTTTTATGTAAATTGTCAAATCGATTTTGAGGGACCCTAAGCGGTTTGATGTTGGCTACTAAATATACCTAAATTTGGTTGCCCCTAAATCGTCATTCTTCTCATTCCCCACTCACAAACCGATGCCTCTGCAGCTAAAGAGCCACTCAATCAGTCAATCTAGTTTATATCTCTCTTTCTCTGATTGTGATTGTCAATACATGTGTGTGTATGTGTTGTTGTATTCATGCAAGTTGCGACTATACAAATCATTATAGATGATCACCGAAAAGGGGCTCGTCTTTGTTAGCATTCTCTCAATGTGTCTTCTTTCATGTCCTACAATCCAGAATAATTTTCCCTTCTCTATATAGAAGTGTTGTTGTGTTATTATTCATTTGAAGTGTTTTTGTTAGATTCATCTGACATTGATATTTTTTTTTATTTTAAAAATTGGCTAATATTGATCTTTCACTGAGTTTTTGATGAAAAAATTGATTGCAATCAGTGAATTACTTTAGCTTAACTATTATGTTTTAATTTTTTTTTAATTATGTTATTATACAATCAGTCTGATCAATTGACCAAATAATTAAACTACTGACTCGACCTCTTTACTGGTCCATTGACTGATTCAGTTCTAATAATTATGGTCAAAACTACACTCACACAATATTCTATGTCAAAAGTTTTGATGAATTTAGATAAAGGGGTTTAATTGAAAAACAAGGTAAAATTTAAGCAATTGATTGTTGCAATGAAAATTTGGAGGCCAAATAAAAATTAGATGTAAACTTTTTGTGGTGTATAATGCAATTTACCAAAGAATCTTTTATGTTTGTCCTGTGAGGTCATGGATTTGTTCTTACTTTTCTTATTGCTCCGACTTGAAGCATACTTGAGTTTGTGAGTGGACCACGTGGCAAAGGGAGAGAGGGGTTGCCAGCTTTGGCCGACTATAGGCGGGCGGTTGCTTAGTTCCGTTCACATAACAACAAACCACGTGAGCGGGTGCCTTTGATTGCGCCATCACCGCTCTGGCGTCACCAACCACATGTTGCCCAGTTTGCCTTGCCAAGTCATATTGCGGCGCCGTTCTTGTGTATCAGCCGGCGTGTGCAAGGCATTGTCAAATACGACTTCGTTTAAGCACAGATAAGAGATCTAAATGATAAGTTAGAATTGATTAGTTTTTGATATTATTTTAATTAAAAAGAATTAAATAATTTTTACTTAGTTTCAATAGCATTTATATCCAGCCAATTTTTATTTTATTTGATTATTGTTCACAAATTATGTTTATCGACATGCAAAATTCTTGATATTCATGGGTCATTGGGACACTGATGCTTGGCCTCTTGTGTGAATAGAAATAATTAGAAATAATTTATTAAATAAAGTGAGCTATTATTGATAAGTAAATACAACGAATTTAAAATAATATGATCTAAACTTGATTCCTAAAATGTCTATGTGGACTCTTTATAAGTCAAATAAGTAGACGATAAAAGTAATTGATTCCAAAACATTGACGCGACACTTTAAAAGACAATCGACAAAGATTCTTAAAATATTTGATTTGAAAAATGTGACCTCAATTTTAGGAAACTGTTTGGTAAGTGAATACGGAAGGCTAGACGAGATAGGTTTAGGTAAAATGGTTTAATGGACCCTCAAATCTCATGTGTTGTGTCAAATCTATAAGAGGTGGGTTTGGAAAGATCGATAAGGGGTTAATAATTAAAAAATAATTGTACCATTTAATATGAGTATGAATTAGATTGATCAAGAGTAAAATAATCATTTGTAGGACAAATAGTTATTAATAATTATGATATATCCGTGAATCCTACATGTGTACGTGTTGTAGATCAAATATGGGTATGAACTGAATAGAATGTTAAATTCCATCTTTATAAAGAACGATTTGAATTCGGAAGAATTTGAAAGAACCAATTCAAACTCTTTCTCAAAATTCATCCAAAAAAACCCTAAGGGGTTAGTCTATTGTCGTTGAGTTCATCGTCACAAAAAAGTGTTTCGGAGAAAACATTTTTTTGTGGCAATAGTATTATTATAAAAAGTTTGTTTGTTGTTATAAATATTATTTAAAATACGTTGTTGTCGCCACAAATTACAGAAAGATATTGTGAGACAATACTTCCGTCATAAAAAAAAAATTTCAGAACACATTTGTTTTCGTAATGTGACTTAGAAAAAATAGTAACTATTTTTATTGTAACCAATCCTCTAAAAAAAATGTGTGAAACAAATTGTAAAATCACAAAGAACAGTCTTGCGCCGCAAAGGTAACCTACCTGTAGCAGCTTTCCAAAAGCACTTGCTTTTCTTCTAGTTTGCAGAGGTTTAAAATTGAGGGGAAGAGGGAAGGAGCTATCGGGGGATCAAATCATCAAAGCAAAGGTAACAATGGCCCAGGATATCGCAACAACCACCGAAAAAGAAAAGGTTCTAAAGCAGGGGATGTTGCGTAAACCCAGCCGTCCTATCCTATCCATGAAAAAAAGTTAGCATGGACGGTGGCGAAGGGCCATGCTGACGAGGAGGGAGGAGCCTTCAGGTTTGAATGTGTAAAGTGTAAGTAACCCGCAAGCAAAGCCAGTGATTAAAGTTGCATCCTTCACGCCCCTACCCATGTTGGCCATTGGCCATTCAAATACATATACAGCTGTGAGCTGTGACCCATATAAATGAAGATTGAGTAAACTATGCATTTGATTTTCAAACTATAATTTTTTTATTAATTAAGTTCATAAATTTTTTTTGTTATGTCAATTGAGTTTTTGAACACTCTAATTGTGTCAATTAAGCTCTTCTATCTCCGTTAGAGTGTACCACTCACATAACTATATGGCATAAAAAGACATAAGGGCTCAATTAAAATAGTTAGAAAGTTCAGGGACTCAATTGGTTAAAAAATTTAACAGAAACGGACAAAAAGACTCAATTGACATAACATAAGAGTTCATAAATTAATTAATAAAAAAAAAATCAAAAACTTAATTAACATAAGTGTTATAGTTTGAAGATTATATGTATAATTTTTTTTTTGATCATAGACTATATGTATAGTTCACTTATGAACTATGAAGTTTCAAGTAACCAAATTATATATCAACCCTTTGGTTGGACTTGGTGGAGAAGATTAATGTACTGGAAAAAAAAAATCAATACCATACCCATTATTATATATTTTTTGATTTATTTATAATTTTTGTAGTAATTTGGGATTGATCCAAAAATTATTAGGATTGATCCTAATATTCTAATTAAAGTCCCAAGCTATTGCAAAACTTATAAATCGATCCAATAAAATTATAAATCAAACCCCAAAAAAAATTATAATTTTTAAAAATAAACTAACAAACTTGTAAATTTTGATGATTTAATGTCAAAATAAAAAATTTTGTTATCGTAGGCTTCTTCTCCGGTAAAGGAGGTACAGTTGTGGTTTTAATACTACAATCCTACTCTTTTCGTGCCGTAACACTTGGCCAATGTGACCGTTGTTCCCCGGAGGAAAAGGACACCCATATCCTGAACTTTTTTTTTTTTACTTTCACTTCGAACTTTTAAATTGTCATCATTTGCCTTTTTCATTTACTATAATATTTGTGTCTATCATTAGATTGATAAAAACTTCATTAGAAATATAGATGGAATGTGCAAACCAAAATTTTATAAAGAACTAGAAGGGCTTGTCATTATGGTTCAAGAAGCTGAAAATCGTGTAAGCTACTTATAAATAAGTTTGTTAACGGATCGAATTTGAATTAATTTAAATTTGAATTCAATTTCAAAAGTTTAATTCAAATCCGATTTGATAATTCGATGAATATTATTTTTGTAGTTCATATCAAAATTTATTTATAATTCGAAACTTGATTTAAACTAAATAACTTAATTAATTATATTTTAACAAATTATATCTAAATTATAACTATTTTTTTTAATATTCATATAAAAATATATAAATAATTTAATTCGAATTATAATTGGATTGAATATATACATAATTAAATATGAATCAGTGAAAAATATGAGATATCGAATTTGAACTCGGGTTTTAAATATCAATAAAAAGTATTAATCTTTATCCGATCAATTAGATTCGGGTTGAAATTCACATTCGGGTTAAATATTTATTATTTTTGAATTTGTTAATATAATTTGCATTTAATTAGATTAAACAAAATTAGTCCATGTATACTTAAAGTGACCCGAATAACTAACCGTATTGGAAAAAAAAAAATCTGAAAATAACTGGACCACGTAACGGCATTACCGTGGCTACCATTCCCAGCCTCACAGTCCAAAATTTGTGTTCACTGTTCATTAGAAAAGCCCGGAAGATAGTAATGTGAGTGGGAATCACACGCACGCACAACTCCGATTGGATGGCTGCTCCGGCGGTGGAGGGTGCAGCAGTGACGGCACTGCGGGCGTTGTTGCACCGAGTCAGGCAGGCGGCGGAGAGGTCTGGCCGCCGGGCCGATGACGTCAGGTTGGTGGCAGTCAGCAAGACGAAGCCCATCTCTCTCATCCGCCAAGTCTACGACGCCGGTCACCGATGTTTCGGCGAGAATTACGTCCAAGAGTTCGTCGACAAAGCGCCTCAGGTCCCCTCTTTCTGGATTTGAAATGTGTAATGTGCAATTCTTTTGTCCCTTCGTACTTGTGAAAATACGAGCTAAATGTTTGGTTTTTGTGAATACTTGCAGCTTCCTGAGGACATTGAGTGGCATTTTGTTGGGCATTTGCAGAGCAATAAAGTGAAATCACTTCTGGGTATGATTCAATTAGGTTCTTTCGTATAATTCACTTCTGATTCTATTGACAACTCATAATGTGGTCTTATAGGTCTCATTTTGGAAATTATTGCCTTTAATTCGTAATTTGGCCCTATTATTATTATAGAACTTGTAAATTAGCCTCCAAAGTTGTTCTGAAATTTTGATGTATGTTATTTCTCTTAGTCAGGAAGTACTTATTGAATGTTCTCCAGTGAATCTTGTATTATCTTACTGGGCTCCTGACCTCTGAATTCTTCTGAAGTCCTAAAGTATGCATTCTGAGTGTCTCAGTGTGTTGGGGTAGATGGGTGTGGGTGCAGAATGCTATGCAAAATTCTCCTATGGTCTTGATGATTGTTATGACGCATACTTTGCTTTGTTGTGATATGATGGCGGTTTATGGTGTATGTTAAGGCTTTATTGTTATACGTGCAGCTGCTGTTCCAAATCTTGCCATGGTTGAGGGTGTAGATAATGAGAAGGTAATTACATAATCCATCAAATGCTAACTGGGGAGAGTTAAAACTTATCTTTCTTTCATTGTTGATTAGTGCTTCTGATTCTGCTAAACTAATTACTGCATTAATATCATTGCTATTATGAGTTAACGTGTTTTAGAACCCTTTTCACATGTTTTGTTGCTTCATTCATGATGTGTTCTTGCTCAAACCTGAATGGGCTTCAGATTTCAAGATTAGTAACTAGTACCATGGATGAAGACCTACTGTTTGCTAACAGATTATTGAGGTGCATCACCCCATGTGATGACATGTTCTTACATCTTATGTGAAACACAGATTGCAAATCATCTGGATTGTGCAGTTTCAAGCATTGGAAGAAAGCCTTTGAAGGTCCTGGTCCAAGTGAATACCAGTGGAGAGGCATGTAAGTAGAATTTAGTACTTCACATCTTTTGCTAAAAAACTTCCAGGGGAGATAGTAGTGGGGCTGGTGGATGAGGTCAGTGGCATTAGTTGCTTCAAGTGTCCCTTAATCAACAAGGTTACGTGGTTTCAAATGCAACAACAAGAAATCACAACACATTGCTAATGTTTTCTTCCCAGTTCTCAACAAACCTTATTTGCAGATAGACTTCCTAGTTTTTTTTTTTGGTCAGGATAGATTTCCTCTTTGGATGAGATAACATATTAGTACATCTGTATTACATCATTGGTCACCCATGGGAGCACCTTTCAATCTTGTCAAATAAAAATATTGTGTGCTGTCTTATTATTTATGTGCATATGTTGATGCTTGCATGGTCACCTCGGTCATCATGCTAGTACAAATCAATATCATTGTGTGTGTTGTTATTGGCTCCTGGTTAATGCAAAGCCAAAGGTTGCTGTTATATTTTTACCTCACAAAAAAGGGTACTGGTTGACCCTTTAATTTATTGTTTTTTCCAGCAAAATCTGGTGTTGAGCCATCAGCATGTGTAGACCTCGTGAAACATGTTAAACTGGGCTGCCCAAATCTTGAGTTCTCTGGCTTAATGACAATAGGGATGCCAGACTATACATCAACTCCAGAGAACTTCAAGGTGATCATTCCATACCTATTTTAGGAAGTGGCTGGACAGCACAAATGATTCCACAATTTCCTTTTTTTTTTTCTCTCTGAGGATTTGAAAAGGTTTCATTTCATTGCTTATATAATGACTTGCTATTTCTTTTCGGGTCAAAATAAGGATATCAGTGATTGTGGAATTATAATTCATGACCTTATATCTTTTTCCTCTTAACCGAAGGACTAATACGCATGGTTGATTTTTTTAATACTAATAGTCCAATGTGGTTGTTGATTTAATTTGTCGCTCTATAGAATATGGACAAGTTGTGTGCTGTGCATATTAGCATCCGAGTCATCTCACAATATGTCTTCATGGCCCCATTACTAAAGTCTACTGTGTCTCTGTATCTGTCGGTTGTCTAAGTTTCTCATGCATCAGTTTTTGTTGCAATGCATTAGGTGTTATTGAACTGTAGAGCTGAGGCTTGCAAAGCAATTGGAATGGCAGTGGACCAATGTGAGCTTTCAATGGGCATGTCTGGTGACTTTGAGTTGGCGGTAAGGATTCCACTTTCCTTTACTTGCAGTAGCATAATTCCATATATTTATCTTCTTATTTTTTTTTTATTGCTGTGCTGTCCTTGAATATTGAAAGAAGTTGCTTTTTAGTATACGTGATGTACACCACTGTACTTTGATCTTTGCAAAATACATACATATATGCTGTCTGAAGTGTGATAGCACACAATCCGGTTACTTGGAACTGCCTAAATTTTTTTTCCTGGAGTTTCATTTACTATATAGCCTTTAAGTTCTACCAAGGCTCTAACTAGATCCTATTTACTTCAATATCTTTGTCTTTTATGATGTGCTTCAATCTTGTTATGGTATTTCTTCCTCTTGCAAGAGTAGGCATGTAAAGGCATTATTTGTTTTCTAAGGAAATCAGATCAGGCAATGAGTCTACAGACTACACATGCATCTGGAAACACATTTGGAATGATAATTCCCATTAGCTTTCTACTTGATTCATGATATTCACTCTGCCCATCATTCCAATAAATCTTTTTTTACTGTGCTTTAATGTCATTGTGGCATTCCTGCTTCCTATTCTTGTGACTTCAGGTTACACTTGAACCGTTGCTTGCTTTGATTACAATTTGAGAAATGAGTCTGTACACAGGAAATTTCCTGATGATACCTTGTTGCATTATCCAAATAGTGCTTGAAACTGATATAAGCATTTACAGTCAGCTTGGGTTCTGGATAATGACTTTCGGGTTCCTTCATCTAGAAGGACTTATGTTTCGTTTAGGAAAAGTAATGATTTTTCTTGCTCCATGCAATGAGCTTTGGGTTTGATTTTATTTTCCAGCAGGCCCAATAACTGAATTAAATAATTTGCGACGCAAGAACATTCACAGATAAATACTCTGACCCTAAATTGCACTTTTCTGATGCCTTTACAGATTGAAATGGGCAGTAGCAATGTGAGAGTTGGATCAACCATATTTGGACCAAGAGAGTATCCGAAGAAACAATGAAGTAGTAATCTTCATGCATCCAGCTCTTGCTTGTTCATGATTAGACTGTATATTCATGTAATTCTTAAACTGTTAGATCCTTATAAGGCATACACCTCTCATCTGATATGTTTTGACTTTGTATATTCATGTAATTCTCTCTCCTTCTTTCTTTCATTCTTCTTGCTTTTTTCTTTTTTTAATCACCCCACCCCTAAGAATTTCTCCATGGATCCCAGAAGGTAATTGAGAGAGGCGGGGCTCAATATGCCAGTTGACCTTGGTATACTCAAATCATAACCTCGAATTCATCGATGTTAGGATGAAGAATTAGTATGAGGTCTCCAGTTAGGGTAGATAATTGAACCGAGCTACTTGAACTTAATTTGAGTTCGGTTTATTTTGGGCTCGGTTCAGACTTGTCTCGTTTTTCAAACGAGTCGAGTTTAAACAATTTTTAAAGCTCGTAAACAAGTTCAAGAGGCTCAGTTTGAATTTGTAAAATTTGACTTGATTATTATTCTTACCTTCCAATTTATTGTATTGTATAAATTAAGTGCATAAAAATAAATGAAAAATTTGGGAGTCGGTTCATATTTTAGGCCTTATGGGACAAAAAAGTCAACTTAAAAACGTTATTTGACTTTTAAGTCTTAAATATGACTAACTCTCAATTCACACTATTTTTTATTTTTTAAATTGTCTAGAGATTACTGGATTTGAGGCCAAAGATTAAATTAGGTCCTTAAAATTTGAGGGCCTTGGCAAGGACTTTAGTGGCCTAGCCAATGGGCCGACCTTGTTTCGTAATAATTTACGATTTATTTACCGGGTAATTTTTATTAATTTTTTTTGATATAATTGAGTTTTAGAGTCAATAAAGAAGTCATTTGTTATAATTAAAAGTTTTTAAACCTTTTGAATTTAAATGTTGATAATTTTTTAAGTTATATTATAAGAGAGTTGTTCATAAAAAATAGAGTAATATTAGATAAACTTAAAAACTAAATTTGATGATCTTAATCATTCAATATGTAATAAATGTCAATAAATATTGGGATTCACTTTAAAAATTTATAATTATAATTATTAAAATTAAATTTAATTTTTATGTAACATTGTTCTAAAATATATTTTAATTTTAACGTAAATAACTCCTCTTTATAAAAAAAAAATTAATCAGAATACACTTAATTCAAACAGTTGCTCGGCTAACACCACCGCCGCTTTAAAAAGCTCAGTACCCGCCTCTCTTATCTAAAACCACCTCTCTTCGTCTCTCCGTCTCCAGCATCATTTACCTGGCAATGTTTCTTCTGACACTCCCCACTGAAATTTCTTTTCGCCCAAATAACTCTCCTTTCAACCATAAATCTCACAACAAAATTAGAACTCGCCAACGACTCGTCTTTTCTTCCAGAAAGAACAAATGGAGGTGTTCGGCCACCGAACAGCCACAGTCACAACCACAACCACGAGCACTCCAACAAAAGCGGCAGTCGAAGAACAAGAAAAGTCAGTCCGACGCCGAGAAAGGAATCGATCCTGTTGGGTTCCTAACCAAGCACGACATAACCCATAAAGCCTTCGCTCAGTTCCTCCGCGAAAGGTAATCAACTACCTATACTCCAATTTGTACGTCTTTTCAAAGTCTTTACGTATTGGATTATCGGTATATTATTTCTAAACTGTGAAGAGGATTTGAAGATGGCTCTTCTTTTCATGTTTCTGTCTAATGATTTCCAGGTATAAATCGTTGAAGGACCTGACAGATGAAATTTTCAATCGCCACCTTAATCTGCAGGAGATGGCTTCTGGGTTAGTTTTACTAAACTTGTTCACCCTCTCTCTGTTTTCAAGTGTAACGTCTGCGAAAAAGATACGTCTACTATGTGTTTGTGAAACTGCCCGTGTGAAACTTTTTCAAGTGGGGAATCGGAGAACGTCTACTATGTGTTGGTGAAACTGTCCATGTGAAATGTTTGGGTTCTTAAGGTTTGTACTAAGTAATTGTGTATCCTGTTGTAGATTTGAAATTTTGGGTATGCACCGCAATGTGCAACATCGGATGGATTACATGGAATGGGCTCCAGGTTTGACATAATACTTCTATGTTGATTATAGGTTTTTATATGTATGTGCTTTTCTTAAGTTGTTAATTTTATCTGGTTTGAAAGAAAAAAAATATGACTGAATTAACAAAAAAACCTACAGCCCTAACTTTCAGGAAGTTTTTATATGATGAATAAGGATCTGATAAATGATTGTAAACTATTTGGCTTTATAACAAACTGAACTTTGCAATAATTCAATGGTTTTGTGTTTCTATAGTTGTATTGTTTGCTTATTATTTCTCTGATAGCTGCTTTGAATTCTGAATTTTGTTCAACTAGTTGTTATTATCCTTGAGTTTTAAAGTATGCCTAGAGCTTGAAGCAATCAACATTGCCATCATCTTATCATCTGTCCCCCAAAAGCCAACTCTCACCTTCTATATCACTATATATTCTGTTTGTTACATGTGAATGTCAGGTGCTCGCTATTGTGCACTGGTAGGTGATTTCAATGGGTGGTCGCCAACAGAAAATTGTGCAAGAGAGGGTCATTTTGGTCATGATGATTATGGGTACTGGTTTGTCATTCTTGAAGATAAATTGAGGGAGGGAGAAGAACCAGATAGACTCTATTTTCAACAGTACAATTATGTGGATGATTACGATAAAGGGGACAGTGGTGTTACTATTGAGGAGATCTTCAAGAAAGCAAATGATGAGTATTGGGAACCTGGGGAAGACCGCTATATAAAATCACGTTTTGAAATAGCTGCTAAGTTGTACGAGCAAATATTTGGGCCAAATGGGCCTCAAACGGAAGAGGAATTGGAAGACATACCAGACGCGGAAACGAGATACAAAGCATGGAAAGAGCAGCATAAGGATGACCCGCCAAGCAACTTGCCACCTTTCGATGTGATTGACAATGGAAAAAATTATGACATCTTTAATATTGTGGTTGATCCTGTATGGCGAGAGAAATTTCGTGCTAAGAAGCCACCTATTGCATACTGGTTGGAGACTCGCAAAGGAAGGAAAGCATGGTTAAAAAAGTATACACCTGGTATTCCTCATGGAAGCAAATTCAGAGTGTATTTAAACACTCCTGATGGGCCTTTGGAGCGGGTTCCTGCCTGGGCTACTTATGTGCTTCCAGGTTACCCAGTATTGCCCCGTGGAAATTATTGGTTGCTTCACCATTTTTATTTAGTAAAACCTTGTCTTCTTATTCTATTGTTTATCCAATTGGTACTATTTGTTAGTTTAACTTTTGTGGAGGGTGGTTGGGGTGTCAAATAATCAATTCGAATGAAACAAGAAGTGTACGTAAATGATAAAACGAAAGAAAGTATTGGCAGAACATTTGGCATTGTAATTTCAGAATTCGGACTTAGTGTTCAGCTTCTGATTTATTCATTATCTAGTTGTAATTGAATGGCACATAACTGCTTAGTTCTTTCTAATCCTTTAAATTGTTTTCCAATTTCTTTTCATTTTTTTCACTGCTTCCCATTTTCTGGCGATAAAACATCATTCCATATGTGCTTGTAATTAGGCTACTCCACTTGTTCTTCCGCATTGGCAAAAATTTATCTAAACCACACACTTTATGCTACATGGTTTGAACTTTCATTACAATAACTTTCACCAAAATAAGGCGTAGTGGAAATATTGAAGTATTTTCTTGTTGTTGAACACTAAAAAACTCCATATTGACTCTTGCCTAAGGTGCTTTGTAACTGTATCAAGAACTCATTTGGTTGACTTGTCTACCACTCTGGTTTTCCTCTTGTTGTTTAGTTTATTTTCTGCATATCATTCGGCTCACATTTGAATCTTGCAATGTGTTTACCTTGCTGACCCCTGATTTTTATATACAGATGCAGATGGAATGCAAGCTTTTGCAGTCCATTGGGAACCACCTCCCGAGTGTGCATACAAATGGAAACACAAGCATCCAGAAGTGCCAAAGTCTTTACGTATATATGAATGTCATGTTGGAATTAGTGGACAGGATCCAAAAATTGCTTCTTTCACTGATTTTACTAAAAAGGTATCCATTTGTTGCTGCATACATTCACTTCTGTGTCGTTTTATGTTTATATTTACTTGATCTATATATTTCTTCCTCTTTCTTTCTTTCTTTCTTCTTTTCTTTTTTATCCCCCTTTTATATGAGTAATTGTACTTTCTCCTTGTCATTTTAGGTCCTTCCACATGTAAAAGATGCTGGATACAATGCAATCCAGTTGATTGGAGTTGTTGAGCACAAAGATTATTTCACTGTTGGTTACAGAGTGAGTTGACATTTAATTCCTTTTTCATCCTCTTTTTTCTCCCAATATCTACTACAATTGATCGACTTCAAATCTCTATTTTATAAAGTTCCAGCAATGCAAGTACACTTGTATTTTGAAAGCATCCTTTTGAAGGGAAATGGCATTTGAACAAACCAGTTTGAGGAGAGAGTAAAAGGAGCAATAGCAAATATAATTATTAATATTGAAAGTGGAAGCTGGCAATTAGAGCTATTGTTGTTTTCTATGCATTTAATTTGGTTTGCCTTTCTCTTGTCCATCTTGATAGAAACTTTTTTATGGGTAAAAAAATTGTAAATAAAGAAGAATTAGAAATGGGAAGGCTTTTCAATAATATGCTGCTCTGAGTGGGCACACTACCTACACTATAACAAAACATCATAAACATGCACTAATATGACAACAATAATTACCAGAAGCACGTTACGATATAGTAGGAGAAACGAAGCGGAACTTCTCTTTCACATGATTCACATCTACATATTTTCATTTGTTCTGCTGTGCACTAGAAAAATTCCTAGTGGTAGTTAGATAACTAGGGAGAACAGTATGTCACTTCCCTCAAACCTAAATATTGGCCATACCTTCACTGGGTTGTAGACACCACCTCTTCAACTCATTGGGGAGTGTTGTTAAATTTGACTTGGTTGTTAGCCTGATGTACATTCTGTTTCCTAATCCATATTGAGTGTGTTTAGGCACAAGTCTATGCTGTCACGTCAAGTAGGATACTACACAATCTGTTTTGGGATTCTATTTTCATGTGATTGCCAGTACGTCTTTTTTCTTCCCATTTCCAGCCCACAGCTCAACTTATGAATTTAAATCGTCAATGCTTATGCAGGTGACCAATTTCTATGCTGTTAGCAGCCGATATGGCACCCCCGATGACTTCAAGCACTTGGTTGATGAAGCACATGGTTATCATTGAAATTTTTTATCTGACATTTAAACAACATTGATTTGTTTTTCTGCCATGCAAGTGATTGAGTAACTTCTATTAATTCTTATATTTTGTACTTGCAAACATGTGATTATAGAAAACCTATACCTTTTTTGGGGTAAATTATAAATGCTATAGTTGGTAGATATATTGCCAGATAGAACATTTCAGGCATAGTCGGCAGATCTGAACACTTGTCTCCAAAGTCCAAATTAGTAGCTAGTAAGAAAGTTACAATAAGACTTGGTGGGAGCATGACATTAAACTTGTCTCGAAATGTGTTTTTTTGTGATCAATTAATGAAACTTGTCTCCTATTTAAGAAGACCACTTCACAAACTATTTTTCTTATATATGTATTAAAAATTGTGAGCTCCTCTGGATCCAGATTAGGATCTGTGATGTGCTTTCAAGATATCATGTTGAGGTTATATTCTGGTTAAGAAAACCAAGTGTCTGTATTTCTGAATGAAATTCTATCAGTGGCATTAAAATTGTTGCATACGAGCTATGACAAGGATGATATTGGATGTCGCAAATGAATGAGTAGTGTCATTTTAATGCTCTTATTAAAAGAAGGTTTTGGGGGGCACAGCTGCTAGAGGCCACAAAAATCGAGACTTCTGCTTTGAAATTCATTTTTTTATTGAGTTGGCCTTCTGCTGAAGTCTTTTTACCTTTTGTGACAATTCATGATTTTTCTCCACTCAAATTATATTACGAACTGAAGGAAATAATGACAAGGATAATGAGACTTTTAGATAAAGCACAATGGATAGGGAAGAAAGAACCAGATTTGGAAATCCATGGATGCTGGTTACTTTTTACTAGAGGCATTACTTGGCAGAGAGAATTCCAAAAATTATGTCCTTGGTTTTGGTGAAATTTAAATTATACTGTCTACAAACATCTTTGAGGCTGGGGTACTAAATTTTGACCATTTTTGCCGACCCACATAGGTGTGATATGTGCTGTGGTTATGTATGTAGATTAATATACCCCATCATTATGCACGAGTCCCAGGGGACCTACTTTTTGGCTTTGATTCTCTACTTTCAACAATTCTTTGTCCTACTTCGCGACTGTGAACACCTATTGTTATTGCACTTGTTTCTACACATATTTCCTCATTGTTACTTGCCCTTCTACGTACAGGATTAGGACTGCTGGTCTTCTTAGACATTGTCCATTCCTACGCAGCAGCAGATGAGATGGTTGGATTATCACGTTTTGATGGATCAAACGATTGCTTCTTTCATACTGGTAAAATGTGTTCAAGTATTGTTTTCTAGGATGCACCTAGGATTAGCTTGTCAGTTGCTCCTCACCATTCTCTCCTCACCCTGGCCACTTGCTTGTGAGATGTCATATGTTCATACATCATGTAAGCAGGATCTTCGTCTCTACTCATCTATGTTTCTTGAGTGATTTTTATCTGAAGTATTGTTGGACTTGTCTATGATGTCCAAGCTTTGAGATGAGGTTTTCTGAGTTGTGTTGTATTTATTGCTCAATGGCTTCACCAATTCACAATGTCAATTAAATTACTTGAAAAAAAGGTGTGTGCACAGTTTCAGCTAGCAGGGTCGTGGATAGATCTTTTAATTTCAACTATCTGGTAATGGAAGTTTCTTTCTTCTTACATCACAATTTTTTCATGTCTTGTTCATTAATCATTCTCTTGCTTTATAATTATAACTGCATTAAATGTTCCTTGGCTGAGGGAAATTCCGGTAAACTATGATATCTTTTTTAACTTTACCATGTTAAATATAACTAACTTCTTTAGAATTAGAAACATCAAAGTCTTCTGCTTGGAATTGTGGACTTATGAATCTAGTTCTTGGTACCTCTTTCTTGGAATATGTTACAAAGTTGTATTTGATGCTGAAATTATTTATTTACACTCGTGTAATTGTAAAACTTTTGAAATCTTTATAAAAAATTATCATCTATTGTGTTGTTCCGAGGGGAGGAGAAACGATGTGGATCTTCTATCACATTTGTACATGTGGAGCACACGACACTACCTATTGGGGGGGGGGGGTTGAATATCAAACCAACTGGTCTCGGCATTTATTCATCTTCCCTGTCCTTCGTACCTCAAATGCATGCATGGATGTATGGACAAGCTATAAGCTACTATATGCACATGCATGGATGAATTTGGATCTAAATGTAATGCATATTGAAAGAACTGGACAAGGTATACATTCTTCTTGCAGACTCACCACATGATTCAACTCTTTATGGATGAATAGGTAAACGAGGACATCACAAAATTTGGGGTACGAGAATGTTCAATTATGGAGACCATGATGTGCTGCATTTTCTGCTTTCAAATTTGAATTGGTAAACTGGATTTATAATTAATCTTCCATGGTTTAAATTTGCAAAGTTTCATTTGCTTGATGGTTCTTTTTTTCTATATAAAAAAAAATTAACCCTATCATTTAGTTTTAGTACTTTTTTTTTATTTTTCGCCTGGAGTATTAATGTATTATGCTATGATGTTTTTCAGGTGGGTGGTGGAGTATCATATTGATGGTTTCAATTTTCATTCTCTCTCATCAATGATGTATACACACAATGGTTTTGCTACTTTTACTGGTGACATGGAGGAGTAAGGCATCTATGACTTAACTATTATGATTTAATAAGCCACCACTTTCACATACTGTGTCATGGCATTCTATTTTTCCTGTTAAAGCCTTTTTTGAGATCAAAAACAATGTAGAATTCTAACCAAAATGGGTTGACCTAGTCTTGGTCTTCCCATGTTAAAGATTGTATATGTGTATCTTATATACAACAATAGAGAATGTAACCACATTTATGTAGTTTTGGTCCTCTGTGTGTGTTGATAATGTGAACTGATAAACATCATCATAGATTTCTAATTTATATAGTGTGACTAAGGCCATGTGTTGAAATCATGGAGAATGAACGATATTTGCTTTGTAATAGACATAATGGCCCTCTTATTTTATGGCACCTGATAATATTTTTTTATTGCAGGTATTGTAATCAATATGTTGACAAGGATGCCTTGCTATATCTTATTTTTGCAAATGAGATATTACATGCTCTTCATCCTAATATAGTAACAATTGCCGAAGATGTGAGTAATCTATTTACATGCTTTCTTCACGGTATTGAAATTGTACAATGTTATTATGCTTTGGGATATTCTATCTTTTTGAACACCTTCTATTTTGGGGATGAATCTTCTACCAAGCCTTTCTTTATGCTTCCATCATCCTAGAAAGATTATTTGTCAAGATAATTTTAACTCCAGTCATAGATGGTGGGTTGGTGAGATAAGTACTGCTGATATGACATCTAGTTGTTAATGTGAACATTCCTTGCCCAAAAAATTGGTGGTGTGTTGTAGAAATAGCTAAGGGAATAACAATAAAGTTCTACAGTCATCTTGATAAGTGTGGACAAGATATCTTGCAAGTTCTTTCCTGAATTTGGAATCCCCAGCCTACTAGTTGGTTAGTCTTAGAGTATTGAAATGCTTAATTATTACCTTAAAAAAAAATCTTCGATAGGATCATATTTTTTTTTTTATCACACTTTGTTAAGAATATTTAAGTAATTGTTTAATTTCGTGAAGCCTTGTTGTAAATTTCAACCTATTCAATGGTCATGGTACTTTTAAAGTTCAAGATCCGAAAGCATTAAAAGGAAGGGAAAAGTTTGTTCTTCAAGCCTATCAAGTATTTTTCCGAATGCTCCTTTAAGCTTAGGACAAAGGTAGTGGTTTAAATTTTTAGACTTAGGATGATTAGGATAAAATGAAATTGGTAAACAATCCGAATATGGTTCCTAGGTGATTTTTAAAGAAATTTTTTTCGAAACCTTTATTATGTTTTGAAAACATAGAATGACTTATAATCGGATCCTACTTAAGTAACATCCTTTAGTACTCAAAAAATCAAGTTTTTTGTTTGGTTTTAAGCTTAAAAACCAGTAGAGACCGTCCTCTGTTCAATTTCCTTAGGCTAAAGCGGTCTTTGAACACGAGCATGATCAAACCGTCTTGTTAGATGAGTATTTTGCTTTGGTACCGAGCAAATCTCTTAGTCTCATCTTTGGAGTGAAGTCAGTTGCCTAACCTTACCAATATAGGCTATGGTAGGTGTGATTAATGACTAGAATTGCACATCCTAGCATTCAAACTTGCCAACTTTTGACTCACTGCCCCAAAATCCCTACTCTAACTCTAAAGGGGTGACAGCTTTTAGGGATAAAATCTGGAAAGACTGACAAGTTGGGTAATGAAGAGTCTAGAGATTGCCTTTTGGGTTGCTTTCTGGTTGCTCGTGCGGTTCCTACTCTTCTACTACGGTTTGAATTCTTTTTTAATTCTAGCAGCCATCGCCCTCCGACCGTCGTCCCATTACTCGAACGGTCGTTTGCGAATTTGTGTTTATTTGGTTTCCAAGACAAACTCTATCCCGAGCAAATAAATAAAAGGAGTCTTTCCAAACTAGGGTATATCTTTCAAAACCTTGAGAGATCCTTGTGCAACTTTAGATTCCTAAATCCAAACTCAAATTCATCTTGAGATTTATTCCAAATTCACACATCGGAGAAGAAAACCTTGATTGGAAATCAACCAAAATCTTATTGACAAAGTATGCATTCCGCGGTTCTTGGCGGAGAATATTGTTTAGGGCCTAAACAATCCACACAGTGGTGAGTTCAAGTGAAGTTATCCATAATATCAAAGAGAAACTTTCGGTGGGGAGATCTATTGAAGAAAAAGAGCGTCGAACTATGATATTAATTGAGGTATAAGACTCAAGTACTTGTAAATTGACCTTGAAATAGTGGATTAGGTTTTATTGAACCCTAGAGCGGTTCCTTTTGGTTTTTCCCGACGAGGGTTTCCATGTCAACAATTACTTGTGTTCTTGATTGTTTTATTTGTTTACACACTTGCAATTGATGTACACACACGCACTATGTGTTTGATTTTTTGATTGTTTAGCTTTCAAATCACTAATAGTAGTTTTAATGATTGTTGCCTTGGATGAGACTTATATGTCTTGATGAATATAAGTGTTAATATATCAATTGACAAATCAATACAGTGAATACACTAATTTATCCGACAGGTTTGGGTTGTGCTTGTTGAAAAGGGGTTCTAATGGCTAATTGAACAATTAACTTTGAAATTGTTAATTGTGGTTTAATTAGGTTTAAAATTGGTGATTGTTCAAACTAAAATTGAAATTAATGTATTTACCCTCCCACTAGGTAGTGTTTATAATCCAAGTATATAATTGTGAGGGAAAGTCCACTTCATATCTCTCTCCACACCTCTTGTCATTTGTATCAATATTACGGCCACCCATTGACATTTCAATATCAATATGAGACTCGCTAAAATATTTTTAACCAGAACCCTCTAGCATCAGAAAAGATGACATCGAGACAAATAATCCTTTAAATGCCAGTATGCCACTTTTTAAGTTTTCCTGATTTGACCAATTTTGAAAGAATTTTGAAAGGTAAATGAGTCATTTCTCCAAAAAAATCTCCAATTGTGGTCTCCGGGTCATTTTAGAAGTGTCCGAGGTTAGCTGGATAATGACTCCATTTGTCAGGGGTGTTATTATTTATTGGCCCATTGATTTTTTAATGTACTTATTTCTTTTAGGCAATTTTACTTGTTTCTTCTTTGGACTCTCAATTTGTCTTTCTAACTCTTAAAGAGAACATGAAAATTGTGGAATTGCCCTCTCTGATCCCTCTTCGAGGCTATTGTCCTCTGATATCAAATCATCTGGTTCTGTAATTTGTTTATTTTGGTAGTTACAGTGAGTTCTTGTATATATTGCTCAGGCAACACTTTATCCTGGACTATGTGAGCCAACTTCTCAAGGTGGATTGGGATTTGATTATTTCGTCAATTTTTCTGCATCTGAAATGTGGTTGGAGTTCCTTGAGAATGTTCCTGACAATGAATGGAGCATGAGTAAGGTTGCACTTGTTACCCATCAGCCATCACTTATCTTGTGATTTTATCACTGCCTCATTGGAAATTGGTTTTATGTTCACATCATTCTATTTAACAGTTGATCAATTCTTCATCCCTTTTTCCAGATTGCAAGCACCCTAATGGCCAGGAGGCAAAATGCAGATAAGATGCTTTTGTATGCTGAAAATCATAACCAGGTAGTGTTATCTCTTATTTTGTGGATGAGTACATTTTTAAAAGTAAATGGATATGCTTAGTTTTTCAATGAATTAATCTGATCTTAATTTTGTTGCTTGGCAGTCCATATCTGGAGGGAGGTCATTTGCAGAAATACTGTTTGGTGAAACCAGGGAACACTCATCTATCATGAAGGAGTCATTACTTAGAGGTTGTTCATTGCATAAAGTATGTTCTGTAGCATTCCTTTTCATATAGAATATTGAATTCAGGGTTATGGTTACCGCTTAATTTGTCCTCCTCTCTTTTCTTTTCTTTCTCGGCTGCTGATATAGACTCCACTGGTTTGTCATAGTTAGCTGATGCGCCCCTCATAATATTGCATTACTAAACAAGTGTTTGTTGCAAATAAGTTTATGTAGAAGTTTGATTCTTTCCTACAACTTCAATTCACAGTTAAATTGGTCAAACGTTTGTTTATAAATTGTTATATGGGCTGAAAGAAAGAAAAAATATGTTTCATGTAAATTTGGGAAGACAGTCTTAAGACATGCAGATTCTGGCAGATTTACACACTTTGTATTGTTCTTTGTCTTGCTTCACCTTCCTTTCCAGTTATAAATTTCACATTAAATTAGTCCTACACATACAAATCTGACTCTGATTTGTTTGTCCTGAGTAAGATGATCCGGTTGATTACGTTTACAATTGGTGGTTGTGCTTACCTCAACTTCATGGGCAATGAATTTGGGCATCCAAATGTGAGATCTCTTTTCCTTTCAGTATCCATCAATGTCTGGATACAGCAATTAACTATTTTTCTTGTGCCAGAGGGTAGAATTCCCGATGTCAAGCAACAATTTCTCTTTTGTACATGCTAACCGTCGCTGGGATCTTATGGCAAATGGAGTGCATAATGGTTTGTTTTCTTTCGATAAGGTGACAGTTTCATGTCTTGTAATTTTGTTATTAATCTAATGTGCTTTTTATAACCTTTGGGCTCCCTTTCAATGCAAGTGACCTGGATTTCAAGCTTGCAGCTGTTGAAAAATACAATGCCTCTTCAGTATTTATAGTGTGTGAATTTGTCTTGCAAACATGTTTTCTGTTAGGAGATGTTGCAAGCATGTCAATGTACTCTATATAGTCCTAATTACTTTGGCCGCCGTTGATCCTGCTCTTGTTTCCACAAATCACATCTGTAACGTGGAATACAGCAACTATGCATCTTCTAAGTGGCTTTAAAAATGAGTTCTTTGGTAATTAAGCAGGGTCGACTTTCTGGTGGACTGCAAATTTGCAATAAAGCAAATTCAACCACTTTGTTCTTGGACTGATACCCCACAAGCAAATTGAACTCGCAGTTTCCTTTTTCTTACAGGACATGATGTATTTGGACAGAAATGAAAAAGTACTTTCAAGAGGCATTCCCAACCTTCACCATGTCAATGACACTAATATGGTAAACTTGCTCTCTCTCTCTCTCTATATATATATATAGGTACATATATATATATATATAAATGCTTTACATTCAGGAAATAAAATAAATCCTTACCCCCCGGGCCCGCACGCACTTTTTGGTCTTCTCAGTCTCGGGGCAGTACCATTTTCCTTGAAGACGGTAGGCTTCTCATATATTGAGCATTTATCATTTAATCATTTTTAATTGAATTATTGGTGCAAAGAATCAGTCAATCACAGTAACAGTTTGTATATGAATTTGTTGGTAACGTCATAGAGTATTTGCAGTTTCCTAAAGACACCCCTCTATTTAGGTTTGGTTTCACTCTATCCCTTTAACATCAGTTCGTAATGATTGATCTCCCAGTACTAATTTCAAAAGTGCATCTATCACATTTTTTGTGGTTTATATGAAGATGTCAAAATTGTTGACATTATTCCTCTTAATTTTCATTGCAATATGCTCATTAAGTTTTTTTTAATGTTCTCTCTCTTTTTTCTGTCTATCTATACTTCTCTCTGACGATATCTTTGTCTTCACAATAGTGACCACTGTCATTATATATCCCACGACCCCAACCACCTTTCCATTCGTCAACATCTACCAACACCAATCACCACCACGATCCACCCATGATCAACGCCCACCTAGAACAAGACCATTTTCATCTTCACCTTTCTTACATTACAAGTACCATTTCAAACAATCACCACCACCCACAATTACCACCCCATGCAAGCCCACAGGATTATCTTGGAAACTAGAGAGCCATTCAAGCAAAATAACTTTACCTTCCAAGATTTAAGAAACACTCAAAGAGGAGAAATGATACATTTGGGTTAAAGATCCAATTATCATACATGCACAAACACAGATTATAGAGATAAGTTAAAAATTGGGTATAGAAAATAGAGAGTGAATTTGTGAATGTTGGTGGTGGTTCTTAATGGTTGTAGATGAGTTGATGCTGATGGGCATTACGGTGGTGCCTGCCGGGGGATGCATATAAAGTGTTTTGATGGAAGTTTGTTGATTTAAGGTGGGTTTGACTTCGATGGTGGTGCCACATGGTTGTGCTGTCATGCTGATGACGGAGATAACTGATAAATGAGAAGTCTTGAGGTGCTTTTAATGTTGCTGATGGATGATAGGTTTGAGGATGGTGATGGATGGTGGATAGGTAGTCGCTTTGATTGTGGTGTTTATGATTGTTAAGGGGGGTGGTGGGAGAAAAGGAGGAGACGGATGGTAGAGAAGAATAGTTATGCAAGATGGTGAAAAATGATCGAAAAATCTGTAGAAGAAACAATTTGGAAGTATATTTGTCACTTTTTTGAAATATAAAAACATGAAAACAAATTTTGACTACCAAACAAAGCATTGAGACCACATATACCCTTATCTTTACTACAGGACATGAATTTGCTCCTTAGTTAAGGGGGTTTAGCATTGCAAATAAAGTTGAGGGGGGTCTTTAGGAAAATTCCAAGCCAGGCCAAAGTACGTGGGGATTGTTTGTAGTTATCCATGTGGTTTATATAACATCAAATTGTGATTGACTTATGTTCCCAAGTTATGCAATGGCTCATTTTTTGTAATCTAGTTGCAGTGTTAAAAGGGTGGACCAAATATAAAAACTATCCGTGAGCGATATTTGCAGAGTGACTAGTCTTTGAATTGAATCCGTTTTCTCATTCTTGGCAGCCCGAGCTTTAATGATTGCCTCAAGTAATGAATGTGCATATGAAAACTTATGTCAATAGACATTTTAAACAATGTATGCATATATATATTTACTTCTTTGTCTATCTATTAAGTTGTTTTCTATTGTAGTCAAGGTCATCTAAGTTATTATTTCTTGATTCTTGGTGAACAGTTGACAACATTGTTCATTTATTGTATATTTAATAGAAATTGATGTGTATTTTTCCCCTTCTGGTACAGGTGATATCTTACTTGAGAGGTCCCTTTCTCTTCATATTCAACTTTCATCCGACAAATTCATATGAAAGATATGGTGTAGGTGTAGAAGAAGCTGGAGAGTATGAAGTGAGTGACATTTTGCTGCTGCCTCATTGCCTTCTGTAGATGGTTATGGTGCTTTGACTTTGGTTGATTTGCTTGGCCTGCATTTTCCCTGTGTCTACGTTTTCAATAATTGCAAAACTTGCAATGGTTTTGCATCACGGTGGTTACTATTAGATTTTAGAACTTTTAAGGTCACAATTGTTTCTAAATGCAATCAGGTGGATGCAGAACTTTGCCCTGAAGGGCTCAAACTATAAATGCAAATGGAGAAGCAGACCAAATAATTTACAGTTGACTGTGGCTTGGGTGGCTGTGACAGCCAGAACTGCCTCCTGTTGTTAAAACAGACTATATCAGAGCCAGCCAGTGAACAAGGGCAACTGTTATCCATGCACAACTTGACAAATTTTTTAACCTGCAAGTTGGGAATATTTCTAAAATTTGTTTCTGATTTTAGTAGTTTTAGTGGTTGTAAAAGTTTGGGTAGTTTGGTCCTTCAGCTTCATTAGCATGAATTGACTTTTTTCAGACATGAACCAGCAATTGTGTTTCATTGCCTGCTTTTAGCACTGCACCGATCAATATATAGCTTCTGTAAGTAACTTGAGAGAAACTCCAGATTCTCCTGTATTGTTGATCTCCTCATGGGACATAGGCACGGCAAAACTTAAACCAATATTATACACATATATGATAGAGTAGAATGAGTTAATTGAATTAATGTAGGATACTCATGGGGGGACACAAAATTTTGTGGAGTTCAGTTTGTAGTTGTAATAGTGAGTTCATATATTCAATACAAAAGACGTACTATCCAAAGTCAAAAAGAAGGAAAGAAGAATATGGAGAAAGTAGCCATCATCTCTCACGTATAATAAGGTTGAATTCAATGGAGTTGTTTATTATTGGCACAGGTCATACTGAATACAGATGAAAAGAGGTATGGCGGTGAAGGATTAATTGGGCGTGATCAATATATCCGAAGAACCATTACTAGAAGGTAACTCATAGCTTGCTTCAGTTGATTTTTTTTCTGTATACTACAATTTGCGATTTAAGTTTCTGGCATCTTGATTTGACATTGTTTTTATTGTAGAGTTGATGGTCTCCGAAACTGCTTGGAAGTGCCACTGCCAAGTAGGAGTGCTCAGGTTGGTGCAATGCAGCCTTATGCTTCATGGAAATGAATCTGAAGGAAAGCACATCTCTGGAAAAAGATAAAAAAAGAGAAACGAGTGATTTTACTTTATCTTGTCCAGCTCCACATTGATAGAACTATGTTCTTTAGTAGTTCCTTCTGGAAAAAAAACCAGAAGTTTTAATTACTTATTCCTACATGCTGTTTCGATTTTCCTAATTATACGTAGTTTGAATTACATGGACATGTGACTTGGGACTAATTAACATCCATTTTTGCAGGTCTACAAACTAAGCCGGATTTTGAGAGTATGAGTTGTTGGCCTTTCTGATTCCTCTGTATCTTACTATGCTTTGTGAAGACTGATAGCCAATGCTCGTCGGAGAAAGTGCACCTACAGAACTACCAAAATCGAGCATTGAAGTTAAGAGGCGTCTTCGTGGTTTGGATCTTTCAGTCTATTGACTTATAGGCATCTGTGTTGCCGTGTTGCATACCACAAATGGCCGTATCTAGTTGAAACTCCGCCATCGATCATCACCACCAGATATGCAGAGGAGAGTTTGTATTGAAGACTGGAAAAGAACAGAGCTGACTTGCATTACTTGGAAAGAGATAACGTGGTTCAATTAATTTGATAACCGTGGGTTTATCAGATTTTGAATTCAAATGATATGACATATTAATAGATATTTGAGAGGTAGTTTCTGATATCTAATTGTAGTAATTAAAAATTTTCTGTATGTCTCGGTTAGATTTTCTAATGGAAATTTGTGAGTGTGCCCAGTCACACTTTAGAGAGTTTAAGAGATTAATTGACACAAAAAAATTCAAGAAATTAATTAACATAAGAATTATAATTTAGGGATTATTTGTGTAATTTACTCTTTGAATTTTGTAAAGTATGCAACAAGTCAATAAGAGCATCTCCAAAAATAGAGAGCATCTTGATTATTCTTATTTTATGTTTTATCTTTTTTGAGAATAAATTTGACTTTCCTCTTATTTTTTTAACTATTATAAATGAGATATGTTTATCATAAATAAGAATAATCAAGATGAAAAGATAAATATATATATTTTTTATTTTTTAAAAATAAAATAGAAAATAAATTTAAATCAAATCGAACTCTAAAATAGAATGAGTTTGAGTAGGAATAGACTGCACAGGAGTTACTTTAACGCCGCAAGCGGAGAGCTGTTGAATTAAACTCGCAACTGCCTCGGATTCAGAGAGAGAGAGAGAGAGAGAGAGAATTCGATTGAGCCTGCGATGGCTAATTTAGCACAATCGCTCTCGATGAGCGCTGCGTTTGGAGGGGCTTCCGCGAACCCTGTCGGAACTCAGGCGAACAAGGATCGGAAAATACAATCGGCCGAGCAGCTAGTGCTCGATCTCAGCAACCCCGATTTTCGAGAAAACGCTCTTCTCGAACTCTCCAAGGTATGTCATATGTATAATAACAGTCTTGGGCTTTTTTGCATATCGGTATATACCTTTTGTTCGAATGATTGATCTTTTGTAAATTAAGTGGTCCTTATTTTTCAATTGTACTTTCAGGGCTTGAATTTCTTACATTTTTTTTGAAGATGTGATAATTGTGAAAGATAAGACTTTAGAGTTTAGTGTCAATTTGGCTGTTTATAGCTTTAATTGTTCTCTTCATCAAACGGTTTGATAGCTTAATATTGGTGTATAACCTTATGTTTGGTTTCTACAAAATCAGGGAACAATTTCCAATGGAAATTGAAATCACTTGTCCTTGTGTACTTGTTGGTTGAGTGTAAGCTAGCGGGAGATAATTGTTTGATGCTTTATTTTTCAAGTTTCTTACTGGCATATGTGCACATAAATCTTAGAACCCATTGTTTGTAATTCCCTGGTATGCATACCTAGAAGTTTCTAAGGATTATTCTTTTTGTATGTATTATGTCACAATACCAAGTGAATTGTGCCACTTGAATAACTTAGTTTATCAATGAGAAGTCAGCAATTTCTATTTACCACAAGAACTAATTTGTGAGGTTTCATAATGTTTTTCAGAAGAAAGTTCTCTTCCATGCCAGCCTGCCACGCACAGCCGTTAGGGCTGCCTATGCCTACAAGTGCACAATTAACATCTTTGTTGACAGTTTTGTGCATTTGTTTTCACATAGTGATTTATATTATCTGAGTTGTATGATTACTAATTTTGTATCTTCTTTTGCTCCTATTTTATTAGAAGAAGGAATTATTGAAACTTCAAAGATTTGCCTCCTTCCCTGTGAAATTCTTCTGGTACTATTGCTGCAATCATTCCAATGTGACTAATATACTTGTGTTTGTTTGTGTTTTTATCTTTAGAAGAGAGAACTCTTTCAGGATTTGGCTCCATTGTTGTGGAATTCCTTTGGCACTATTGCTGCACTCTTACAGGTAACCTCCGCGTGGTTCTCAGTACCACTTATTTTTCTTCTCTTGGTTTCATTTTTCATAGAATCACCAGCTACTTTGCTTGATGAAATCAAATAATTTCTTGATTCCTTTCTTAGTTGATGTCAGTGAAAGATATTGGGTTGCTTGACTTCTCTTTTATTATCAAACCTGTTGTTGTCGTAAGCCAGGTTTTGGATGATTCATGTAGTTGTGATGTCACAAGTTAAAGGGTGTGCCCGAATAAGAATTGACAAATCAGGATGAGTGAATATAGGTTTAACTTTAATGTGAACACCAAAAAGCGATTATTTACATTAAGTTTCTTTGAGATATCGTAGGTCCTTACAGAATTTTGTGGTTCTTTTGTTTGTAGTTGATTGACGGATTCTCTATGCTGTTTTGACTTGTCTTTATTAGTAATAGAAGATGCTTCTTACTACATGCAGGAGATAGTTTCTATCTATCCTGTTTTGTCACCACCAAATTTGACTCCGGTGCAATCAAACAGAGTTTGCAATGCACTTGCCCTTCTTCAGGTATAATTTTGGTTTTCTATCTACAGCCTTGTATCGAAATATTACTATCCAATTGATTTTACTCATTTTTCCTTTGAACTAATCATTGTATAGTTGCCTTCGTTGAAGTTAGGTGCATTAAATTTTTGGACAAATCTAGTATCCATTGAATGATGAAGACTAGTTCTAAGGGAACGGTGGTTTCCTGTATTATCAATGTAGTGTAACCAGAATGAAACAAATTAAAAGAGACTTATTTTTGTTGTCCTTCCCTCTGCCGTTTAAAATTTAAGCATCACTAATTGGGGGGAAAATACCTCAAGAAGACAGTCTGTCATCACAATGAGGATAGCTGTATTAGGATGAAGACAAGAAGGATGGAATAAAACAGCAATCTGACATTCCGCATCTCAGCTCACCCATTGCAAAATTTATGATCTATGGGAACTGACAATTCAGTGTTCTGCTGATTTCTTGGAATGCTTGAGCACTGTGTATGTATCGATACCTTTTGAATTTGCAAATAAATTGAAAAGATGGAAATAGAAAAACTGTTAGGTATAAAAGAAATGAGTGGATGGAAAAGGTTTAAAATATTGTTAGTTCTTAAACCTGTGGTTTTGGGTCCACCGTTCCAATGGGTAGGTTCTGATATGTGTTTTATTGCTCTGACTTATTGTGTTTTACTGAGCTCTACGTTGTTGAAGCGAAGGATTTCCACAAAATCTTGCTTCAAAAGGAAAAAATGTTGTGCAAGTACATTTTCATTATTGTCTTCTATGACCGTCCCCTATTCTTGTGGATGTGTTTGCGGGTTTCTTAGGTTCAATTAAGTTTTGCGTTATTATACTACCATGGTCATGGTTTCTGTATGGATCTGTGTGTGAAGAAGTGGAATTTTAATCTAAATTAATGAATATGCTGGGTCGAAGAGATGCAGGTTGAAGGAGAAAATAACTTGGAGCTGAGTCATAAAGACTGGTTGCAACTGACAAACACTTTGTTTTTACTTGAATGATAGTGACATTCAAGATTTTAAGTGATTGACCTATTCATGCCTAACTCGTCAAACTTGTACACTATGATAAATTTGCAAGCCAAGCATGAGGATGAAGAGGGTACCTACCATCAATACTCTTAATTACATGATAGAAATGGATTGCCAACATTCCTCTGTCCTCGGTATTCTTTTGCAAGCATATGAGAGGGCTGGAAGGTTTGGTCAAGTGCCTTTTGTTTTGAAAGGTTCCTTATATGAACACGTTCTCAGTAATTAGACATCTTGCTCAATTCTGGCAGTAGCTCATGTTCAACACTTTTTTGGTAGATGATGCATTAAAAGTTCTTCAGGAGAAACAGTGGGAGGACCAAATCTTTGAGGATAACTTATACCATTTGTTGATTTGTTCATGATTGTTGAAGCCTCCAGGAAGTTGTTGGGTAGTTTTCAGGTTCATTAATATTTGTCTCCATATGCATCAGAACCTAAGAAGCATGGACACCCTCACAAAGATTACATATATGTGTCAGACACCTACGCTTCTAAGACACTCTTGGACAATGTTTGACACTTCTTTGCCCATGTCCATAAATATCAGGAAAAATTTTAGTTTCGGACACGTCTATGACTTCTTAGGTGACGTGTCCGACACATCTTTTGCAAAACTTAAAAAGTTTGCAAATTACCTCTTACTATGAAAGGATATATAATTGTAAAACTACATGTCGTATCCGCGTGTCCGTGTCGCGTCGTATCTGTGTAAGTTTCCGTATCCGTATGCGTGCATCTTAGATCAAAACCATATAATTAGATTATTCACGTTTACTGTTGGAAAGATGTCATAATCTCTGCCTATAGTATCAGTAGGTTGTTCCTTTGTTGTCTCTGTAATCTTTCAGTGGTTAGTCAATTGGCTCTCAAAATATATGTTTTTGAGTATCTAGCTTTTCAAAGACAATATGAAAGAACGCACAAATTGGACACAAAAAGGCATTAAGAGGAGGCTATAAGTAATCCTTGCTTGCTGGATAGGGTAAAATTTATTAGTAGTGGTGTGTTACTTATGGGTGTCATTATCATCCTTTCTTGCAGAGAGCTGAATTTTCTAAGCACTTTATTTTGTGATTTTTCCCTTTACGCCTTAAGCGAAATTTCATAAAGTGCTTTTATTATGTTTTTATTCAAATACACATTGGTTTTTAGATTTTGGGCTCTGATGGTGATGCTGTTCTACTTTCCTTTCCCTTGCAGCTGAAAATACTTGTCTGGAATGTAACAGATGTACTTGGTTTTGTCAACTGATGTTTATTTTTGTCTTCCTTGTTTTGAAGTTGTTCTTATGCAATATTATCTTACACTTGTTTACAGTGTGTGGCCTCTCATCCAGACACAAGAATGTTGTTCCTCAATGGTAATCTTCTTTCATGTGTTGTTACATAAGGGCTTTGTTAAATGCACCAATTTGGAGCTTCACATTTTAAAGGGGAAATTTTGTGTTTTGCCAATCTAGGGCTTGTAATGGTTGATGGTTCTCACTTCTCATGGTTCCCTGCATAGACGTGATGAATTGTAGAGGATGATGTATAAATTTGGATGAGATATTTTTTCTTTCTCTTATGTTGCTGGCTTATCATGCTTTTAGTTAGACTTTATTGCAATACTAAGGCTCTAAAGCTGGTTTCACATTTTCTTTGATTTTGGTTGAATTTGGATCCTGAATTTCCAACATCTTTAGATTGTTGTCAAAGAGGTATTGGCATTATCAGATTTAGAAAGTCAATTTTTTTGACTTAAAATTAAAAATGAAATTGTTGTAGACATTGTCATGATGCTTTGTAGCATATAGACTTGATTTTATTTGCATTTGTGTCTTGTCCAATCCCAAATGTTTGCCTGTGGGTTATTCTGGCTGTGACTAGTTCTGCATGCATCTTTGTGAATATATTTTCAGAAGTCTGTTCAAAATTAATGGAAATGTTCTAACTGATCTTTTCTTCTTTACAGCTCACATTCCTTTGTATCTGTACCCTTTTCTCAATACAACTAGCAAATCAAGGCCTTTTGAGTACCTGAGGCTTACTAGTCTGGGCGTCATTGGTGCCCTGGTGAAGGTACTGTATTCTCTCTCCATTTTTTTTTCATATTCATTCAAATTCTTACTTTTCCCTATTTTTTGGTAGTGTGAAATGTATATCTGATATGCTGCATACATTAAACAGGAACTTTCTAATCAGCAGCTTGTGATCTTGGGATAAAGCAAAAAAAGCGGAAATAAATAGGAAAATAAACCTATTTCCTGTCTCTATCTAAATTAAATGAAATTCTTGCATCCATAGCTTGCGAAAGATTACTTTGTTACTTTTAGGCACTCAATGGACTGATCTGGAACTTGCATGAAAAAGTGTCTATCCTCGACAATAAATCCGTATGATGATTCTGAGTTAGTAAATGACAATTTCTTAATTTTCTTTTTATCAACTTCTGTGAAAAATTTACATCTCAGCTGTCTTAGAGAAAGTCTAAATAAGTAAAATTTGAGAGAAGAAATAAAGCAGATGTACTTTATTCTGCAGTAGAAGTGCATCAAGATTCAAGATGTTCAGGAACTGATGCAGGGAAGATTTTAGTCGTTGAACTTTCTTTCGTTGTTTTCATCACTTGCTGCTTAAAAACATTCCAAAGATACATGATATGCACAAGCATGATTCTGTGTCCTGGTTTCATCTCCCGACTTCCATGGCAAAGGAGATCATTGAACGACTGCTTAAAATTTGACATCTGTTTTTTCCATTTTCCAGCCTACATGTTCTTGCGTCTGGAAACTTATACTTCATACCCTTCATTTCCTATGAAATACATTATTGGACTTTTCTACTTTTTTCGGTTGTTGGGCTAATATTGATTTGCAGTATATTATTGTAATAATAGGACAAAAAATGATGATAAAAATTGGAGACATCATTAACTCTTCGTGAGACTGTTCCTGGTGCACGGTCGCTTACATCGAGGATCTCTTTGCTCTGTTTTTTTGTTCTTTAATCATTTCTTTACTTTTTCCTTTTTAATTTTTTTCTCAAACCCTCAATTAATGAATGCCGTAGTTTTTTTTGGGGGGGTTTAAGTGACATATGTAGTTGAAAACCCAAAGCAGCACAACTACAAACTACAAGAGAAGGCAGGAGCCTGAAACCGATGAGAAAATGACATTGATGAATAGCCTTTTCAAGCCAAAAACCAGAAGGCTGATTAGATTCTCTAGGCTACAGATGCATATTACCTCTGTTTGTTTGGTTTTACTTTTAGTGTATAGTTTATTTATTTATTATTATTATTATTATATATCTTTCTGATGTGCCGCACCCAGGTAGTATATCCTTTCACATGTTGCATCTCTTGTGCAGTACTATCTAATTCCCCCTTCCATGATGTGATATTCTGTGGATGCATTTGGTTGTACTAAGGTCTCTCTTGTTCATCAGTGTCGTTGGTTTTCCGTGGTTCCACAATTGAAACATATCACTGTCTTTTCTTTTGTAGGTTGATGATACAGAAGTTATTAGCTTCCTTCTCTCAACAGAAATAATTCCCCTCTGCCTGCGAACAATGGAGATGGGCAGTGAATTATCAAAAACAGTTACTTTTTTATGCTTATTTCCTATAAATATGGCAATGAATTCACTGTTTCTGTCTCTTTGTTGTTGGTATTTAATGGCATGCCTAAATCTGATATTAAGAGTATAAAGGACCCCTCCTTCAACCCCCTCAACCCCACTAAAAAAGAAAAGAAAGAAAAGAAATGAACTTGTATTGAAGTTCCTTTAACCAAGATATGTAAACTATTCATTGATAATTTTCCTTGTCATCTTAGAGTTAATTGTCGGTAAGGGCACTTGCATATGTGCTTCAACTCTAAGAATGGCTTTTAGTAAGTAGAAGCTTAATTTGTTGCCGGTGTTTCAGGTTGAGATTTTAGGTGGAACATTATTTTTATATGTGGTTATGGCTTTTAGTAAGTAGAAGCTTAATTTGTTGCCAGTTTTTCAAGTGAGATTTTAGGTGGAACATTATTTTCATACGTGGTTATAACTATTGTCTCAATAAATGCCTTTAGACAATATCCTAGGTTCCATTGGTCCCTTTGGTATTTCTTTGTTGTAATACCCAGGCTATAGATGGATGTTATTGTTGAGCCAAGTAGGTGAGCAGTGAACTAGGCACACATGTGCACATGCACTCATTTATTAGTTTTTATGATGGCTCAATCAAAGTGATGGATCCATGCAACTGGGGCTTTCTCTTCTTGAGTTGGTTTCCTCAATTTTTGGTTGCAATTTGGGCATACAATCTCATGTAATATATTGATGTTTTGGTTTCTCTCCTTTATTATGCTCTCAGCTTCTAGTTTAGTGTACAATTTACTTAAATTCTGACTAATGGAGTTATTCTGGCAGGTTGCCACATTTATTGTTCAAAAAATTCTGTTGGATGATGTTGGCTTGGATTACATATGTACTACTGCAGAGCGATTTTTTGCAGTAGGTCGAGTTTTGGGGAATATGGTAGCTTCACTGGCGGAACAACCTTCATCACGGCTACTTAAACATATTATTCGCTGTTACCTTCGGTTATCAGATAATCCTAGGTAGATCTTATCGGGAAAAAAATAAAATGACATAGTGTGTATGTGCATACATATCTACTAAATCCATGGTTTGGCCTTCTGAATGCAGGGCTTGTGATGCATTAAGAAGTTGCCTTCCAGACATGCTAAGAGATGCCACCTTCAATAGTTGCCTCCGTGTAAGTAATAAATCCATCATAAAAGCCCTAGATCTCATAAGTGAAAAAGTGGTTGAAATTTATGTACTTAATTTATTTTACCTAACCCCTTGAGTTTCCTGTTCTTTGATTGTGTATGCTTTCTTTCTTGATAAATGGTGGACTTTTAAGTTTTGACAGCAGTAGGATATTAGACATATGGTGTTCAGTTCATGGACTATATGTATTCTTTTAAGAAGGGTTTGCCAGTGTTGAGCTCTTTCAGTTGGGTAGTTGTCTTCTTATGAGGTGGTTTATATGTATAGGATTTTATTGGGATACCTTGTTCAGCACATATTGACGGTGGAAGATTAAGCAAGCAATCGTGATCTTGCTAGACTTCTTGCCAGATAAATGAATACTGAATTTCGCAGAGAAATTGAAAGCTACACCCACTTCACCCCTTTCCATGGCTTTAATATAGTACTGGTCAACTTGTCCGCATAGGAGTCCCCTAACGCAAACTGCCATTTCTCTTGATGAATATCTGTTTTTTTTAATTCATTGACCTATGTCTGTTAAGAATATAGGATATTCACTACTTAGGGTCCCTGTTACTTGAAAATCAACTCTTTTGCTAGTGAAGGACATCCATGTTCGACTTGCTGAGACCTAATTAACCATCACCACTGTATATGAGATGAGGTCATCATCTCGTTTCACATAGCATCTGGATTGAAAACTTATTTGTGGAAACTTAAAATGTTCACATGATGGATCCTGTGTGAGATTTAAAGCAGTGACATTGATTATTTCTTACTCTCGGTGTCGGGTGATGAATGGGAAAATAAACTTGATGACATCTGACATGTTCAGCAGCGCACCGATTCTTGTTACTAAATAATGATTTGGTGGATTCCATATAAATGCCGTTCTTTATGTTTTCAGGAGGATCCAACGACAAGGAGGTGGCTGCAGCAATTGCTTCACAACGTTCAAGGGCCTCGGGTTGCACTGCAGGCAGGGGGAGGATTTGATCATATGCTTGGGAACTGAACTGATCTGTGTTTGTTGGAATTTAGTTGCCATTGCTAGTGTTAATTATATGATGATACCAACGTAAATTTTTATTTATTTATTTGTTCTTTAGTCTTTTGTTAAAAAAAAAAAAAGAAGCTGTCTTGAACCTGCAAATTTTAGGTGTTTTAATTCAAGGAATTGGTGTGGGGAATTGAATGTGGACTCCAAAACCTACATTTAGCAATCGGAAATTCTGGGTTTAAGAAAATTACAATAGTAGAAGTTTTAAAAGAGTAGCTCAAGTGTAATATGGATGAGCTGTAAATTCAGATGTCTTGAGTTTAAATATTGACAATCTTTTGAGTGAATATACTAGTCTTAGTGTGGATGATCTGTCTTTGACCGAATTAGGGAGAAATGTGTGTTAAACACCCTTGATCGTTGAATTAAATTAAAAAAAAAAGTACTATCTTTGTAATTTTTATACTGTTTTGCATCATTGTACACATAGCAGAATAGGAATTTATATGTGGAGTATTCCCCCCCCACCACACACACACACACACAAAAAAAAACTATAAATAAGATATTGCTAGGGCAAAATTGGCTGTAAAACAATTGCCCGTATCAGCTACTCTTTTTCAATTCTTTAAGCATGAAGGGTTGAATTCAAATCGTAAATCGACATAGAAAAAAGTTCAGTTTGAGTGGGAATCACAAAGATGGAACCATTGAAGAACGCATAATGCTGACTTTTTGGCCAAAATAGGGTTGGATTGTAACTTCATTCCCTCCATTTCATATTCATCTATTCGAAGAAAATAATACAAATCTAAAATTTATTCTATTTATCATTTATTTGGTTTAAGTATTAAAAAATTGTGGGCTCACTTTTATTCCATATAATACTCTGTTTGGATGAAATATTGAATGATAGTATAATTATGAAAATTATCAAGAACTTTAAGTTAGTCCAATCTATAACCATGTTTGGTATTTATATGTGAATTTGTCATGATAAAAATATATTTTACACAAATACTATTTTAAGTTTTCAAATAGGTAAATTTATTTAAGAATTTTTTTACGGTATTAAACGTATTGTTTATCTAAATCTTAAACTATTTATAGTCATAAATATTGGGTCTAAAATAAATATCTAAGTATGAATATAAGTGAAATAAGGTGAGCTGATATGAGAAAATATTTAGTGCTTCTCAGGTACCAGACTGTCAATGACAGTTAGTACTCATCACCAATCAACGGATGCTACGTCAAGATAGGTAGTAGAGAGAGAAAAATTGAAGGACAACCTATATTGAGGTGACATTTCTTGATTAGTGATGAGTATCAGCTGTCAATGACAGTCTAGTACCTACTAATGACAGAATATGAAATGACATTCAATGATTAGTGATGAGTACCGGCTGTCGTTGACAATTTGGTACTTAAAATATTCCTTTATTCAATCCTTTTTTCTAAATAATTGGTCCGTTGAGCTTATCAATTTTGTTTTTTCGGGTAAGTAGCTCATAAATATTTTAGAGAAATGTTTTAGTGAGTTTTACGATACAATGCATTACCAATATGTTCATCAATTTGTTAATTTTTTTTATAAAAAAATTAATTTTATGTGTCTGAATAATTTTTGGTTGAATGAATGGTCATGTGGTGTGTCTCAGTGAGAGAAAAATTACACCCATTTTCCAAAGTGGAATTTAGACAGTACAGGACTGCACAGTCCAGCCGAAGACGGAACCTCAACATTCTTTGTTTCCCTTCAGGTCCAAGGCTTTCACTTTTCCTTTCCTTTCCTTTCCTTAAGCTCGAAGCCTTTCACTTTCTCTCTCTCTCTCTCTCTCTCTCTCCAAAACCCTCGGTTTTAAGAAACAAATCCAACATGGACGCACCATTCGACTACGACGAAGACGAATCTGATCAAGCCTGCGTGCGTGGACATGGATTCATCTGTTAGAGCAGTTGAAAAACTTCTCGGTTACAGATTTCAGAACAAAAAACTCTTAGAAGAGGCCTTAACTCATTCTTCCTACATCGATTCTGAGTCTTACGAACGCCTCGAGTTCTTCGGCGATGCCGCTTTGGGTCTCGCAATTTCCAAGTATTTGTTCATAATCTACCCTGAAATTGACCCTGGCCAACTCACTCTCCTCCACGCCGTCAATATCAGCACTGAGAGGTTCGCTCGTGTCGCTGTCCGACACAGGCTCTATTCATATGTCCAACGCCGTAATGTTGCCGCTCTTGATGGCAAGGTATGGAATTACAAATTTTTGGAGTCATATATAACTTTATTATAAATTTTGGTATCATTTATAATTTAGGATAAAATACACTTTACAGTCCGAGAGTTTTGTGTTTATTTGCTTCTTAATCTTCTAATGGTGTCAGTCGTTTATAGTTTCTAATTTGTATCTACGTAATCCAATTTTAAACATTTGTGCAATTAAGTGATTCTTAATTTTGGGTCTATTTGATCCTTAAAATTTCTAATTCTTATCTATTTAGTCCATAAAATTCCTATTAACCCGTTAATGACCAAACCCATTAACGATTTTTTGATTAAAGATTTGGGATTGGACCACATAAGTATAAATAAATAATCTTTGGGACCAAATAGATACAAATAAAAGATTGGAGATTAAATAGACACTATATGACTAAAAATGTATTTTACCCTATAATTTTTTGAGTTACAAAAGTTGTAACATCACCCAAAGAATTATAATTTTTTTATTATAAACAAACTCTAAAAACTTAAGGGTATGTAACCGAAATTTATAAAGATATCAAGTGTGTATAGGTCATGATTTGGTGTTTTTGGGTTTGTTTTCAGGTTAGGGAATTTACTGAAGCAGTTCAGCAAGAAGATGATACGAAGGTGTACGGTGGAGATGTGAAGGCACCGAAAGTTCTTGCGGACATCGTGAAATCTTTGGCAGCCGCTGTATATTTAGATTGTCAATTTAATGTGACCACTTTAATGATGGTGCGTGGTATTTCTATAATAATCAGTGTGTGAAAAATGAAATTTGGCATGAAATATATATATATATATATCACATTTGCGAATGTTGTATTTTTTTTGTTAATTGTTGAAGTTTCTAAGAGCTTGATTGTGATTGGGAGCTGCATTAAATTCAAAGACTAAGACAGTTTAGATTGAAAGAAGCAGCCATTACTATGTTATTGGGAATTTGGAATTCTAGATCCTGATGTGTTGAGAGACATAAAGAGAGCATCTTTTCTTTAGGGTTTTGTATTATAACAAGAATTTATGACAATTAGTTGCATGTTTGTTTAAATGTAGCTTGAATACTGATGATTGATGAACTTACAAATTTCTTCTATCCGAAATCAGCCATAATCTTGGTTTTTTTTTTTTTCCAGTTAATTTATGTTTCTATCTATTAATGTAGAGAACAAATCAAAGTTATACTTTTATAGTTATTTTTTTATTATTTGTTGATGAGTTCTTCGTATATAATTTTTTTTCTTACTCTTTTTATCTCATAAATAATTGCCGAGAAAATTGTAATTGATCCCGAGTGAAGAGAGGTGAATTACATTAGCAAAAAATGTGTTATTTAACTTTTACATATTTTTTTTTTAGTAATTATGAAAATATTTGTGTGGTATATTTGATAACAGTTTTATTGTTGTGAATATTTGAGTTGCTAAAACATCGACTTGTTTTTTGTGCAAGTTATATGATTTGTGGTGATCTATTGGATCAGTTATAATTTTTGATGTGTTTGATATGATTTAAACTTAAAATAGTTGTTATTATATTTGTGCAACAATTATGATATATTGATGATTATGGCTTAGACTTTCTTGTGTTTTATTGTAATTGTTTATGTATTATCGAATTTATTGTGTTTTTTTTCGTGTTATTAGTTTATTGTGTTGGTTAATTGGTACATGTTATTTAATTGAATTGTTAAAATAATTCAAAAATTAATAATTACAAAATGTGTTCATCCGATTAATTTGGACATAATTTAGGTAGGAATATTACATTTGATCGGGTAGGGTAAGTAAAAAAAATATTATTCCACAAAGTATCAGATTCCAAGTCTGTGACTTGCTGAGACCTAATTAACCATCATCACCACTGTATATGAGATGAGGTTATCATCTCGTTTCACCTAGCATCTGGACTGAACTTATATGTGGAAACTTAAAATGTTTTCACATGACGGAGCCTCTGTGACATTCAAAGTGATGACTCTGATTATTTCTTACTCTCAGTGTCGGGTGATGGATGGGAAAATAAACTTGATGACAAGGAGGTGGCTGCAGCAATTGCTTCACAACGTTCAAGGGGCTCGGGTTGCTCTGCAGGCAGGGGGGAGGATTTGATCATATGCTTGTGAACTGAACTGACTTTGTTGAAAAAAGAAAGTTGTCTTGAACCTTCAATTTTAGGTGTTTTAATTCAAGGAATTGGTGTGGGGAATTGAACGTGGACTCCAAAACCTACATTTAGCGATTGGAAATTCTTTGTATAAGAAAATCACATGAGTATAAGTTCTAAAAGGTTGCTCAATTCATAACATGATCGAATTATAAACTCAGACGTTTTGAGTTTTATTTTTGACAACCCTTTGAGTGAATATCTTAATCTAGGTGTGGATAGTTTGTCTTTTATCGAACCAGAAAGGAAATTAATCGAGATACATGTGCCTGAACACCCTTGATCGTTGAACTTAAAAAAAAAAAAAGTGCTATCTTGGTAATCTTTATACTGTTTTGCATCGTTGTATACATGACATTTAGAAATTTATATATCTGGAGTATTCCCTCCCTCCCCTACAAAAAAAACTATAAATATGATATTGTTAGGGCAAAATTGGCTGTAAAACAATTACCCGTGTAAAACTCAAAAAAAAAAAGTTATTATTATTATTATTAAAAATTTTAATTAAAGGGGTAAAATAATAATTAATTGTTAAATTATGGGTCAAAACCATAAAATTCAAAAAAAATAAACTTATACTATATATAGAAGTGGAAGATTTTGTCTTTCACTTTTTGTTTTGTTCTAGAGAGATGGCTAGACAGAGAGTAAGAGAGAGAAAAGTGAGTGTTTTTTTTTATTTTTTGCTTTTCTTTTTCCTCAGATCTACGAAGATTGAATCGTTTAATCGCTTCGGACAAAGAATTAAAGTTGCTCTACTCAGCGATAGCTACGCAACCACACAAAATATAGTATTTTTCTCCGAAAAAATATCAAAGACAATAATCTAGGTCTAATGATTAAGAAACTAAATTTGGGCTTCCTTAGAATTCTAGTAAATGGGCTCATGCTACGAGAGGTAAGATTTCCCCTACGAGAGGTAGATTTAATTTCAACTTAAAATATGATATATGAAATGGGTAGGCTATGAATGTATATCACATGTTAGGTCTTGACTAGTGTAACTAGTGCGTCAAATATAGGATTTATAATTAACTTTGTGATTAATAAAATCCTATTATGATTAACTTGATGTAAGTTAATGTTAGTGGTTTAAAGTATATTAATTGTATATTAGCATTATTTTATGTTTTAATGACATATCAAGTTTAATAAAATTATTAACTTGTTATGTGATTGTGAAATAATAAATATGTTAAAAGATTATTTAACATATGATTATTTTGGTGGACTTGTGCTTATGTATATATAATTAATAAACATGTTGTCATATTAAAAGTCATAGCATGCTAGTTGTGTAAATTGATGTGCTCTTTAGGTGTTTGATTAAATTCCTAGGTGAATATAAGTATGTTAGTTGAGTTGATTATCTTACATAACATGCTTGAAATTGTGTTAAAATGTCATTATATTGTATTTATTATGTAATAAATATTGTATTGTATTATGCATGAGTTGCATTACATTCATGAGCATTGACATGGGTGAGAGTGTATGCATGATATGAAATCAATCACCACATAAGTGGTTGATCGTAGGCTCGAAAAAGTCACATCAAGGTTCGACTGAATCGCACGAAAAATTAAATGGATAAATGTGTTGGGGACATTAAGAAGGGCTAGATTCTCTCTCGGGTGCAAGACCCGCTTACTTAGTTTATACACTTTTCGACGGTGAAATTCCAGAAAAGTGTAACAGCGGAAACAGAGCCATAGGTGGGATGTCCTGAGAATCCGTTGATGGTTGGTTTTTCATTGGTGTAATACCATAAATCACCTCATCACAAAGACACAAGAAAATGAATTAATTAGTCATTGAGTGTATATAACACCAATGATGGGGGCTTGGAATGCCCGGATACATACGTATGACATTGTATGTGTTATAGGAGCTCAGGATGGGGCTCGGGGTTAGTATTGGTTGCGTGAGTCTCATCTCATGGCATGACATGATTTATGACATTCGATCATAATAGACATATTTGAATGAATGCATAAAATAATTGTTGCATATGACATTCCATATGCATTTAGGTTGAGAGGATATTCTCTATAGGAGTTACCCTATTGAACATTGACTCACCCTTTATGAGAACATTTTTCAGGTATCGCACAAGCGTCCACCGAAGGTGAGGCCATGGGCCCGCTTTGACAACAAAGCCGGTCTGTGGCTCTTATTTTGACATTGTAGTCCCTTGTTTATATTTACTTTTGGCCTTGTGTAATTTTTGTAACAAAAACTTGTTTATGTTTACAAAGGTAAGTGTATGAGACTCTTTCGAGACATTTATTTTTTTACGAATAAATGTATGTACTGATGATGATTCTGATAGTATTCGATACTATACAATTGTGATTGGATGGATAGACCCGGTGTGATCAATATTGTACAGGTTGTGTTTGGATAGAACTCCTCGTACAAAGAGACTCTGCCCAAATTTTGTTAAGTTAAGGATTTCGAGAAATGGGACATAACGGTGTGGTATCGAATTACACGATATCCACAAGTATTTCGTGGGTCGATGAGTGATCAATCGGATAATTACAGCCACCCGAATTTTGGGGTGTCACAGCTTGGTATCAGAGCCTAGGTTTACGATTTACCTAGGGCTTACAGGTCATGGGTTTAAGCCATTGCATCCATTTTGCATTGCATGTTAAATTTATTAAATCTTTCATGCTATGTGTTATGAGATTATATGCATGATTCAATGTATATAGGAATGAGACACTACGGTTAAAAAACATAACCTTAGAGTTGGGAAAGAAAATAATGTGTAAGTCTATTGTTTGTGCATTTTTCGGTAGGTATATATTCTACTGTTTTAACTTTGATCCCTAATTTGGGATACTAAGTTATTGGTCTATTGGTATCTTATGTGTGTGTAGATGGCAACAAGAGGAAGGGGACGTCGGGGTGGACGGAACAATCAATCACCACCACCGACTTTTGATCAACAAGCCTTTATGGAGGCTATGGACGCGATGACTGCCACCTTTTTGCAAGCTAGTTCTAATGTGGGCCTAGGAGGCTCGAACAACCTCTAGAAGTTTAGGTCCCACAACCCACTAACTTTTGTAGGAGGAGGGGATCCGATGGTAGCTGACAATTGGTTCCAACAGGTGTACAAAATTTTGGGGGCAATAGATATTGCATCTGACGCCACGAAGATACGATTGACCACTTTCCAGTTTGAGGGAGAAGCCCATCAATAGTGGACATGGGCAAAGCCGATAGACATCGGAAGGATGACATGGGGAGAGTTTCAAAAGCTCTTCATAAAGAAATATTTCCCACCAGCTGTTCGGGAAGTCAAAGCTCACAAATTTCTAAACTTGAAGCAAGGAGCGATGACGGTTATGTAGTACGTGGCCAAGTTCACAGAGTTGGCACGTTTTACGGATGACTACATGGCCACTGATTTGGCCAAGGTGTAGAGGTTTGAAAATGGCCTAAAGCTATCTATCCGTGAGAAGATTGTTGGCCACAGGTTGCACGACTTTGACGAGATGGTCGAGACAACCATGGCTATAGAGAAAGAGGTGGAAGATGCCAAGAGTATTCGGGAGGCTGGATCAAAGGACAAGAAGAATGAGGGACAATCCTCCACTACTAGCTCAGGGAAGAGACAGAGAATTTCTACCCCACAGGGATAGGATCGAGGCTATCAGGGCCAAGGCCAAGGCCATGGTCAACCTTCCCAAAGCGGGAGGAATTCCAGGGGCACACAACTGGGAGGCCCACAAATATGCTACTATTGCCATCAACCAGGCCACTTGAAGAGAGAGTGTCCTCAGAGACAGGGATCATAGAGCTACGGGGCATCTTAGTCCCAGTCATCAGTGGGGCATCCACAGACCTACTTCATTCCTCCCTACCCCACCAGGGGACAGAAAAATCAGTTGCAGTTTCAGGGTGCGACCCAGGCCCCTACCACTTCACGAGCGGGGACTTCGCAGTCAGGCCAGGGCATGGGCCGAGGCTGGGGATAGGGTTTTCAGGTTGGGACTTCAGGGACCCAGGGACGAGTCTTCGCCATCACACCACAGACTTTACCGACAAATCAGTCGATAATTCAGGGTACATTTCTTTTCTCTAGATTATGGGCTAGAATATTATTTTATTCTAGTGCATCACATTCTTTTATTGCTGCATCATGCCTACGAGACTTGGGCATAGAGGCCGAGACTCTGGAAGAGCCCATGTATGTGAGTTCACCCCTAAGAGACATAGTTTATATTGACAAGATATGTCGAAATTGTGAGTTGGAGATCGAAGGAACCCAGCTTACCGTTGACCTTAGGGTCATCGAGATGATGGAGTTCGATGTCATACTCGGGATGAATTGGTTGGCGGCACATAAAGTCATCATTGATTGCGAGTGCAAGAGGGTTACAGCTTACACTTCAGACAGGGTTTGTTTCAAGTTTCAGGGGGAGAAACACAATGTCTTATCCTATGCCGTATATGACTCTCGATGGCACAGACAGTTGATAGGTTGGCTTACTAGCCTTACACTAGAGGACGAGGAGAGACAGAAATTGGGTCTACCTCGAGTCGTGTATGACTATGTGGATGTCTTTCCAGATGAGTTACCAGGGTTGCCATCGTATCGGGATGTAGATTTCACTATTGAGTTACAGCTCGGTGTAACCCCTATTTTTATGACACCGCATAGGATGGCACCAACGGAGTTACAGGAACTTAAAGTCCAGTTACAAGAGTTATTGGACAGAGACTTTATTAGGCCGAGTATTTCACCTTGGGGTGCTCCTGTACTATTTGCCAAGAAACAGGACAGGACGCTTAGGCTCTACATTGATTATCGGCAGTTGAATAGGGGCACTATCAAGAATAGGTACCCTTTGCCGAGGATTGATGATTTGTTTGATCAGCTGAGAGGGGCACGGGTCTATTCCAAGATAGATCTTCGAACTGATTACCATCAATTGAGGG